GATGACCAAAAACCCAATTCTTAGGTTTTACATATTAGTATATTCTTACAATGCAATTTTTGTATTATTTCTCAGAAATGAGATATTTTCCCGCGGTAAAAAGCATCCTATACGTTGACCCGGATTACCAGCTATCATAGTACCAAATTTCATCAAAATCTGTCCAGTGGTTTTCTCGTGATGCGGTAACAGACCGACAGACAGACAGACAAAAATTCTAAAAACTATAGATTCGGATTCTGTATCGATAATAATGTCTATTTCAATTAGATTTTCCAAAAAATATTTAATGTACAGATTCGACTTACTTACAATTTTATTATACGAGTATGTATAGATTACAATTACACTATAAAATTTGTAAACAAAAACATTAACACTGTAATAAAACATATAATGTATAGTAGCAATAAATTTCAAGTTTTGCTGTAAAGATCGTTGCACGTCTTAATTCGGTCGTTCACCTCATCGGGCGCATTCGCCGGGTTTTTCTTAAACTTCACAGCTATAGGATGTTGCAAGTTTAAACTTATTTACTATTTTGTATCTTTTTCTATATATAAATTTCATGAAAATATTCGAATAATCGATTATTTTAAAACATCAATATTTACCTAAAATGTTAAGAAATATAATATGGATATTAAACTAGCGATTTGCCTTCACTTCGCTCGGTTGCGTTCTATGTATTATATTTATATAAGACCGTTCGACACATTTTTGGGATTTAATAAAAGCTAGATTTAAAGTTATTTATTTGCCTTTTAATCGACCGGTACTTGATACGGTTGGATGGATTTCAAGAGAAAGGATTGTATATAGCTAGCTATAATATAATATACGTATAGTATTTAGATTAAATAGATTATACTACTATTTAAATTATTATAGGTTTTGTTGAGTATATTTAAACAAAGTACTAGAAAGCCACTGTTTCAGACTAAAAATATTGCCAAATACAGACTAGTGACCACAGTAGTTAGTTACGAATGCGTCATATAAGATGTACCTATAGTAGATAAGTTATGAATGAATTACAATAAGTTACATAACGCACAGCATATTTAAATATAATAATAATTTATAATATAATATATGTTGGGACATTAAGACACAGCACCATCTAGTTCCATGGTAAGCTACGAGGCTTGTTTTATAGATACCAGATAGTTGATACACTACACATATATAGCTTTAAAGATATACATATTATAAATATAAACGCCCATGACTGGAGTACAAACATTCGTGCTCATTACACAAATGAATGCCCCCATCGGGACTTGAACCCGCGACCGACCGCTGGCACAGCAAGTAGGGTCACTACAGACTGAGCCACATGCGTCATCAAATCAAAATGACCCGGCTTTTGTACACATATACGAAAAATATACTTATTACAAGCTGCCAAAAATCATTTTAGATCATCGTCCATCGTCTGATAATATTGATAACCAATAATTTGTTTTGTAAATAAAGCGACGCAGAACGTGTTTTGATACTCGTGTTATGTGAATTACTTAATGTATGATAATTTAAACGTTATAGTGTTTTTGATAATATGATCAAATGTGAGGTAAACAATAATATACTGGTTTAAATCGATCTTTACCTATTTAATCGATTTTCCATATCAATATCGATATAATCGTAATTCTAATATGTGTAACCTACACAAATAAATAAAATTAAAGTGTCTGTTTGTAATGTCAAAATAACAGCTTTTTAATAAATGCATATGAAAGTATTATATACGGTAATTATAAAAAAACAACGATTTTTACTTTTTTTTCTCTGTCTGTCTGTTTGGTCCGGCTAATCTTAGTAACGGCTGGACCGATTTTGACGGGACTCTCACTTACTCGTAGTTAGCTGAAGTTATAAGGAGTAACTTAGGCTACTTTTGTTTTAGAAAAACAATTAGGGTTCCGCGCAAAATCCCCGTACCTAAGAGAGATGCGAGCTTAAGTTGCTAGTATTATATAATAATGTTACGCAGTTAAAACAGCCAGAATTCCAAATCGTAACCAGAGATTTATACTTTTTATATTTATACGGCGGAATCAAATTACCTTTATTTTTCTAATATTTCATACAAAAACTAACATAATCGACTTCCTCCTTTACACTTTGTTCGCTGGTTTTATATGAGTCACAGTATATATTTAGCTGTTACTCTACTACATGTGCTTTAGTAAATATTTGAACTCTTCGTAAGCCGTCTTTGATGATTGTCTTCGATATTACCACACTATTACTAATGGTCGGCTTATAGGATTAGCTTGTCGATGGAATTACAACGTTACATAAAAAGATTTCTATTTATTACACGAATACCCGAAAGAGTTAGGATTATAGGTTTAATTTAATATGTGTGTTGCTTTATTCCGATGTAACTTCTGAACACCGTAACCGACTAGAACGTTTCTCGAATATAAAGGAATATTTTACAACTAGCATTGCCCGCGGCTCCGCCCGCGTTCAGATGACCAAGAACCAAATTCTTATGTTTTACATATTAGTATACTCTTACATTGTATTTTTTCTCAGAAATGTATGTCAGAAAGTATCATATATGTTGATCCGAATAACCAGCTATCACCATACCAAATTTCTTCAAAATTCCTCCAGTGGTTTTTCTGTGATGCGGTAACAGACAGACAGACAAAAATTCGAAAAAACTATAGATTCAACCTCTGTATCGATAATTTATGTCTATTTCAATAAGATTTTGAAAAAAATATTTAATTTACAGATTCGGCTTAGTTACAATTTTATTATATACATACATATTTTGTTTTTCGTGATAAAGAAATTCTTACTAAATGACCTGTGCTCTGGAATATTATCATTAATAGCTGGTTGCGGTAAAAACGTACTACGTTAGTCTAAGGTCATGGGGTCGCATATAGTAAAGCAAGTCTACTAAGTTATTGAATTTTCGATTTTACATCTAAAGAATAGAGTTTAATTTCGATTGTTTCGTTTCTTGTATTGCTTTTTAACCCCTAGTCCGCTTAAAGGCACCGCATCGGCGCATAGGGATGCGCGCGCATCCTCCAATATCGAGTGGCCCAGTCGTTTTCCTAACCTCAATCAAACAGCTGTTCAAAAACGTCGATTAAATACTCACTAATAATAGTAATCATCGTAACAATCGTCCGCCGCGACTAGACGCGTCGGAAGCCATTACGAAATGATTTAAATTTAGAATCCGCGTTATTTTTTTTTCGGTTTACGGTTTTCATGCTTTCATTCAGTTTCCAGCCAGCACGTTCGGCGTTTACCCGTGCGGCATACACCGGCTATTTTACTTGTCTATAATTTATTATATTTACTCAGAAATATTTAATTATTTATTGATAATTTATTAATTCTACGTTTTCCTATTTTATATCTACGTTTCTATACTTTTAGGTTACATATAGGTTGTAAAACAAAATGGTTTAATTTATATATGTAATTGTGTTTATTTACTGTGTATATTTGTGAATCATGAAACTTTTGTGTGAAAGACATATATTAGTGTTGTGTTTTATATTGTGTTGAAATGGAGGAGTACGAGTATGACTTCGCGTATGAGTGCCGGGTTGGTATTACATATTGTTTATATTGTAGTTTTCCATATGCGTTTGGGTGCAATTAATTAGCTGAGATTTTCTAGTTAAAACAAAAGTGCTGACATCATTCTTACGTCTGACGCATGATAAAACTCTATAATATGTTAATGCATCTTGTAAGGTATTATTCAAAAACCATTTATTTGCTCTTTTTATAATAATACTAGCTGATCCGGCAAACGTTGTTTTGCCATATGAAGTATTTTTAATGCCACACCATAAAAATATTACCGAAGAAAAAATTGTCCAAAAAATAAAAAATTTTTTTTTTGGGGTGAGTCACCCTTCACACTTAGGGGTATAAAAATTAGTTATAAACCTATTCTCAGACCTACCGAATATACATATAAAATTTCATCAAAATCGGTCGAGCCGTTTCGGAGGAGTATAAACACGAACACTGTGACACAAGATTTTTATATATTAGATAGATAAAAATATTAAAGTATTTAACATCAATTAAAATAATATAATTTAGTCTACATTATTTTCTCTGCATAAATAACTTAGAGACATATCTACGTATATAGGTATACTCTAACATAGATGTGCATGACCTAAAATCTCGTTGAATGCATTATGACCGGATTGAATTAATACCCATATTTGTAAAACACGCAGCAAGTGCGGCAGGTACAGTCGACACCGGCCAGTCATTTCACACGGTTTGATTCAATATTTACAATGATTACAAAAAAATCGTTATAAGCCCATGAGGACAATTTGTTGTTTTTTTTTTTATATGAATGGAAATTATTTCTTTGCTTGAAGGTATGGCTAGAGATATTTAATTTTAGTAGTTATTGTTTATTAATTCACAAAGTTTTTTTACAGTTTATATGTAAATATCGGAAAATAATATTTCATATTTATGCCTAACTAGCATTGCCCGCGGCTCCGCCCGCGTTCAGATGACCAAAAACTAAATTCTTAGGTTTTACATATTTGTATACTCTTACATTGCAGTTTTTGTATTTTTTCTCAGAAATGAGATATTTTTCCGCGGTAAAAAGTATCCTATACCATACTAAATTTCATCAAAATCCCTCCGGTGGTTTTTATGTGATGCGGTAACAGACAGACAGACAGACAAAAATTCTAAAAACTATAGATTCGGCCTCTATCGATAATAATGTTTATTTAAATAATATTTTCCAAAAAATATTTAATGTACAGATCGATATATAATGTACAGATTCGGCTTAGTTACAATTTTATTATATGTATAGATAAATCAACATTTAGAAAACAAAATATCTTAAATACTCATAGGATACACGAAACCCTAAAAATATTATCTTGGCTATTACAACATAATCCTGTGTAGAAAGGCTTCAGTAATAAGTAGTTTTCTAATTAGCGTACGTGATTGTTTTCCAGCGCCTCGTCGAAGCGATGGCGCCGCGCTCTGCGCGATCGTTCCGCCAAGAGTTCAATATGCAGGACCTGGCGACCACAGAGCATACGTATACACATTATACCACTGAGAAGTAAGTGTTGCCATGTAATTTATATAATTGTTTTAATTTTAATTTAATATTTTTAGTTTTGAATATAATTTGTCTAAGATTAATAAAAGAAATATGTTATTTACATATAACTTTATAGATAAAGATTAGTATGAAATTCTTAAACAAATCTCCACAGATACGTCAGGACGTCACATTCAACAGAGCTTGATGCACCCATAAAGTCTATGACTAATGGCAAACTGAAATCACCCAACTACTCTACAAAAACAATTATCGGCAATGACGAAAGACCCGATGTGAGAAACTTAAAACGCGTCCATAAAATGTATGAAGGTCCTAACATTATAGAGTCCAGAGGTATTATTCACCCCGAAACTAGGGAAATTCTCACAGTCGGTCAAGCAATTAGTATGAGAATACTCGACGTACGGACGGGAAGATTGTTATCATCTCCCAATACACGGCAAACTATAACTATTGATCAAGCCGCTAAAGAAGGCTTGATCGATCCCAAACTAGCTGCAAGACTAACAGGGCCCTGCGGCATGACAGAAGATGGCAACGAGGTCACATTACTAGAAGCAATCCAGAGAGAACTATACGACGCTGAACAAGGACTCACAGATCCCGCTGAAAAGAGAATCAAGGTGACTGTTGAAAGCGAAAACCCTAATCAAGGAATGAGTATTTCGGACGCACTTAATCGTGGCCAAGTCGATTTGCAAAGAGGTCTCTATAGATTACCTAACGGAACTTATATAAGTATAGCGGAAGCGTACCAACGTGGTTACCTTATTTACAGTGAGATTATCAAAATAAAATCGAGTGCTTTGTCTCTGTCAGACGCGATCAGTCAAGAACTCGTAGATAATAGTGGTTGGATTTTGGATAGAAACTCGGGCGATAGGTTCCAACTAGAAGTTGCTATTAAAAATGAGCTAATAAACCCTAATGTAAGGGAAGTCGTAGACCCCAAAAACGATACCAAAATAACACTTGCTGAAGCGATAGAGAAAAACATAATTAATACTAAACATTCTAAATACATACACAATAAAACAAAAGAAAAAATGACTTACAAAGAAGCCGCTAATAAACGTTTTATTTGTAAACCAATGACTCTTAAAGACATATGTGACAATAGTTTAATGACAAATGATGGTAAAATTTTATCACCAACTAATAGAACGCCTCTCAATATTCTTGAAGCTATCTCCGCCGGTGTACTGGATAGCGATAATATAAAATGCGTTTCTGACACGACCACCGGTCAATTGCTAACGTTATCTGAAGCTCTGGGTGCTAGAATTATCCTACCAGATAATAAATTCCGCGATAACTTAACAGGCGAAATTTGTACTATTCCTGAAGCGGTAGATAGAGGTCTGATTACTTCAGTGTCACAAAGGTCAATTTTCGATATAGACGGTTTTAGGGATCCCAAAACGGGTGAATTCGTTTCTTTCAATACAGCCCTTAGTAAAGGTAACTTGAAATACGTTAACGGTGAAACTTTCTTAAAATCTGAGAGTGGTGATTTCGTATTTTTGGAAGATTGTCCGAAAGTTTCTATTGTTCGACCCGAAGTACTAGAAATGTTTAATCGTAAAATAGGTGTAGTTGAAAACGGGAAAGAGCTATCCGTCTTAGATGCTGTATTTAAAAATATTCTTGATCCAAAAACGGGATATTTGCTAGATTCTACTTCCAAAAAACCAATTCCATTTAATAAAGCCGTCGAAATTAATATGATAACACCTGAAGGCGCTGCCTTGTTAAATTCTCTTTTGAATATTACATTAACATTGCAGACAGTAACGAAAACTGTAAAACGATACGTAACTGTTACAAATACATCGCGAAGATCTGAGACTATTATAACATTTGCAGAAGCAATACGACGTGGTCTTATTGATGAATCGACTCAAACATTCACTGATCCAACGACAGGTACGGTATTCCCTATTCAACAAGCTTTAGATGAGGGTCTGCTAGGTGTAGATCAGGATGAACCTCGTGTTACTCGTATTTCTGATCGCATCACTAAAAAAGAATTAGTACCGGGTCAAGTAGTAGAATTGAAAATTACCAAAAAGTCCTTTATTAAAGACTTACCTCCCAGTCCAGAAAGTAAATTGCAACATGATAATAAACCTGAAACAGTTAAAAGTCCAGATTATTCTATCGTTGATACCTTACAACCGCGTGAAGAAATAACTCGCGAAATCAGAACTGTTACATCGAAATCGGTTGTGTCTGACTCTTCTGTAACTTCACTCACGATTAAAAAAAATACTATTGAGCTGCCCCGTGGTGGCTGGATGCTTAATGAAGCTATTCAGCAAAAACTTTTCGATCCGGAAACGGGTATGTTTATAATTCCGGGTTCAGATCGTGTACTAGATCTTCAAGAAGCTGTAAAACTTAATATAATTAACTCTGAATCTGCTAATGTACTCGATACTAAAACAGGGAAAGAAATACCTTTAGATAAAGCTCTAGAATATCATATAATTGATTCCACAGGTCACTATAAGCATTCTAATATTGTTTTAAATATGCAACAAGCTATTCAACGTCAATTTATCATATTTGTTACTCTTACGCAAACAACATCTACTCAAAAAGTAATAACGATCACGTCTATCGCGGGTATGCCTGATAAAATGGAAATTTCTGAATTACAACAAGCCTCACTTGTTAAAGATTCTGAAGATCAATCCATATTGGAGCCAGTGCAATTAGCCCCGGGTATTATTTATGATCCTGCTACAGCTCTAGTTATATCTACCACTTCTGGTGTATCTGAAAATATAATTGAAGCTGTAGATCGTGGTGTAGTTTCAGGTAATCTCGTGCATGTCATTGAACCGGAAACAGGAAAGCAAATTACTTTAAAACAAGCCTTGCAAAAAGGAATCGTTGATAAAAGAACAGGTGAATATAGAAATCAATCAGGCAAAAGCATAAATCTTGCTGATGCGGCAAAGGTTGGTCTTATAGCAGTTATAGGTTCACCTTTAGTTGCTGCTTCCAAAGTGATCCAAGTGGTGAGGAGTACGATGGTAGTAGATCCTAATACTGGCGAAGAATTACCTATGGAAGTTGCCTATGAAAGAGGACTTGTAGACCCTGCTACTTATCAGAATTATGAAGACTCCATTAGAGGTAAGACACCAGAGATTATAGATAGTATTGAAGAAAAGAAAAAAATAAAAACAACTGACTCAAGCAGCATAACTGTTTCAAAAATTATCACAACTACAGTAATTGATCCTTTAACTGGAGAGAAATTAACAGTAGAAGAAGCGAATAAAAGAGGTATTGTAGACCCCATTGCGTATAAAAAGTATTTAGATTCTACAATGGACGTTACAGAAACTGATTTAATTCAACACGAAGTGAGTGGTAAACCTGGTTCAAGTAAAACAACAATTTCACAAGTTTCTAGTAAACCCTTATCTGTAGAAGCTGCAGTATCCAAGGGTTTTATAACAGTTGAATCGATACAAAATAGTCTTTCTGCCGATGACAGAAAAATACCAACTACTGTTATGGCCGACAAAACCACTCGTTCAGTAGATATTGTTGAATTACCAAAAATTACAATTTCTATTCAACCGAAATATAATACTGAAATTTCTCAGCTAGTTACTCCGTACATTGATGTCAAGCCTATAGTTTTACAAAAATTGCGAAAACAAGTGGTTGTGCCTTCGGATGCTATAGAAATGGGCTTAATCGACAAAGATACAGCAAATATCTTAGAAACAGTAAAAACTTATAAGGATGACCAAGGATCACCAATTTCTATTCAAAAAGCTATAGAAATCGGGCTTATAAATGAAAATGATGGTCATATTGTTGATCCTGTGCATGGCGATGTTTTATCTATTAAAGAAGCGCTTCGTCGTGGTATACTAGATAGTGAAGGGCAAAATGAAATTTTAATACCAATAGTGAGAGGCTTATCAATCCCAGAGGTTTTAGAACAAGGCTTATTACACCCTTCTTCCGGAAAAATAATTCATCCAGAGACAGGAAGTCATTTATCTTTAAGAGAAGCTATAATTTGCGATATAGTAGATCCGTTATCAGTTGTTACAATAGCTCCAGGTCAAAATATTACTCTTTCGGAAGCAATTGCAAGAAATATTATAGATGTAGAAAAGAATTCCGTGAAAACAAACAATGGTGCACTTGATTTAATCTCTGCTGTAAATTCTCAAGTATTTCCTGATGTGAAGCCAAGTTATGCAGAAAATATTCCTCCAGCTGGAATGACTCTATCGGTTGCTTTAAAACAAAACATTGTCGATCCCAAAACAGGTGCCATTAAACATCCTCTTACTGGAGATATATTACCAGTTAATAAAGCTATAGAAAAAGGCATAATTATGAACATTCCCTACCCTCAGTCCCCGTCTACTTTAACTATTGAAGAGGCTATTAAAAATAATGTAGTCGATCTTAAAAATGGCGTCTTCACTGATCCAAAAACTAATGATAAAATTCCTCTCGATAAAGCTATAGAACAAGGTCTAGTGGCAGTGAAACTTGAGACGACTGAATCAGGTGGTATAGTTACTACAATAACTGAAACATTTACATCGCAACATACCATAACAACAAAGATGGTAGAATTATTGGCTGATTACGTCCTAATCAGTGCAAATGAAGTTCAAAATACTAAAACTGGAGAAATTGTTTCTATTGATGAAGCTCGGGAAAAAGGAATAATCAAAGATGAACAAACGAGTAAAGAACAATTCTTAACAAGTGATATGAATTTAAATTTTGAAGAAGCATTACATTTAGGATATATTGACATTGAAAAAGGTACGTTTACAGACCCAAATACAGGAGAAATTGTGACAATTGCCGAAGCAGTTGCTAGTGGAATCTTGACTACTGAAGTCTTGAAAGAAATTAATCTGAAGTCCCAGGATAAAGAATCAATAAAAGAAATGCTGGACCTAAATGAAGCATTTGAGTTACTTTTTGATGATAAAACTCAAAAATTCAGGGATCCAAAATCGCCTAATAAAGTACTTACTTTTAAAGAAGCCCTTGATAAAAATATCATCAATCCCGAATCGATACTTTACAACGTTAATGCTGGAAAACCAATAACATTACAAGAAGCTGTAGATACTGGTTTAATAGATAAAAAAACGGGCAAGATAAAAGAACCAAAAACAGGTAAGGCCGTGGATATTAAGAAAGCAGCTAAAATGGGCTTAGTTGCAGTGGTAGCGGCTCCAGTTTTAGCAGGAATGGCAGTAGTTGAAGGTGCGAAGATAGTTGGCAATAAGTTTTTAAAACCTAAACAGGACGAGGATGTTGTTAAAACTACAACTGAACATAAATTAAAATCCGAAATGTTAATAACTGGTAGTAAGAAAAACATTAAAGAACAAGTTTCAAAAGATTCTTCCATCAAACATGAAAATAAAACAGAAGCACCTTCTCTACCAATACGATCCAAAGATACAGAAAATGATGTAAAAGTGGAGGTAAATAAAACAGATATAAGTGTTACGAGAAGTACTGTCAAAAATAATGATATCGAAATTCAAAAATCTATTGATAAAACTATTGACACTGACACGAAAAATAAAGTCAATGAGCCACTAAAGGAACCACAATCTATAATAGTTGACAAACAAAAATCACCTGACTCGTCCTTGCCTACATCACCGCATAAACCAACTACTACAGAAAATAAAGAAATTCTGCAAGAACATAAAAGTCAGAAAGAAACTCAAGAAGTAGCTAAATCTGAAGTAGCAGAGTTAATTTCCTCTCCCTCTGTACAAAAAACGGAGACTTATTATGAAAAGCCAAGTATTAAAGAATTCACACAGATTACGCCAGATGGTAAAGAAATTACTACAGTAGTAAAGACAACAATTACATCCACAGATCCTACTGAATACATAACTGAACGAACCAGTACGATGATAAGCACTACAGCTTCTAAAACAACAACAACAATAGAAGTAACTCAGAATACTTCTTCATCTTACAATATTACTGAACAATATAGCAAGACTGATGAAGAAAATGTACAAAATGAAACAATCGAGTATCCAGATCAGGTAGACAAAGCTTTAATAAATATTGATCGTAATACTATTCCTACTCCAGAAAGTTATACTAAAAAACTTGAACAACCGCTTAAAGAAAAACTTACATTACAAGAAATAAAACAACCTGATTATGAGCTTCAAAAATCAAATATTAAAGAAACTACTCTAAAGCAACCTATAGTTTCAAACGACAAAATACAATCAAGTGAAATTAAAATTTCTGAAGATATAATTTATGATCCAGACAGCAATAAGATAACTTTAACAGATAGCGGTGAAAGTACTAATATTATTACAGCTATTGATAAAGGCATAATATCTGATGACTCCGTATTAGTTCAAGATCCTAAATCGGGACAACAAATTCCCATAAAAGAAGCTTTACATAAAGGCATTGTCAATAAAAAAACCTATGAAGTCGTAAACGACTCAGGTAAAAAGATAAGCTTTGCTGACGCTGCTAAAATAGGATTGGTAGCTATAGTAGGTGCTCCAATTTTAGCGGTATCGAAAGTAGTCGAAGTTGTGAAAAGTGGTATTGATTCTAATACTACAGAAGAAAAAACGTCTATCACTAAAGTTTCTCAAGTTACTTTGCAATCATCAGATGACAAAGCGGCAAAATCTGTCACGTCTCAAGTTATCGTACAAACATCTAATAAAGTTAAGGATGTGGATCTCCCCAAAGATGCTAAAATAGTAACAGATTTAATAGCACATGAAATTAGCTCAACCGTAACGTACCCGGGGGGAGTCACAATTAGTGAAATAAATGAAAAACCCAGTGACGACTCTTCTACTGCAATCACCGTAGAATCACAAATTAAAAAACCAATCATAACCGATGATGGAAAGTCTATGTCAACCTTACTAATAGATGCTGAAAAACAACCTTTACGAGCTATTGATGAAATTACTGAGCAAAATGTAACTAAAGTTAAATCAAAACCGCTAGAACTCCTTTGTGAAAATATTGCTCTAATTGATGCGATTTCACAAGGTAAAATTGAACCAAAAGTATGTAGAATTATAATTAATGGCATAGAGACTCCATTGACTGTGCAAGATTCATTAGAACAAGAACAAATTAGTAGATTCACTCCTGTTGATGTAGTTTCCAAAAATTGTGTTATTGTCAGAGAAAATAAGCCAAAATATTGCTTATCAATATCACAAAAGCTTACACCTGAGGAACTTTCGGAAATGGGTGTCTACGATATCGAAAAACAAATTTTCTTAAACCCAAAAACTGGTGCTAAAATTTCATTCGAAGAACTTGTATATGGACTTCAAGTGTTTGATCCTACGACAATTTTAGTGAAAGATCTAAATAGTAAATCTGATAATTATATTCCTTTTGATGAAGCAATTACAAAACCTATTATTGATAAGATAACTGGCTATATGGTTAATCCTAAAACAGGTAAACGTGTATCATTCTTAGAGTGCGTCCAAATAGGTTGGATTGTCGAAACACCTGAAGATGTTTCTGTGGTCGAACAAGTAACAGTTGAAACTGCACTAGAAAAAGGTTTATATGATCCGAAAACTGGGGAAATTAAGGACATTAATACAGGTGAACTTGTCCCAATTGGTGAAGCGGTTCAAAAGGGCTTAATTGATCATGAATCGTTACTTATTAAGGTTCCTCAGTCAAAGGAAATTATTTCCTTATCAGATGCTATAGATCGGGGAATTGTAGAGTTACGTGATGGTATAATTATAATAATTGAAACTCAAGAAACTATTGAAATATCAATTGCCATACAACGCGGTTTAATTACTATTTCTCGAAGACCGATCTCTATTGAAGCAGTAATTTGTAAAAATATGTATGAGCCAAAATCTGGTAAAATAAGAGACAATGTAACTGAGCAATTAGTACCTATTGATGAAGCTGTAGAACGAAATATTGTACATCCTACTATTTCAGAAATAAAAGACCCGGTATTAGAGAAATTTGTTCCTCTCTCTGAAGCTCTTGATACTAAACTAATAAATCCTGAAACTGGTAAAATAATAAATAAAAAGACTGGCGAACACATTGCATTAGATAATGCATTGAAAAAAGGTCTTATTGCTACTAAAACAGTTATATTTACCTTGTTCGATGTCATTGAACAAGGCTATTACTCTTCAGATACTTGCCAGGTTTTAGATCCCAGAACTGGAGAAACAATTTCATTAAACAAAGCCATCCAAGATAAACTCGTCGATCCATCCAATGTAAAAATTAAGGATGATAAATCCGAGACAGTCATTTCTTTTGAACAAGCAGTTAAATCTGGTCTAATTGACTTAGAACGCGGAATCTTTACATCACCATCACTTAACCTTAAAGATGCATGTGAAAAGGGCTATATACTAAGCGATCAAAAACCATGGTCATTACAAGAAAGCCTAGTTCAAGGTTTCTATGATCCTGAAACTGGCCTATTAACTATTAACGGTGTTACTATGACACTAGACGATGCTATTAAAGTCGGTAATATTAACCCAGAAGCATTAACAGTTAGGAATTCTGTAAGTGGAGAGATAATTTCGCTGGCAGATGCAATCAAAGCCGGTATCATTGATTCCAAGGAAGGAAAAGTTAGGGACCCTATTCATGGAGATAAAATCTCTTTAACGGATGCATCGGATCGTGGTTTAATAGTTCCTGCTAAGCGTAAGCTAAGCTTACCTGAAGCTGTATTCAAAGGTTTTTATGATCCCAAAACTGGTAAATTCTCAAACCCGTTAAGTAAAGACAAAATATCGACTGATCGCGCAATAAGAAAGCGTATGTTAGATCCACAGTCTACTTTAGTACACGTCGGCGGCAAAGTTATTCCATTTGAATTTGCAGTTGACAAAGGTATCGTTGATGGTAGAACCGGTACAATTTTATTAGGGGACGAAAGAGTAGATTTCCGCGAAGCGTTCGAAAGAGGTATATTAGTAGAAGTTCGTAAACCACTATCCCTTATGGAAGCGATAGAAAAGGGGGTATATAATGAAATCACAGGACTCTTCATGGACCCACAAAGTGGTAAAAAGTATACTCTTGCTGAGGCGATCAAAATGAATTTGCTAGATCCACATTCCGTACATATTCAAGATAATAGATTAGGTAAATGGGATAAGATTACTCTCTCAGAATCTATCGAGACTGGTGTAATCGACGAAAAGTCAAGTAAAATAAAAAATATAAATAGCGACAATGAGGAAATCAGTCTTGCTAAAGCTTTTGAAATAGGCTTACTCGTTGATAGCAAAGCTCCTATAAGCTTACAAAGAGCGCTGCATCAAGGTCTTTATGACGATGCTACTGGTAAAATAATTGATCCTTTAACGACACGTAAAATAACGTTACATGAAGCTATTAGGAGATCTATTATTAGTCCAAAATATCTTTGCTATTTTGATAAAAAATCTGAAAAACCTCTTACGTTGTCTGAATGTTGTCGTAGTGAAATAATAGATAAAAGAAATGGCAGGTTTAATGAGCCCGGCTCTGATGTACAAATACCTCTTTCCGAAGCTATGAATTTAGGACTTATCGTAGATATTGAAAGTGCCGGTTTCTCAGTTTATGATGCATTGGCTATGAATATGTATGATATAACGGAGCTAATGTTTATTCACCCTGTTACTGAAAGAAAAATTTCGTTGAAATCTGCTATGTCTGAGGAACTTGTTAATCCAGAGATTTCTCTTGTTAAACATATTCCTTCTAGTAAATATATTAAACTAATTGAAGCTATAGAATCTGGTATTATTGATGAAAATAATAGTGTATATATTTTACCTAACGGAAATCAAATTAATTTATTAGATGCTAAACATCGCGGTCTTATAGTAACATCCAAGAAAAATCTTAGCCTGGAAGAAGTAATAAAGAATGGTCTTTTTAGAGCGGACAATGGCAAAATAGTAGATCCTAGTACTAACGAATTTTTAGATATCAACAAAGCTATCGAAGCAAATCTTATTAATCCAGACCTTACAGTTGTTAAAGATAGCTCTACAAATAAATTTAAGCCACTCTTAAATGCTATACATGAAGGTGATGTCGATGTCACTAAAGGTAGGGTGTTAGACACAAAAGCAAAGAAAACGTATAGCTTAGATATTGCGTTCGATAAAGGCCTGTTGGTTACCATTGTGCAACCTATAACTTCACAAAAAGTATCCAGACGGTATGTAAAGGATAGTTCTGTGGCTAAAGAACCAATACTTCGAGAGTTCACGTTAGACGAAGCAATCAAATATGAATTCATTAACCCGGACACAGCGTTAATAAAAGATCCCCATAAAAATAAATACATTCCCTTGAAAGTAGCTATTAATGAAGGTATTATTGATAATAATGCTAAAGGTTTATTTGATCCTCAGAATAGATCGCGCGTTCTTTGCTTTACTTTTGAAAACGGTCTTATTGTTTATGTTAAAGAACCTTTATCGTTTGAGCAAGCAATAGAAGAAGGTCATCTCAATATTAGCACAGCTCGTTTTACCGATCCACAATCCAATGATGTATTAACAATTAAAGACGCGGCCATTATGGGCTATATCGATCCTGACACAGCGCTCATTAAAGATAATCTTAAAAAACGATTAGTTAAGCTTCCCGAAGCTTTCCGCAAAGGTTTAATGGATGCTGAAAAGGGTAATATCTTAGATACAGAGACCTCTAAACTCAATACACTAAGTTCCGCAATCGAAAGTGGCCTTCTTATCACGCCCAAGAAAAGCTTTACTTTAATAGAAACTTTGAACTTTGGAATTTACAATCCAACTACTGGTGCGTTGAGTGACCCATTCATCACGACGAGCGTGATTGATAGAAAGAGACTAACATTAGGTGAAGCAATTAATCAAGGTATCGTTGATCCGTCAAGTACAGTTGTTAAAGAACCGGAATCAGGAAAGATATGGCCATTAGTACAAGCAATAGAACAACAGCTTGTGAACCCAGTTGAAGGAAGACTGGTAATAGACCCGAAGAAAGGAATCAGTCTCGATTTAGTCAAAGCTCTTAAAAAGGGATACTTGCTGCCAGCAGAAACGAGGGTGAGTTGTATTTTTTTAATTTACAATATGTGCTTTAAACAAGCAAAGGTGTTGCTTTAAAACTTCTTTTATTTCCACTCTTAGTAGGTGATCTATTTCAACCAAGCGTATGGCTTAAAACATTGGCATGGCACGACACCCACATGACTTACGTCAATGACTGGGTTATAGGCGCAATTATTGTTTTTAGCGTTTAGAGGATGAACTCTAAATATTCATGTTAAATTTTACCTATAACTAAGTCAATTCATTTAGTCGGCTTAATTTGCCATCGTTTTAAACGTAGTTCAGCACATAGAGTACATTAAGATGGTCGAAATTGCATATATATCATTATCATACGTAATCATTCACTTATTAGGACATATTATTATTAAAATTTTCTTACGTGATTCCGACCTGACATATTGAGGATAGTTAGGATAAAATAAGCTTCTAGTTAATATTCCTATTGAAGTAGTGAATTTTCTTAAATCTTTTACGTGTCTTGTGTTGTTTATAGATGCTTAAGTTTAGGTTAATTCGCTAGATACTTGACAGTTTTCCAACGTTTTTTAAAATAAATTTGTGGATCCAAATAGAAGATTTACACTACACTTTGACATCTCACTCCTTTATAACAAAAAATATTTTATTACTCTATATTATAAAATATATTCCATAAGAAAGCTGTCAAATTCAGTGAAACGAGTGATTATGTGCTTACCCACTTTGTAATAAGGCTCGATGTATGTTGTTTTTTATTTCCAGCCGTTGCCTGCGATGCTAAAGAGCCATTTTGAGCTAAATCGTGAATGCTTGCCTTTGAGGGATCATATTAACGACGATATAAGAACCATCACCGTATCGCCAATTACCTAACCCTCATTCATATTGTGCTAAGATTATATTATGGGAGAGGTCGAAATGGACGTTCGTCCTGACCCGTGTCATCGACCTCTCGCTTTCGTATGTTCGCTTCCTCATTGGGAAACCAGCTTATTATGACTGCTGGTTCATTTAAATCTTCCGGAACCGAATTTCACTTAGCATTTTTCTTAAGTTTTGTGTTCCGATATACTCATTCCTTGGAAATGTGCTCACAAAATTTCGGAATGCATGATTGATCGTAAGACTAAATTACAATGTCGATATTACGGCGGTACTCGCGACGCAAACATTCACAAATATCAAATGGTAAAACATTTTCGACAAACAAACACACCAAAGGTAGTATTTATAATTCATTATGGTCTTAATATAAATTCGTCTTAGTGAGAATTTATTTCAACGTCATTTGTTTTAATTGTTTTAAGTAAAAGCTTCGATTATTATTTTCTTTGTTAACAAATGAAATGAAATAAGATCTCATAGTCGAATAAATAAATGTAAATTCGTTCAAATCAGTTATACTTTCGCCTATTAAACGTGTACATTCTTATCTATACTCTTGTACTATATTTCGTATACCAAAATCGTTTGTTTTAGAATTTCAGATTTTCCGAAAAAGGTACTCTTATCATTTTTTTACTTATTTTAACCTTTTACTTAATAAATAAAACTTACTTATACAAAATAACTATTGAAGATGTTGATACCATTTCTCAATTCTATATCACACAAACGTCAAAAATTAATGTTTTTTATTTTTGATGTTTGTACTGTCTCACTGCTTGCATGCGACGCTTATTGCACCTAGATTATGTGTTTTACGCAACATTTGGACGGGTTGTGTTGTCATCTTCACGCTCTTTGTAATTGGCCTTCTTCGTGTCTATACTTCTAGGTTTTGTCTTTGCTTCTATGCGTAGTTGTAGAGTAAGCTTACTTTTCAGGTGTTTATAAACAACTTAGCTTGAAAGCTAAGTTATTTACTATTGTATATTATTCTAAATTAATGTCAAGAGCGCGTGATGGTGCTTCGTTTACCTCACTATTTGTAAAATAAATGGCACTGTAAATTTACTTTAATCGTAGTCAATGTACAGTGACTTACAGCACTGTAGATAGATGCATTTAAAAGTCATCGAGTAGTCTTAGATGTCGCACTCATAAAGCTCGAGAACGAGCGTGTATATTGTAAATAATTATGCACATTATATAAAGCTAAGCAACTCATATTTAATTTTCAATGTTTAGCAAGCAGTAGAAGAAAAGTACAGGCTTTGCGATGAGACTCTGTCAAAGTTAATGGAATGGATCGCAGTCGTCGAAGAACGTTTGGCCAATCAGGAAGCGGTTAAAGAAGATATGGATGAACTTCGCAATCAGATCAACATACTTAAGGTACACTTGAAAATGTTATATTGTTACATTTAAAAAAAAAAAATTGTGCTTGTTATTGAAGGAAATACTTTTTTTTTTTATAGCTAATAAAGGACGACCTTGAGAGTCACCAACGCCAAGTGTCGGCTTGCGCAGACCAAGCCAAGCAGCTCCTTGTTTCAGGCAGTGATGTTCTTGCACCGCATGAGGTAAATTTTTAAAATATATTTCTTTAAGACATAATCGTATTTAAAATCACAGTTAAATATTAGGAATCAAAGGTGTAACATTAATTTAAAATACTTTTACCCAAGGTTGCCGCTTTGGAACGTGGAGTAAGACAGCTGAAGCAACGCTGCGACAAGTGCACAGATAAGTGCGACAAGATGCTAAGACGTCTGGCCGCGGCTAGAGATGAACTTGGCAAATTCACGTAAGTAGCTTCTCAATGACTGAATTAAAAATAAAATCATCTTAATATAAATTTTTAATTATTTTCTCAATATGTACCCAAAATTTTCCTGATTTTGATTATCTCAGAAGTATTTATTTGATGTGATCAATTATTGTCGTTTTTTTTTCAGCAATGAATTAAACACATTCAACTCTTGGATGGAAAGTGCATACCGCACTCTCGAAGATAAGGAAGAGGCGTTGTCTAAAGTAGATAACTTGAGCGGTCAGAGCGACGATGTTCGCGAGTTCGTGTCTGACGTGATCGCGCATCAAGCTGACTTAAGATTCATCACAATGGCCGCCCAGAAATTTGTGGACGAGAGCAAGGTTTATTTATTTATAAATATATATTTTTAAAATTTGAAAGAAACGGTTTTTAAATGTAACCTAAAAATTTAAAACCTGCTTTTGACTGTCATTGTTATTCTATTGTTTTTAAGTAATAATATGATGGAGTAATATTATGAGTAATAATGGTAAATAAATAATAATTCATTTGACTAATTTTGAACGTTCTCGAAATTTCAGGAATTCCTCTCAATCCTTAACGAGTATCGAACCACGTTACCAGCTCGTTTATCCCACATCGCACCACCATCTGATAGTCTAGTTCGTGAACACGCAGCCTTAGCCAGAAGGAGACACTCCGACTTGGCTAATAGAGCTCAGAGACTTTTAGACAGATTGAGAGCAGCAAGTGATGGATCTGCGAGGTACAAGGAAGCTGTGCAGAGGGCCCAGAGATGGATGCAGACGGTAAGTCTTAATATATACGGATATTTTAATTTTGGGAGCGTCTGTGGAAAATAAATTGGAGATTATCTGGTTTTTATATTCTTAATATGTCAATAGTATTTAAATAATATTAATGTGAGGCTTTATTTTATATCATATAAAATCGAACCTTAAATATGTTATTATATAGTCTATTTTCCTCTAGGTGGAACCTCAAATACGTTCAGTGATATCGGAAGCAGTGGGAGGAGAGCCCAGAGCAGTGGAATCTCAACTAACACGAGCAAAGACTCTGCATAACGATGTACTGGCACAAGGCCGGTTGATTGATAATGCTAAAGATGTAAGTTTTGTTACAATATCCAAATATTTAATTATAACTTATGTTGAAAAGTTTCGGAACTAATATCAGCGGAGTACTATTAAACTTAATAGTCTCCTTATATTTTTATCTGCATTTTTATAGCCAAAGTGAGACGAATGACATTGTTAGATGGAGAGTGTAGATTTTACTTTTTAAGAACAATACAGTGTAAAATTTATGTATATAAATACAATAGAATTAGGGAATCATCATTCCCTCTAACTTTAATGTTCCCAATACGTTATCGTTTAATTATTACATTCCTTACAGTTATTTTTATTTTAAGTTAAAATATATACAAACGAGTATTTATGAAAAGGAGTTTTATAGATCATAAGAAATTACACAAAATATTCAATTGATATTCCTTATTTAATAAAAGTTTTTTACAATAGAAAAAATAAAGGTTGATATAAAACTTTTATATTATGTCTCTATCCGCAGGCGTGCGAGCAGCTAGTCCGGTCGCTGGAAGGCAACTTATCGCCAGCAGAGATGAAACAATTGGAAGTGCCAGTGATAGAGTTGATGGAGCGCTACAACGAGCTGAGCGCGGCGGCGGCGGCGCGCTGCGCGGAGCTGGAGGCGGCGCTGCTGCAGTGCCAGGGCCTGCAGGACGCGGCCGAGGCGCAGGCGCAGTGGCTCACCGCCGTGGAGGCTGGCTTCAAGTGAGTATACGACTTTTTTTATTACTATACTCTGTTCACGAAGTGAACCATGCAAAGCGCTTTCTCTGTCACACATTAGCATACAAACTGATAAAGTGAGAATACTGTCTAGGTTCGCCCACTAACGTTTGCAACTGGTTTTGTCAAAAATATCAAAAAATGTTTCCTTGCCTTATACGAGTAAAGTATATCTTAAAATAAGTTTTCCCTCTTCTTAAATTAAGCCATACTATACCAATGTATGAAGTTTTAATATATTTATATTTATCTCAGGGGTCAACTAAAACCCGCCTCACTGATACGCGACCGTCTCGAAGAGCAAGTGCGAGAGCAAAGGCTCAGTCACTCGGAGTTAGAAGCGAGGAGGCCGACCCTCAACAAGCTGCTGTCGTCGGCGAGGGACGCGGCCCTCACGCCCAGTAACGCCAGGATTGCGAAGAAACTGGAGCAAAGAGCTGAGGATATATATGCTAGGTATGTTTTTTTTGTTTGTGACGGTTTCTTGTCATTATTGACGTTATTCGATTGAGTAATGTATAGCTGATTATTTGAATTATATGTATAATAGTGTCCTACTAATATTATAAACGCGAAAGTTTGAGAAGAGAGAGAAAGAGAGAATAGATGGATAGATGTTTGTTACTCTTACATGCAAAATCTACTGAATGATCAGAGTAACACATAGGCTACAATTTATAAAGATATAGTAATACAATAACGACAATTACGCGGGCGGAGAAAACGCTAGTTTTGTATAAAGCAAAATATTTCTTCGTTACGAACATTTAGTACAGATGAAATACGAAGTAGTAATAAAATATCATTATCTCCTATAAGAAGTAATAAATTCATCTACTCTTATAATATACGAGCGACTTACATAATTCACTTCGCTGTTATTTTAACATTACAAACAGATACTTCAATTATATTTAACTGACTCCAAAAAGGCGGAGGTTCTCTATTCGTCGGAATCTTTTTTTTTCTTTTTTAATGTATGTTCACCGATTACTCGAAGATGCCTGAATCGATTTGGATTTTTTTTTGTTTCGAAGGGTATACTTTCCAGGTTTAAATTTTATCGAAATCGGTCGAGGTTTTAAAAAAAATAAACAATAAATTATTTTTTTAAATAAATTACTTAATCGAATATGTTATTATCTTTATTATCTGTATAGATAATAATCAAAATGTTTCTTCCCCAAACAGATACGAGAAGCTGGTGGAGCGTTCTATCAAACGCAACGAGTTCCTGGAGGAGGTGTCGGCGGAGCTGGCGCAGTTCGCGGCGCGCGCGGCCGCGCTGGAGGCGGCGCGCGCGCAGCTCGCCGACCTCGCCGGCGACGAGCGCCAGCGCCTCGCCGACCTCGCCGCTGCTAGGTGCGTGTTCTGACTCATTCCACACATGTCCATCTGTCTGTGTCGGGCTTAGTTCCGATTCCCGCCACGAGATGGCGCTACTAGCAGGTCGCTTCATTCCTCGATCTCACTGGCAAGAGTTTTCCTTTAAAATACATAATATGTTATTAATTAAATATTCATATATAACTTATATGACAGGGACAAACAAATGCCACTTCTTGAAGAGTGCCTCCGAAATGGCAAAGAACTGATCTCGAAGAAAGATGTCACCGACACGCACGTCGTACGTGACAGGATGAAGGTTTGTAAGATTTTTTTTAAATAAACTAAAATAAACCATAAATTATTCCTCTTATATTATAAATTGAACTTAAATTTGACTATCATGTCTTCTTCAATCTAGATACAAGGTGATATTGCCGAATTAACTGCTCAATTGGCACGTTTCAAACCATTAATAGATAATTTAAAAACTTCGAATACGTATAAAATATATAATAAAAATAAATTAATTTTGAGATTTTCAATTATGCTCCATTCACTTGCATACATTTTAGTGTACGTACTTGGTGTCTCAGTTTTGAACGAAACTCTTTTAATGCCTAACGTCCGTTTATATTTTGTTACGCGATATTTCGAAAAAACGATGAGCTGATTTCAATATATATTTTTTATCAATATTCAGACAGTACCAATATAAATATACTATGGTTGTTATAAACGTTGTTCTTTTTTTCTTAAATAATTTACTTTTTCCTAGGCTCTGGAGAACCAATGGCGCGACTTCAACGTGTCTCTGGAAGAGAAACAGAAGCTGTCCAAGCAGAGAGCTGATCAGCTCAACCAATACGAGTCATTGAGAGTACAGGTAATATATACATACTTTTAGGATGGGATAATAAAAACCTACAATAAACCAATATTCTTAACTTTAAAGATCATTTGACTTATTGTTAGTAAAAATATAAAGACAGAAGGTCCATAGTAGTACATAATATATACTATAGTAGTATCTATACATATAAGTTAATTATAATTATCCAATTTGGAAATAATATTAGGTACTTGTGGAGGTCTTAAAATTAATAGGAAGCATAATTTCAATGCAATCAAATATAATATTATATATTAAATTCTCCTACCGCGCCGAATCTGTTTGTTCGGGCTAATCTCAGAAACTACTGTACGATTTCTCATACTGGTTTCACTAATAACAAAAGGGCTTCCCTTAGAAGGTTATAGGCTATAAATTATAAATATTTTGTGAAAATTAACTAACGGTATGATGATATTTGTGAATTTATATAAGTCGGAAGAAATCGTCCATTCTGAGACATTCCCTAATATTATTATAAATTCAATAAGCATCAAGGGACGATACGAATTAAATTAGGCTAGTTCCATCTACAAAAGATGATTGAATGTAGCGTCCGGTAGTTTGCATTTCCGCTCATGGCTGAAAAGACCGATACGGCTGTTACAGCTGCGATTACAATTGTTGCAAAGAGCAAATTGCAAAGGGACTATATGAACATCTATTATAGCCATTATTAATAACGAGAAAGCCACAAGTTTTATATCATTTTGCCCACCAGGTCCTAGAATGGCTGCAGCATATGGAGACCCGCGTGACGCACTTGCGCCCCGTCGCAGTGGACCTGGACGTCATCAAGCACCAGCAGGACGAGCTCCGGCCGCTGGTTAAGGACTATAGGGACTACTCTGTTAATATTGATAAGGTTTGTGTTATTTTTTTTTTGTGTTAGCTAAAATTATACCTGCTTTTAAAAAACATAGTGAACTTTTAGTCTTTTTATATAATTTTTTTAAGACTACCGTTTGGACCACTTTAGATAGCTTCAAATACTATAATATAATTAATTTTAAATAATAAACGCTTTAAATAATGTTTGCTTATACAAAGTATGAATTTTTCCACCTACTTATCATAATACTTTCTTAGATTTACGCGTATATTTGACATTTTAAGTAAAAATATCTTTTCGAATTATCTCTCGGATTTATTTAGATTTTTTGTTTCCGACATTTCGAATGCATTACAGCAATCATGGTCACGGGAGAGACTAAGGTAATAGACGCCTCAAAGGCATGTACAATAAAGGTAGATATCGTTATTGCAGGTGAACGACGCGGGCGCGGTGTACGAGGCGCTGACCCGCGGCGAGCGCGCCGACTCGCCGCACCGCCGCCGCCAGGTGTACAGCCCCGCCAAGAGACACACGCCTAGTATGTATTGTCATTGTGCTTATACTACTGTTTATCCGTGGCTTTGCTTATATGATATGAAATTAAAAATATATGTTTTCTAGGATGTCATTCGATTTAATCTATGCAGATAAATAAAATTGAATTGTCTGTTTGTAATGTCGAAATAAAAGCTTTTTATTAAATGTTTATGAAATTATTATGTACGGAGTACCGTAAAAAAAATTTTTTTTTTTTGGTCTGTCTGTCTTGTTTCGGCTAATTTTCGAAACTGCTGGGCTAATTTTGACGGGACTTTTACTGGCAGATAACTGATGTTATAAGGAGTAGCTTAGGCTACTTTTATTTATGAAATTAATTATTAGAATTAGGGTTCCGCTCGAAAAAATAAATCTCCTAGGGATGCACTCGAGCGAAGCAAGGGTAAGTCGCTAGTATATAATATGATTGTAATTTATTGGCTTGTGGAAGTTTCAAGCAATTGTACAATTTAGGTTTTAACTATTAAAAATTTAGGCTTACGTTATATAAAATGCGTGAGATTGCAAGTTACATCCATCACGTTATAATATAACAATTCATATAAGAAGATACAGAGTAAAGGAAAGATAAATATCCAAGAATTAAAAAAAATACATAAACAACACTCGCTGATATTTTATTACACGTCCAGATGATATTCGATTTCAAGAAGCTAATATAACCCTAAAGGACATGACTATAAGGTTGTATTTCCCATAAGGTCGCGGCGAGATGCGGTCTCCGTCGCCGGGCAAGGCGCGTGCGCTCGTCAGCCCACACTCGGCTTCCTCGGGCTTTTCCTCCAGACGGTCTAGTCAAGATGGCTTCCATTTGGATGGTGAGATATGCTGCTTTTGTATTTTTTTCCTTATAATCATATATTTTTTAAGTGTGAGTAACAGTTATGTTATTAAGTTGAAGTTGGCCACCGTGGCCGAAATCGACCTGGACCTTTTTTTTATTTTAGTTGTGTATATTTTGTTTGTTTTTTCATAGAACTTTCACCAGTCCAACAACAAATATCCGAGATCAACAACAGATACGAGTTACTAGGAACAAAACTCGCGGACAGACAGACTGAGATCGACTCTATCAGGGAGGAAGTTAAGAAACATCTGGACAGCTTCCGATCTCTTAATGCGTTCTTAGATAAGGTGAGCTCTTTGTTTTTTTTTTTTAGTTTATTGTGTTATTTTGCACAGATAACATAAAATATATTTCTTTATTAATTAAATTGAAAAAACTATTCGATTCAGGTTTATTTAATTAATACATTCTTAATCCTATACCATAGAAATTGCATAGATTTTTTTGATTAATATAGATAACATTTTTGAATACGTGGAATTAAATTAATGTTGAATATGTTTTTCTTAGATTCAAAGACAACTGCCCAAGGAGTCTGTGCCCAATACAAAGGAGGAAGCCGATAAGACGATCAAACAAGCGAGAGCGGCTCTCGAAGAGATGTATGAGAAGCAGAGCATGCTTGACTCTACTAAGACCCAGGTAAGATAATAAAAAATAATTGTGAGTCAATATAGCTTATTAAATAAATAATATAGCTAAATATTAAGTTCTTTTTTACATAATACTTTCTTAGATTTACGCGAATGTTTGACATTTTTAAATAAAACTATCTTTTCATTATCTTTAAATTATAAAAATGTTTAAAGTTAAAAAATATTGTAATGTAATTGGTGCAATTTTCATTTTGTTAATTGTGGGTAGGCTGTCTGTAACAACTATAGATTCTACTTTCTTAGATTTACGCGAATATTTGACATTTTAAATAAAACTACACACGGAGTCTCTCCCGTGACCATGGATGCTGTAAAGCATTCGAAACGTCGGGAAACAAAAATGCAAATAAATCCGCGACAAAATCCGAAAAGATAGTTTTATTTAAAAACTATACATTCAAGACATGTAACACCTCAGTCTCTCCCGTGACCATGGATGCTGTAAAGCATTCGAAATGTTGGGAACCAAAATCAAAATAAATCCGCGAAATAATCCGAAAAGATAGTTCTTTTTACATTTTAGTATATATCAGTTATTTGAACTATAAGTAAATTTTTTTTATTAAATATTTTAAATGCTATAATGGAGTATATATTTAAGCTTACGTTTTAATCTACGGTATAAGACAACAAACAAGAACTTATCTCTAAAATAGACCTCTTTCAGCCCAACTTATGAAAGTGAGAAATAAGTAGTGTAATTTAGTTATGTAATATGGTATATATAAGGTTGTAAATATTTTAATATTTATCGATATATTATAAGCTAGCGCTTTAGTGTAGTTTCAGTCGGGTGCGATTTTTTTAAATATATTATAACCGTTCTACGACTCAGGTGCGCGAACTGCTCCGGCGCAAGCCGTCGGTGGAGGGCGCGGACCGCCTGCACGACGAGGCGGACGAGCTGGCCGCGCGCTGGCGGGCGCTGCACGATGCCTTCAAGGACAAGTGAGTAGCGATATGGCGGGTTATACGGGGAACGCAGTGGTAACGTGCTGGTAACCAAGTGGTAACGCGCTAGAAACTAAGTGGTAACGCGCTAGATTGGGAAGCCAAGTGAAGTGGATTCAAATCGGAGTCGCCCTTCTGATGTTCTCTACGAATCTGTTTCAACTGAGATTATTAAGCAATATGTGACGATTTGTCAAATTTCTCAGTAATGTAAATATAGCAGATATTAATTAATAATTTTATTATTACCTAAAAAAAAGTTTTCCTATCGATACGTTAAATGATGAAGATATCCAAAATTTGATTGTATAGTAAGTTACAACAAAAGCATATATGTATGTATCAATCAAGTAATTCACATCCCCCATCCAAAGGATCCTGGTGATGGAGGAGATGAAGGACTTCCACGACTCGCACAGCAGCCTCACCGTGTGGCTCACCGCCAAGGAGCGCATGCTGTCCGCGCTCGGGCCCATCTCCTCGGACTCCAGGGTTGTCCACACCCAAGTCCAACAGGTAATGGGCTGTTTGTATATGGAGTTTAATCAATTTTGGTCTAGCTTTTATACTTTCTAAGATTTACATTTTGAATAAAACTATCTTTTCGGATTATTTCGCGGATTCATTTTCATATTTTTGATTTCCGACGTTTCGAAAGCTTTACATCTATCATTTTAGGTAAGTATTGTGGGTAGGCACTGTCTGTAACAAGTATATAACGCCCTTGAGACGTCTAAAACCTTAGTCTCTCCCGTGACCATGATTGCTGTAAAGCATTCGAAACGTGGGAAATCAAAAATCAAAATAAATCCGCAAAATAATCTGAAAAGATAGTTTTATTTGGTCTAATTTTTTTATAGAATTGGAAAGTTGATAAGCACAAATTTGATAGTAGGATAAGTAATTTCACGCGATCTTAGTCGCGCGTTCTTACAATAATTCCATTTATATTAAATTGGTGTTGCTATAAGACGTATTTAACCGTCTTCAAAATAATATGTTCTGTATTCGACCCGTATATACGTGTTTGTATGTCCCCAATTTTCTCAAAAACTAAATCTGATACGGATAACATTTTCGTTATTTTGTAATAAAGATGTGTCGCTAATTTTACATAACTTTTCAGGTGCAAGTTCTTCGCGAGGAGTTCAGAAGTCAACAGCCCCAACTGACTCATTTAGAAGAAGTAGCGCATACTGTGCTCCAGCGTTTGCCACAAAACGACCCAGATGCGAATAAACTTAGCAATAAACTAAAGGTGTTGCAGGACAAGTGGAATGATTTGCTTAACCAGTTAGTATATTGTTTTTGTTTATTATGTTGGCAGTATTGTTATATTTGTTATTATATACATTTAGTGTAAATGTTGGTATACTATTTTGTTCTGTCAAGAAATCGAACCCTAAAATAATAGTTCTTTTTATAACGATGAAATTAAATAAATAGTTAAAGACACCATGCAATTGTAACTTTTAAATGTATATTTTTAACTTTTTAAATAAAAATGTTAGTTTAGCAAAAAAATGAATATTTTTTTGTTTTATTTTTGACTTTTTTGGCTCAAGCATAAGAAAAACAAAACTAAATGATTTTTTTGGCATCATCCAGGCTAGAACAGCGCGCAGAAAGCCTAGGCGCCGCGGCCGACACGTCCCGCGAGCTGGACGCCGGCCTCGCGCGCCTCAAGAATGCCCTGCACGCCATATCCGATAAGCTGGACGAGGTGTCCTCTCAGAGGGAGCCGGCCGACCAGCTCCGAGAGGTCGAGGTGAGGAGTGGATTGATTTTCATTTTTTTGAGGTGAAACTTCTTTAGAGTCGTTGTGATTTGAAATTCAATGAAACGAAAATGCGACACTAAAAAGAGACTAACCCATAAATGTATAGGATTACGCTGGCGAGAGAATGAGATAGAATACTTTGTGACGTTGCCATGGTGATCGTTGTGATGATCTGATAAATATATAATATTATATTCTTATATATATCGCACATGACATTCTATAAATATATGATTGTAATATGCCTAACATGCCTTATTTAATCATTGATTTGTTTTAATTAAATTGCGATACTTGCCAAAGAAGTTTCACTTCTACCGTGAGTGAATTACACACACGCACACACACTTTTAACTCTTTTTTTTGTATTATATTTGTATGTTATAAAAGAAGAAAAGTTTTTAGATTGCTGTTTTAGCATTCGTTTTTGGAGGTACATTAAAGAGTTTTTGTTATTATTATTGTTATAAAATAAAGTTTTTGCGTGTGTTAGTATGTATATCATATAAGGCTGCCTCTTGTGTATTTTGCTACCACTGCGTTGTTTTTTCTTCTCCTTCTTTTGTGTGTACAATAAAGGGTTTTTATTATTATTCACTAATAATAATAAATATATATTGAGGTTCTGTTTTCAAAGTTATATAGATAATCTATAAATTCCAAAAGAATTTTGAAACGGGCCCATAGATTCTGAGATCAGCTCGTATAGACAAACAAAGTTTTCATCTTTTTAGTATGTAAAAAGTATCCTATTTGTTGACTCGGATAACCAGCTATCACCATACCAAATTTCATCAAAATACCTACAGTGGGTTTTTCGTGATGTGGTAACAGATAGACAGACAGACAGACAGAAAAAAAATCTAAAAACTATTAAATTCGGCCTCTGTATCGATAATAATGTCTATTTCAATAAGATTTTCCAAAGAATATTTAATGTACAGATTCGGCTTAGTTAAAATTTTATTATATATATGTATAGATAATAATAAGGTGTGCGTGTTTAGAACCTGGAGCGTCAGCTGGAGGGGCAGCGGCCGCTGCTGGCGGACCTGGAGGGTGCGGGCGCGGCGCTGGCGGGCGTGCTGGCGGGCGCCGGCGCGCGCCACGACGCCGCGCACGTGCACGCGCAGCTGGCGGCCGCCGCGCGCCTCTACGACGGCGTGCAGCGCAAGCTCGACCACGCCAAGGCGGAGCTCGAGGCGGCATTGAAGTGAGACGCTAGGATTGTTTCATTATATATTTTTTAATTTCTTTATAGCTCTTAATCCTTTATAGTATTGCGAATGGTCCGCCATTTTTTTTAGTTTGTGATATTGTGGAAACGAGCATATCACGAGTATATCAATACACGATGTTTAAATATCTCCAATTTTGAATAATTTGTTTCTTTGTAAGGCTAACGGTTGAGTACATTATTATATTCTTTATTGCACAAAACAAGTAATGAAAAAATACATGGAAAGTAATGTGGACGAAAGTATTATGATATTCAAATAATATTATTAGTTTGAAATGTTCACATTTTTAAATTTAAATGTGTTTTAAATTTAAAATTATAATGGCTAAAGCTATAGATAACTGTAACGTGTTGAATTCTTTGAAGTTTAATAAAAGAATTGAATTGAAAGAGACTAAATAAATATCATACCAACTTTTTTATATACTCTTTCGTGTATAACCAAAAGAAAAAAGTATATTGATACTATAAAATAATACATCAGGGACGGTCGTAACCTGGAAGAGTCAGTGTCGCGCACGCTGGGCTGGCTGCAGGCGGAGCTGGCGGCGCTGCCGGGGCGCCTGCAGGTGTCGGCGGAGCGCGGCCGCCTGCAGCAGCAGCTGGCGCAGCACGAGCCGCTCTACCGGGACCTCACCCAGCGCGAGCACGAGATTATCATGTTGTTGGATAAAGGTATGACACACACTTTATAAATGTAAGTCTTTAAACTTTCATGGTCATTATACAGAATAATTATAATGTGAAACGGAATGTTTACCACGTCTTTCACTTTCAAGAGTTCCCAATATTTCTACATAGTTACAAGCCCCAAGACTTTTATGCTGAAGATGATGTTAATTTTTTTATTGGCAGACATATCTTTCTAATTCATTTTGTACGTCCGTTACCACCATCACTGTAATGAACTGTAACTCGATTCTAGTTTCGACGCACAAAACTCACTGTATTCTTTATACACACTTTAATGTGGTTGATATATTTTTTTAAATACGTGAAAGAATTGTAAATGTCCCATGTAAATTATAATAACAGTTGATAGATGGTCCATAATCCCTACAAATGAGAAAATCGGTTTTTTTCTCTGTTTGCATTACAAAGAAAGATTTTTAAAGAAGATTATTAATATTAAATCTTTCATGTCTAAATTAAATTAATAAATAAAAATTTTAGGAAACATTATAACTGTATAGAGTTCGTTTGGATATGAAATAGTAATTGTTATCTTGCTCATATAGGCCGTGAGATGGAAAAGAAGCCAGCACACCAAAACCTTCGCAAGGACTTGGACAGGATCCAAACGCAATGGGACAAACTCAAGCGGGAAACTGTCGACAGATACACACGCTTGCAAACGGCTATGGTGAGTTGTATTTTTTTTTTCATTTTTTTTTCTATTATCTAGAAAATATTAGATATTATAAAAGATAGAAAATCTTTTTTTAAGAGTTTTCGATTAGACTTTTTTAAGTACTAACCCTCTATAGACTGTGGTGATTTAAAGATCGCGGTTTAGATGTACAATAATAAGTGCGAACAGAATCGGTCTTTGCGTATAACATTGTACAAATATATAAAAATAAAGTATGCGTGGTGCGCCGCTACCTACCGAAAGTGCAAGTCTCTATTCAAATTACAATTGCGTTAGTTTATATTTAGAGTGTATGAGCGTATTTGTTATTACTTCATGCTGTAACCGCTTAATGGATTGAAGTGAAATCCGTAATGAACATGGTTTATATCATAGACTATTGACTTACCATCGCTTCGCTCGGATTCATCTCTAGGTACGTTTTAATTTTTAGCGAAATCCTAATTCTTTTTCTAAAACAAAAGTAGCTTACTTACTCCTAATAATATCAGCTATCTTCCAGTGAAAGTCCCCTTAAAATCAGTCTAGCCGTTTCGAAGATTAGCTGGAACAAACAGCTAACAAAAATTTTAAAAATTGTGTTTCTCTTTTCATTCGTTTTAGTAAAAAGCTGTTATTTTGACATTGCGAACAGACGCTTCGATTTTATTTATCTGTATAGATGAACAAATAGGCTATTTTTTTTTATTTTATCTATTGAACTAGTAAAACAAGTCAATCATGCATTGCATGACTAACATTTCATGTCTTCCACAGGAACACTGTCGCAAATACAGCAAAGCACAGGAGTCGTTCGTGCCGTGGCTGTCGGACGCCGAGGACAGACTCAACAAGCTGCCGCCCGTCGCCTTCACCAAGAAGGATGTGGAGAAACAACTTAGAGAACTGCAACAGATCAGGAATGATGTTTGGAAGAGGTAACATTTTGTTGATTTTTGGGCTTATAATTTTAATTAGGGTTTATAAAATTTAGATGTATGTATTGTATTATTTATTAGTAACTAAAACGTATGAATTTTTGATAACGTATTTTAAAAACGATTGTATTTATGATGTGGTTCAAATAAAAGTTCATAATATCTAAAAATCACAAAATTTTATTTAGGATTACTTTGTTTTTTTTTTATTGTTAAACGTCATGAATATGACGTCAGTTAGGAAAGTAAAAACTTTAGCCCCAAAAATAATTGGTTATATTAGTTCTTAAATATAATTTTATTTCAGTTATCTTTTTTATTCAATGTGCGGAGTACTCAATTTCGGTTATGTTATTTTTCTCAATAATGAACTTATTTTATGATTCGAATTTCAAATAATACTTTTTAATCGAAAGTTCCACCCTTAGTGGTAGAATACTAGTTTTTAAAATATATTTTAACGTTTTGTACCTTTAGTAACAAAATAATTATTTCAAAGGTCCGGTGAATATGAGAACAACCGCACTCTAGGCGAGACGTTCATCTCGTCGTGCGACGTGGATCAAGAGATCGTAAGGAAGCAGCTCGACGATATGAAGGACAGATGGGACAGGATTAACAACGGTTTGTGTTTTATTTATTTATTTATTTTATTTCTACACAGATTGGTAGCTATATTTGTTTACATAATATTTTATTAGATTCACGATAACACATGTGAAAATATAAATAAAATTATATTTTTTATGAATTTTTGCTTTTTTATATTTTTCTTTCCGAAGTTTGGAACGTTTTACAACAATCAGGGGAGGCCTCAAAATAAAACTCCTTACTTATATTTGATTGTTTTTTACATTTAAAACAATAAATTACATTAAATTTATAGAAATTGGCAAAAGTATGTATTAATTAATTACACCATTTATATTTTTATCCACAGAGGTGCTCCAACAAGTAGAGTACCTGGAGTCCACGGCGCGCAAGCTGGGCGAGTTCCTGGACAAAGTGCGCGCGGTGGAGGCCCCGCTGGCGCGGTGCGAGGAGCGCCTCGACGCGGCGCTGGCGGAGCCGCCCGCCGCCGCCAGGGACGCTGTGGCCAGGCTGCTGGACCACGTGCACGGGCTTAGGGCTCCTCTGCAGGTTCGTGTTGTGTTGTTTTGGGATTTTATGTCTTTTGAATTTTGAACCTGTAATATTGAGTATGGTGCGCATATTTTAATTGTTGTGTTTTTTTTTAATTAAATTACAATATATTTTATTTAAATAGTCAGTATGTCGTTGTGGATGCTACCACTGGTTTAAAATGCAGTTCTGCTGAAGAGTCGGCGAAAAACTCAAAAGTTGCTCTGTGCTGCTCAGTGTGAAATATGCTATAAATAATTGCGCAGTTATTAGTATTATTGTGAAAGTAATAGATTGACTGTTTGAATGTCATCGTTAGTAGTGACAAGTTAATTTGACGAGAATAGATAAGTTACACAATTTAATAAAAAATTTTTGATCCAGAGCGTGAACATGGCAGCAGACGACATAGTAGCCCTAGCTACGGAGTTCGGTGGTCCGGAGGCCGGCGCTCGCGCGCGCCCCGTCGTGGACGAGACGGTGCGGTCCCTCGCCGAGAGGCTGCAGGAGCTGGAGGCGAAGACCGAGGACGCGAGGGAGAGGCTGGCTGGTGCCGCACACGCATACTCGCAGTTCCAGGTGAGTTCTGGTGTTTGGTGGTGGAAATGGGTAGGATTGAAGGAATTTCTTTGTTATGTGGTTTTGGAACAAATTGGATAAATATTTGTGTTGTCTATATTATTGTTATGGCAATATTCGATTAGAGTTAAAGTGACAACTATTTATTTAAAAGACAATAGCAGATATCGCATACGAACAACAGTAATGAATTAATCGATAGAAATTTTTAATAACTTATAGATTCTCATAATTGACATATTCTTTAAATCTTTGTATTTTTGTTTCGTAGGATAAAGTAAAGAGCGTATCCCACGATTTATCCGATTTGGATAAGGAATTAGACACCATGAAGGCACCAGGCCGAGAGATCAAGACTGTGAAAGCCCAATTAGACGATCTGGGCAGGTTCTACAAGAAATTGGAGAATTTGGAAGATTTGATAATAGCTTCGGAGAGAGCTGCTGAAAACTTGGCTGATGGTGGCCATGGGGACTCTGATAAGGCGAGAGATCAAGTATGTTTAGAACGTTTTTTTTGTTATTCGTTTCTTTTCACCTTTAATTAGCTATAATTAAAAATTAGCTATTTAATAAGCCTTTCATTATATTGTATGATAACTCATTTTTTGCTGAGAATGAAGTAAAATAAAAATAAATCAAATATGGATTTTATATATTAATTAATAATTTCCTAGGTGGAAAATATCAGGAAACAACTCGGCAAGTTGGACGAGCGTGCTCGCGCCAAGGAACAAGACTTGGAAGACACCCTCAGCAAGCTGGAGGCCTTCTACAAGGCGTATGACTCTGTTATAGATGATGTCGATGAGGTAACTCCTTGCTATTATTAATTTTTTATTTGTATGTTAAACTAGTGGACCCAATAGACGTAGTTATGTCCTTTTAATTTTGTTTCAGTGCTTTCAGTTTCTCCCAATTTTCACAAATTTTGGGGTATATTTTAATTTTTCCGATCTCAAGTGATGCGTTTACCGAATATCAGCATTTCGTTTTTATTTAATTTTAATTTAGAATTCTCTACTAAAATTAAAAGTACTTTTTTTGTTAAGCAAAAAATAATAACTTAATTTACTGTGTATAAAACATTATATACCAATTAAACCCTCTAATGTAACTTCTTTTCTGTAACCTAGGCGTCAGAGCAAGTCCGTAGCCTCAAACCAGTTTCATCAGAAGTGGAACAAATCCGCACACAGCAAAAGGACTTTGCGGACTTAAAGAAACGCACACTAGAACCGTTGGGCCAAAATGTATCGCATTGCAACAAGATCGGCCAAGGCTTAGTAAGGTCCGCCTTACAAGGGGTGTCCACGCAACAGTTAGAGAAGGACTTGGAGAAGATGAACGATAGATGGAACGCGCTTAAAGATAAGGTATGATAAAAAATATTTTCCTTTGCATTTTTCTGCTTTTTTTCATATTGTGGGAATCGAATTTTATCTTCTTTGAACTACTCCAAAATTTTGTAGTACCATGTTAGTCAAAAATAATGGTACTATGGTTTAAGACAATAAAAACTGTAAAAACCATCCGGTTACATAATCTGTGACAGATTGGAAATAAAATTTTTAGTGATATTGATATGTTGATAGTTATCTTGTAGCATCTAAAAAAATTTTTCACTCAACATTAAGTATAAAAAAGCATTGATTGACCATTGATACTATGTAAAACAGAATAATAAAACAAAATGTAGCGTTTGTACTTTGTACGTATATTCTATATTTATCTTTTCATACATAAACATTTCTGTATAGATGAACGAAAGGGAACGTCGCCTGGACGTGGGTCTGTTACAATCAGGCAAGTTCGCAGAAGCGTTAGCCGGTTTGGAAAAGTGGCTGGCGGATACGGAAGATATGGTCAACAACCAGAAACCGCCATCTGCTGACTACAAGGTCGTGAAGGCTCAGTTGCAAGAGCAAAAGGTAATATATCTTTTTTTTATTGTGTGATTGCACAATGTGTCTATTTAAATAAATGAAAGTCATATAAACATTTTTTTTTAATATGTTTATTATATAATTGGTGTTTATTAAATGTCTCTAGTAGTCAATTGTTCCTAGTTGTAGTAGATAGATAACTTTGATAGAGACTTTTTAGGTATTGTAAAACTTGCTTATAATATTTGGTTTATCGTCTGTGGACACTTTGATGTATCTTTACTTTGTAAAAATTCTTTACAGTGGAAGTAATTATATTATCGACTGAATTTATTTAAGAAAGAAGTAAGCGTTGTAATGGAAATTAGACAAAGTATAGACCATATTTTCTAATTGGATGATATTATGTAATTCTAATTACCAATTAATAAAATCGTCATACTGTATTACTGTATAATTAACAAATAAGAACAAATACTTTCCCCCACCAGTTCCTGAAGAAGATGCTGATGGACCGTCAGAACTCGATGTCGTCGCTGTTCGCGATGGGCAACGAGGTGGCGGCGGGCTGCGAGGCGGCCGAGCGCAAGGCCATCGAGAAGCAGCTGAAGGCGCTCATGCTGCGCTTCGACCAGCTCACGGGCGGCGCGCAGCAGCGGATGCTGGACCTGGAGCAGGCTATGAAGGTAAGCCTGCCTGACTTACATGGGATATTGTTTTTTTTTTCAAGTGAAACTTCTTTAGAAACGTTGTGATTTGAAAATCGATTAAACGGAAATGTGACACTAAAAAGAAACAAACTAGTTCTAGATCTTTGTGTGGCATTTTAATGGTGTATTAGGTGTATTGTATTATGCAACATGCATATGATAATAAAAATATATGTATGATAGAAAAACTGCTTTTATCGATTTAGGAACAACACTAACGTAGTCGCAAACAAAAGCTATTATAACATAACCTATAAATTATAATCTTAACTAATTATTATAGGTGGCGAAACAGTTCCAAGAGCAACTACAGCCGTTGGTAGAATGGCTCGGCGCGACCGAGCGCAAGGTGAAGGCGCTGGAGCTGGTGCCCACTGACGAGGAGAAGATACAGCAAAAGATTAGAGAGCATAAGGTTGGTATTTTTAAATATTTATCATTAAAAAAATACTTTTTTTATAACTAAAATTTTAATTTATGTTATTGTTATTTATTTTAGGGAAACACAGTATTACAGAGCATACAACTTAAAATAAAAAATACACACATTTACCAATTAAGTTTCCAGAAATAAGAAACACATAATTTGATTCATACTCGTAAATACTATAAACACAATTTAAGTACATATATGAAAGTATTATGAAATTTATTAAATAATGTTATTAATTAATTTCTTGAAATTCATAACAGAACAGTTCATTATATTAGTATCTATAATATCTATAATCTATAAACTGTACACAATACAATTATTCTATATGTTTAAAGTGAGTATTATAATCACGACAAGACCTGTGTAAGAAAAGATTGTAATCAAATTTTGTACCGAAAGGTACATGGAATATATCTCTTTTACGTGAGTAGAAGGTTGGACATCTAAAATAAATATTACCCAAAAGATTGGAGAGTCAATAAGGTTTTTGGTAATTTAAATAAAAATAATAATCATCATTTTTTAATAGTACGGTTAATTGAAGCCTTATTTTAAGTGCTAATTGAAGTTATTTCAATGGCAGAAAGGAAAATAGCTCAGTAAATAAATTATCTATACTGTTACTATTTAGCCTAGATGGCTTTTGCCTTTATAATATAACAAAAGCTCTCAAAACGATATTCCTTGACTTTATACACAAATATCATATAGGGATAGCGAAAAGATAGTTTAGTTTTATTTAAAATATCATATAGGGAGCTTACTTTAACCTTCCTTGATAACCTCTCTTTTTATTGATGAAAACTTTATGAAAATTGCCTAAACAAACATAAATCAACACGGAAAAGACCTTATTTTATAATATATAGAGCTAAGCAAATTGTATTATAATAAATAATAATTTTCCAGCTCCTCCACGACGATATTTTGTCCAAACAACCGCCGTTCAAACAGCTCACGGAGACTGCGTCGCAGCTGATGGGACTCGTGGGCGACGACGAAGCCGCGGCACTGGCTGACCGGCTACAGGCCGCCACTGACAGGTATGTAATACTATTGTAAATGCAAATGTTTATGTGTATGTGTATGTTTGTTACTCCATCACGCGGAAATGTCTAGACAAATTGGAATTAAATCGATTGTTAAAATATGAACATAGTCCTTTATATTGTATGAAATGATAGGCTAATCTGCTTGTATATTTATATACTATTTATTTATAAGGAATAAATCACTACAGCGTCATCGTTTTCATGCGTCACGGTCCTTTTATTTGTACTTTTACCTATTTTAGCTCATTTACCATAATCCTTATACTAGTTTTCATTATGTTTATTTATGTATTTTAGTACACCGATAGACTATGATTTGAGCATATAAGCTACTGTTAGACAAATATTTATCACAGTAACTTATGTTACAGTGAGAAATGTACCATACATTTTTCAGTTCAGATAGATTCCAAATTAATTATTCGATCTCATTTAATTGTTCATAATTTACCTAATTTTAATTATTATAAATATTAAAATTTAAAAGGTTCTTGTTTTACGTATCGCACTATGGAGAAAACTTTCTACGATATCTAACTGGGAAAGAATGCATATGTTTATTAATTATTTTATTTACATTTTATCTCTTTTATCCCAGATACCAAACTCTAGTGGACCACAGTCTGAACATCGGCGAGCTCCTGGACAACTCCCGCAAGGGCCTGCGACACCTGGTGCTGACGTACCAGGACCTGTCCGCGTGGATGGACAGCATGGAGCAGTACCTCGCCAAGCGGAAGGTGCTGCCGGTCCACATGGAGAAGCTGCTGCGCCAGATGGACGAGCTAGCCGTAAGTTGGGTTTTGGACTTTTGATATATTGTATTATGTACTTGGGCTTTGTGTTAATAGTAATTTGGAGAATTAAACAACCAAAAGTTCTGGATTTTTTAAAATAAGTATATTTGTAAATATGGAGGCTCAAATAATACTATAGTATTATTTGTTAGAGTCAAACCAAAAATATTAGCTTTTTTTTCATTACTATGATGCATATGAAACTTGGCACAAGATCTTATTTTTTAATTAAAAACATTTATAATTGTTCATTAAAAATGAAAATCACTTATTATGAACTTTTATAATCCAAAATAAATTTCTAACAGGAGAAAACAGAAGAGATAGCCTCAAAGCAAGAGCCGGTGGACAGTACGGTAGAATCTGGCCTGGAGCTAATGAAGCACATCTCAGGAGATGAGGCTTTACAGTTAAAGGACAAGTTAGATGCTCTACAGAGGCGCTACAACGAGCTGACGTCACGAGGTGCTGAGTTGTTACGAGTGGCTTCTGAGACCTTGCCGTTGGTGCAACAGCTCTATAACAGCCATGCAAAGTGAGTATATACTATACGTCTATATATGTGAATACTGTGCTAATAATGTCGCCGCCATTGATGTAATGGTATGTGTGTGGTGGTTCGAATCCGGAGTCGAGTCGAGTATAGTTACTGCTGAAAAAAACACGGACTTTGGAAGTTGGCATGTATGTATGTACGTTTATGTATGAGCGCGCATATGCGACTCATTATATTTCCTGCTCATATGACTAGTCTCAGCTTGATGAGACTAACGAAAAAATCAGTAACACGAAAGTGCTCACTGAAAAACTGGTTGTAACAGAAGCAACATACTAACTCCGGGCTTATATTGGAAACTTCAAAAAACACTCTTTAAGTATACTAAGTAATTTAGTTATTTTAAATAAGTATGTATCAAATCGTGATATTGTATACTTATAATGTAATAGGGAATATGATAAGGATAGTTTTGCAATTATAATATAAATAATTATAAACTATATATTTGTTACAGATTATCAGACTGGATGTCGAGTGCGGAAACTTGCCTCCAATCGGTGGAGCCTCGCGAAGAAGACATCTTAAGGCTGGAGGCTGAGCTGCAAGAGTTTAGACCTCTGTTGGATAACATCAACCTCGTCGGACCTCAACTGTGTCAGGTAAATGTTTTGTTTTGCAAAAGTCTAATAATAATAATTGAATATCGTAAATCTTTTGTGTTGATTTTGAAATAGGTTATCATTTAAAACAATTACAAGAAATAAAGAAAATAAGAAATTGTCACTGACATATTTTGTACAATTGTTCAAAATTAGTTTAAACAACGTTAACTAATAAGACCAATCAAGGTAAAATAGAGGAATATTTCAAATATTTTTATATGTACCTATGTATACATAATCTATTTCATGCCAACCGTCAAAAAGTACCTATCTGAGTCGCTAATATATTATAATACTAACAATCGTTCCAGATCTCTCCTGGCGAGGGCGCCACGCACGTGGAGGGCGTGGTGACGCGCGACAACCGCCGCTTCGACGCCATCGCCGAGCAGATACAGCGGAAAGCGGAGCGGCTGTTGCTCAGCAAGAAGGTTAGTGTTGCTGAGTGATTTGTAAAATAAAAAAGTATATGCCCAAATCGAATATCTTTGAACATATAAATAAAGACTATTTAGCAATTTGGCGTCAAAAAATACAAGTGCATTAATTAAACGCCTATAAATTATTTCACCTAAATCTATATCCAGTTTCACCAGATGAACAATCTTATTGGTTATCGAAATCCATGTATAATAGGTATAAACCGTATAAATATGTATATATATGCGTAAGAAGGCTAACACTATATAAAGAACTGTATGGTATTTAGCCTTTTTTAATGTTCCATTGCTGGGTATGGACCTCCCTTCAGTACGTGGAGGGTTCAGGTCTACCACATTAGCTAAGTGCGGATTCGCGATCTTCACATGTCTTTCGACCTAGATTCTCTCAAAAATGCAAGTTTCCTCACGACGTTTTCCTTCACCGTAATGTCTTACGGACGGTTGCAACCATTTTGGAAATGAAAGAATCGTAAATTGAAATAATATGTATAATGTTATGACCCACGTCCACCAGCGGTCGCTGGAGGTGGTGGGCGACATGGAGGAGCTGACGGAGTGGCTGCGCGTGGCGGAGGCGTCGCTGCGCGCGCTGCCGGCGCCGGCGGCGGACGCGGCGGCGGCGCGCGCGCAGCTGGCGGCGCTGCGGCCGCTCAGCGACGACGTGGCGGCGCAGCGCGCGCGCGCCCGCGACCTGCTCAGCCAGGCCAAGAAGGTGGGTTGTTGCATCTCATTGTATTATATCTAGATCGAAGAGGGTTAACGATTAAACAGGCAGATAAGTTTTAACATTTAGAGTTCGTCGTCGTAATGCTTATTTGTTCAAACTACCAATACTTGTTTACTTTACAGTGAAAAATATTTTTCGTTTATTTTAAAAATATAGCTTTATGTCTAAGATTTACATTCATATATATATATATATATATATATATATATATATATATATATATATATATATATATATATAAAATGTATTTTTCTGACTTTATTAAAGTAAAATATATAATTAATGCCAATAGAATCCATATACACATTTCGAACCGTGCGAACGAAGCTTATGCTACTTACTCCATTGCATAAACTATTTTTGTATTAAATTTCATCCAAATTCTTTCACACCTCACATAAATTCACACACAAACTATCCCATTTATAACACTAGTATATATATATTGACATGATCGTTTCCCACGCAGGTGCTCCGCGAATGCCAGTCGACGGAGGAGGCGGCGGTGATCCGGGAGCGCAGCGAGGAGCTGCGGGAGACAGTGGAGGAGGTGGGCGCGCTGGCGGCCGCGCGCCTCGCCGCGCTCGAGCAGGCGCTGCCGCTCGCCGAGCACTTCGCCGACACGCACAATGGGTGAGTGTTAATTAGAACTCACTGTGGAGATCAATATGATGAGATGAGACAGAAATAAAAGTCTTTATAAGGATTTTTTTAATCTATACACCTGTATACAGAATTTTTTAATGACTTTATAAGTATATATTTTTTTAATCTATACAGATAAATAAAATTGAAATGTCTGTTTGTAATGTCAAAATAACCGCGTTTTACTAAATGCGTATTATGAAATTATGTACGATACTTATATGAAAAACACATTTTTTTAATTTTATCTGTCGGTCTGTTTGGTTCGGATAATCTCTGAAACAGTTTGACTGATTTTTACGAGACTTTCACTAGAAAATAGTTGATGTTATAGGGAATAACGTAGGCTACTTTTATTTAAAAAAAGAATTAGGGACGGACCCGAGCAAAGCGAGGGTTAGTTGCTATATTTATTAAAATTGTAACAGAGTCATAATAACGGCAATTCAAAATTAAATAATTTATAATTGTATGACTGTAATAACTCTTATTAGATTTATTTATATATTTATTTTTTATTTGAATGTAGTTCTAAGGTCCAAATAGGATTTACCGGAGTAATATAAAAAATAATATATCTGAAATCCCTAATTATTACAATTCATTAAACGAAACAGTCCACATAGGTGATAGAATATTAATCGATAGCGAAAAGTTACTTGTACTACTGAATTACATATATGTATATAATTATGATTATTATTCTAGAAAGTTCTATAGATATGATAATAAGAATATTTTTTTTTTCTAAATAAACTTATATAACTTGTCAGTCTGTACGCGTGGCTGGATGAGATGGAGAAGCAAGTGGACGCGCTGGCGCTGCCCGCGCTCAGGCCCGACCACATCGCGCAACAGCAAGACAAGAACGAGGTGAGATAGTGTATAGTGTAGTTGCACTATAGTGTGATTGGTGTAACAATAGTTATCTTTCGTTGTTTGGCGTTAATAATTATGAATATCAAGTCTCAGTCAAGATTATGTTTGTTATCTTATTATTGTAATAAAACAACCTAATATCATTTATATACCCGTGTACAGCATATTTAATATTTATGCCTATAAAATTATCTAGGAACGCTAGTTGAAACATAATACAGAAAATGTAATGAAATACCATAATTTTTCTCAGATGCTTCAACAATCCATTGCCGGACACAAACCATTAGTAGACAAACTGATCAAAACAGGTGAAGCTTTGTCCAAACTGTGCAGTGAAGAAGATGCTATCAAGATCCAAGACACAGTGGAGAACGATTGCGACCGATACAACGCCCTCAGAGCCGAGCTGAGGCAGAGACAACAGGAATTAGAACAGGTAGGCTTATGCAAGAAAAAATTAAAAAAAGATATTTTTTTAACCTTATAATTCTCCCACCAGATTGGAAATATAAAGCCTCATTTTTCAGAAGTCGCATGAAAATATGTTTCTCAATAAATTTACTAAATTTGATTATTCTGAAAATAAATACTATTCTTAAAATAACATTTTTTTTCTTAAATGCTAAATAAAATTGGCATTGTGAAAAAAAAAACTTCCGTAAAAAAAACTATAAATTACGCTGTATGACTGACTACACACATTTTGGAAGACATTTTGGAAAACTATTCTAAATTCAAATATACCGAATAAATTCTAAACGTAAGTAGTTATGTTAATACAATGTAAAATAGACCGTATGTGGTAACTAATAAAGTCCAATTCCGCTTAGGCGTTGCAAGAGTCGTCAGTTTTCGCCGAGAGGCTGGAGGGCATGGTGCGCGCGCTGTCCGGCGCCGCCGACCAGCTGCAGCGCGCCGAGCCCGTGTCTGCGCACCCGCATAAGATAGAGTACTATCATTGTTTCATTTATAATGTTTTATGTATTCTATGTATTCTTAATATTATGAAGAGGAAAAAATTGTTTGTTTATTTGCTTGTATCGAATGGGTTCCGAAGCTACTGATCACTGGATGGAAATAATAATCCTCAAATGATCTGTTATTATTATAAGAGAGATTTTGTCTATTGGTCGTATCGTGTTAATTTATTATGACAATTTTAATATTCCAAATAATTAAAGGGATAAATTGAGTTTAATAAAGAACTATATTAAACCATTTCAATGATGTCTACAGAGATCAGATAGAAGAGAACAATGCATTAATAGAAGATCTAGACAAGCGCCAGGAGGCGTACCGCGCGGTGCAGCGCGCCGCCTCCGACGTCATGGCCAAGGCGAACAAGAGTGATCCCGCTGTTAGAGATATTAGGAACAAGTTGGATAAACTCAATAAGTGAGTATTATTTACTTCTATATACTATATTATTGGTTTTTAAGGGTTTAGTTTAATTTTTGGCAAAAAAAACATGACTAAGTTTCGACTTAGTTTTTATTAGATCTCAAAAGATAGTTTATCTATTTTTGACATATTATGTCAAGTAGAGCTAATGTAAAACTGGTCTCTTAAATTAGTAGGTAATAAAATTAGAATACTTTTTCTGTCAGTAGATGGTGAATGAAGTACTCAAAAAATCTATTTAATTCGTAAATTATTTATTCTATTTAAAATTCCAAAAACAGATTATACAAAGTCCGGAAAGCCTTTTAACGAGTAAATAGTGATTATTTAATTCGTAATTATGAATGTAACGTAACGTTCACAGACTATGGGCGGAGGTCCAAAAGGCGTCTACGGAGCGAGGGTCATCCCTGGAGCAGGCGCTGGAGACGGCGCGGCGCTTCTGGCAGCAGCTGGATGCGTTGATGGCGGCGCTGGGCGAGCTGGCGGACGCGCTGGCGGCGCAGCCGCCGCCGGCCGCGCAGCCGGCCGCCATCCAGGCGCAGCAGGTCGCGCTGCAGGAGATACGCCACGAGATAGACCACACCAAGCCCGAGGTGAGTCTTGCCTGCTGTCTCACTGCTGGAGTGAGGAGTTTTTACTGTGCTATTAACGTTTCTCTGCAACTACGCCTGCATATCTACTACTATGTTTTAAATAAGATAGTTTTTTTTTAATTTTTTTTAAAAAAATTTGACAATGTCAATACAAAATTTATTGTGTAATCGAAATTTATTTTAAAATATATCCAAAAATAACATTAATAATTGAATGAATAGTATAAAAATGTTTTAAAACACAACAAAATCGAAAGTGCATAATATTTAACACCATTCAGACAAAGAAAGACAATAGCATTCCCAAGGAGGGTTGACGTCAGGCAGGCGGCCGGTCGTAAAACTTTTGCCAAATCCTATCAGCAGTACACTGAAGATGTACTGCGCCGACCCCAAGTGATTTGGGAAATGGGCAGGGAGAAGAAGAAGAAGAAGAAGAGTTTTTTTTTAATTTTTTCTGGGATTTATTTTGATTTTTGGTCCACGACCTTTTGAATGTCTTAGAGCAATCATGGTCACGGGAGACTAAGGTCATTGGCCTCTCAAAAACTACTAAATTATCTTTATAATGTTAGCTTGTTTGAAATGTTATTGTGATGTATATATATGTAGCTATATTACTGTAAAGTTTCATGAAAATCCTATCAGTAGCTTTTAGTTAGTTAATATAGGAAAAAATATTATCATCGTAGACTTAAGCGTTATTCCACAAAATACCTAGATATACAATCATTTTCATTACGACTTCTCATTAGTACATTAATGTAACTAATCCATACTATAATGTCCCAATAGGTGGAAAAAGTCCGCAAAACCGGTTCAACCCTTATGTCGATATGTGGGGAACCAGACAAACCGGAGGTCAAGAAACATATGGAAGATTTAGACAGTGCGTGGGACAATATCACCGCGCTATACGCTCGTAGAGAAGAGAATCTCATCGATGCCATGGAGAAGGCCATGGAATTCCATGACACCTTACAAGTAAGTTCACAGATCAATAGTTAGAACTTGCAATTTTTTTTGGTGTTTTTGGATTAATAGTTAAGAGTACAAGCTAAAGTTAATTGTCATGGATAAGTTGATTGATCTCGATGTAAATCTCATCATCTCATTCAGCTCTTTTAAATTCCACTCCTGAACACAAACCTTCACTTAATGCTAGAGGGATTATTACTATAGTCCATCACACCGGCCAAATACTGCTTTACGGGTTTCAGATGTCTTTCGAAAACTAGTTGAACGGACTTGAAACCGTTTCACTTGCTTTCTTTTTCAAGCCAGCATATTACCACTGCGCCACCACTGCCTAATGCAAATATTTGACAGTTTTTGTATCTTATAGCATTCAATGTGTTTTAACTTTAACTGGCAGATAACTAATGCTATAAGGAATAACTTAGGCTACTTCTATTTTGGAAATAGCATTAGGGTTCCGCATAAAAAATTAAAACTTGAAAACTGTGAACAATTTCCGCGTACCTAGTCCAACATAATTTTTTTTTTTACAAATATACCCATTTGTTATAGAACCTTCTAGAATTCCTCGACACAGCGGAGGAAAGGTTCTCCCGCATGGGCCCGCTCGGCTCCGACATAGACGCGGTCAAGCGCCAGATAGCGCAGCTGGCCGCCTTCAAGCAGGAGGTCGACCCTCACATGGTCAAAGTTGAAGCACTGAATAGGTAAGGTTTCTCTTTAATATACCTATTTTTTTTTATATATAATGAGAAAATTATAGTTTTTTTAAATTATACATAAATAATTGTTAGTTAGAATTTAAATTTTTTTTCATATTGAAATCCTTTTGGAGTGTCTAAAAGCTTGTAATGCTTTAAATATCCCTGTAATGTAGTCACGTGGTGATGGTTTTAACAACCGAAATGTTAAAAATTTAACTAAAACTTATTATGTATTTGATTTTATAGCTTTTATCTCGTAAACCAATTAATCTTTTATCTGCACAAGTTAATTCTATAATGTAATATTTGTTATAGCCATCTTTATATTGTTTTCCCTAGAATTTTATTTGAACTCCATATTAATCACGAACTAATATTTTTTATGTCCCGCGCCGATGGTATCGCAGGAGTTTGATGAGGCAAGGATTTGATCTAAACATTTTGTGTGTGCTTCTTGTTTAGTTATCGTGGATCGTAGCTGTAGTGATGTGACGTGGATTTGTACAGTCAGCAAAAATATAGTCTTTTTTTAATTTTTTTTAGTTTTATAAACCTTTGCTGTTACTTTTTATTAAGCTTCAGGCAAAAAAAATATATTGAATTAATAATATTTTCCTTCAATATATCATAAATATAATACTACACTTATTTACTCGTATACTAAAAAATAAAAATAATTATATATTAAAATTTCAATGTTGCTATAATATTTATAATAAAATCCTTCTTATATTCAAGTGGTTAATAGTATTTTCAAATCAAATATCAAATTATTATTATGATGGTATACAATTCTTACTTCTATATGATACTCAGTTAAGTTATTCCTATTTTTTTTCTGACTGTACAAATGTTTATGTATCAGTATGTCGTATAAATTTTGATTTTGAATGTCGTTTTTGTAATTGTTATCTTTCTAACGCCTTTATTTTTATAATAGTTTAATGTTCTTCTTACTTATGTAATTCAAAAAGTTGGTCATTTTGTTTTGTATGCATCCTTTTCCTATTACACTAACTAATATATTTTTCAAAGAAAATTATAACAAAAAAAAACTAAAAAAATAGTGCTGTAATATTTCAGTTCTTTCCTGTTTTTTTTTTTTAATTAATATAAAATCCTAACTTATTTAACCTAAAAAACAAGGTATTTGCATTTTAAATAAATCTATCTTTTCTCACTCTCAGAGACTCAGAGACTCAGTCTCTCCCGTGATCATAAATGCTGTAAAACATTCGAAACGTCGGGAACCAAAAATCTAAATAAATCCGCGAAAAAATCCGAAAAGATAGTTTTATTTAAAATGTTAAATATTCGCGTATATCTAAGAAAGTATTAAGGTATTTGCATGTTTATTCCTCGTAGAAAATAGACACTATAATCTTACCGCAAGTGATCGAAATATTTTATAATCTGTAATTATTTATGCTTTTTTATTGTCTTGTTGATATATTAAACATATATCAACAAGACAATAAAGTAACGTTATAAGTAGCTTAGTTATATATCAAAATCTTAAAATACACCATCTAATGGTAGAATATGACAAAGGAAATCGAACATTCAAGCTTTATTCCTGCTTGAATCAAACTTTTGAAACTACATAATATATCCATTGAAATTGAAAATTCTATATTAAATATTGATATTTCAGAAATACTTGTCAAAAACTCTACCGTTAGAAATTTAAATATGTGTATCTGTCCGTGTTCTATGTACTTAGTACCGTTACATATAACAATATTAAAATATATATACTAATATATAGGCAAGCCGCGGAGCTAACAGAGCGCACATCGTCAGAACAAGCGTCCGCCATAAAGCAGCCCTTAAGCGAAGTGAATTCTCGATGGGCGGCGTTGCTACGGGGTATGGTAGAGAGGCAACAACAGTTAGAAAGGGCCTTACTGCGTCTAGGGCAGCTACAACATGCCCTACGAGATACCTTGGCCTGGATCAAACATACTAGCGACACTTTGGATACTTTGAAGCCTGTAAGTATGGTTTGTTTTGCTTGGAAGTGTATAGGGTTGTCGCTTTTGCAGTTTTTTTTATTATTAGTTAATTTTAAAATTAAAATTTCTAGGTAGATATTGATGATGTTTTTGTTATTTTATAGATTAGATTAATATAAGTTTGATTTAATAATTTATATTTTTTTACTGACAACACCCAAAGCATAATGTTCACTGTAAGAAAGTATTTACACCGTGAACACTTTCTGTTTATGTAGCTTTTATATTTCAATATTTTTGGGTGTAAATAATAAATATAATAATCGTATAAAATCCTGTTTTTGTATATAATTCAATATCTTTACCAGGTGGCTGGAGATCCTCAAATACTGGAAGTGGAGCTTGCCAAACTAAAGGTGCTCGTGAACGACATAGCGGCCCACCAGCCCAGCGTGGACTCGCTCAACGAGGCGGGCGCACAGCTTGTACAGCAGACCACTGGTATGTATCTTAATATATGAACAATAAGATCTACCTAGCGTCTGTTTTAGGAACTAACGACAGCAGTATAAAATAATATTTACTTATAAATAATCGTTCTAATTTCGAAACGACCGATAGTAATTTGCAATCTTCCTGATTTAACAGTAATATTTAAAAAAATGTTGAATGGAGATTGAGACTTATGTACTTATTTGACATATAATATGTGACTTTTCGTAGCGAAGGCACACTTAAAATCTTTCATTGTCTGTATGTTTAATATTTTATTTTAACAACAAGAAGAGAAAAGAAGTAAAGAGAATATTTCAATTTTTCTAAATATCCATATCCATTATACTCGTAATATACCATATTTGCAAATCTCTAAATATAATTTCTCCCCTCAGGTTCAGAGGAAGCGGGTGAGACTGCGGAGAAATTGGCAACACTGAACAGGAAGTGGCGCGAGCTGCAGCAGAAGGCGAGGGATAGACAGGCCGAGCTGGAGGATGCCTTGCGGGAGGCTCAAAGGTGAGATCTCTGGAAGAAATGTTGCCATTAGATGACAATTTGTGTTTCTTTTTGTGTGTGTTCGTGTTTTATTGGAATGTCTGGTATATAATAATGAGCAACGGTAATGTGATATCCTACTATTATTATAAATAGTTTTTGAGGATGTATGAATGTCTAGATGTACATGTAGATGTTTGTTACTCTTTTTCACGAAAACTACTAAATGGATTGTAATGAAACTTTACAATAATATAGCTCATACATCAAAATAACACATAGGGTACGTTTTAACCCGGAAAAATGTAAGGTTCCCGTGGGATAGATTTGTTTTTGTTTTTCCAGAGACGAACCTGAGCAAAACCAGATATATGCACTCAGATTTAAAAATTCTTGAAAATTATATTAGGTATATTTTCTTGAAAATTATATTAGTGTTTATTATTGTATTTCATAAGTTATATTATTATTTCTAATGTTAAATATGTTCGATGATGCTTTTAGACGTTAAAAATTAAAGGAAACTCATAAATGATCTTCATCTTCTTCTTCTTCTCGTGTCGGTGGCAAGAATGCCATCGTGGTGAAAGGATTAGCCAATCAGCGTTAGTAAATTTCTGATTGCCCAGGGTGCGCCGGACGTTTAGGTTGTGTACGTCGCTCGGGGAGGCTCCTTTCGTGCACCCCAATGATCTTCATAATAATAAATAATATACCCACCCATAAGAAAACTCAAACGAGACATCAAAATTTTCGAGAATTAGATCATTTTCGGACTATATTAGCAGAATTAAACACAATATTGAAAATAATTCCTCATTTTCCCTATCTCTGAACAGCTTCAACGCAGAAATCGGCGATCTATTATCGTGGCTGTCCGAAGTGGACAGCGCCATCGCCGCGTCCAAGCCCGTGGGCGGCTTGCCGGAGACCGCCACAGAGCAACTCGAGAGGTTCATGGTATGTAAAATGTTAAATTTTGATCATCTCTGTCTTTAATACTAAACATTTTGTTTACTAATAGTTTCAGAAAATACACGATTAAAAATCGATAAAGATATTGCATTTGTTAGTGTTAGTATCATTAATTAGTCATCGCAATGAAAATCTTAAAAGAAAATGTTGTTTTTTGATGAATTTGGATATATAAGCATTGGAATATTGTTTTGTATAATCAGTGGATATATTATGATATACTGATTTTTTATTGTCTGTCTGTTCAGGAGGTATACAACGAGGTCGAAGCCAACCGACCAAAAGTGGAGGCTGTGCTGCAGCAGGGTCAGGAATACATCAAACGACAAGAGAAGCCGAACCTCACATCTCAGCTACATCTCAATCTAAACAATCTCAAATCCAGATGGGATAATGTTACATCAAGGTATGCTTTTTGTATTGCTGTCAACTTCAGCGTAATTCAACTCATTGAATAAAGTGTAACTGACATAACGTCTAAATGAATATAAATTCAGTTATGTATTTTTATTTAAAATTTAAAATAATTTTATAAAGATATCATTTAAAAGAGTTTACAAAAGATGATGTTCATAATTAGTTTATAACATACATATAAATAATTTACTTAATTATTAAAATGTCGTATGAGGTCATGGCTTCTTCCATAACTAAAACTATTTATTTTAATAACATTAACACATTATATTTACCAACAGAGCGTCAGACAAAAAGATCAAATTAGAAATAGCCCTCAAAGAGGCGACGGAATTCCACGACGCCCTACAGGCCTTCGTGGACTGGCTCACCAGCGCTGAGAAGACCCTCACATCCGCAAAACCCGTGTCCAGGGTCATGGAAACTCTACTCAGTGAGTATACGGCTTTGTATTTGTTTTTGGGTGTAGAAAGGGAGAAATGATAGGCCGTTTTGTCGTTCTCTCTCTTTCTGAGCTGTATGTGATGTCTCAGAAATATAAACAATTAGATTGAAACTTGATAGATTGTAATAAGATTGTCGTTCAATTATCAAAATTTGTATTTGTTTGCAAGGTAAAGAAAGCGATAATTTAAATTTTACAAAATAATTGGTTACATTTAATTGTTTACTTTTGGTTGGCTCTTTTTTCGCTATGATCTTTAGAATATTATAAAATATTGAAAATTCTAACATGATAACTTTTACAGCTCAAGTCGAAGAACACAAGTCATTCCAAAAGGAGGTATCTACTCACAGAGAGACCATGCTTCAACTGGACAAAAAGGGAACTCACCTGAAGTACTTCAGTCAGAAACAAGATGTTATTCTGATAAAGAATCTTCTAGTATCTGTCCAGCATCGGTGGGAGAGAGTGGTCTCCAAGGCGGCTGAGAGGACCAGGGCTTTAGATCATGGACTGAAGGAAGCCAAAGAATTCAATGATATGTGGTAAGTGGGACTTGTTTTTGTTTAAGGGTTTTGTTGTCTATGGTTCGGTTGGAGATTAAGTTATTAGTATTAGGAAAAAATAAAGAGGGTAGGAGAGATTTTTTTTAGAGATGAACCGAACCTATTTTATTTATGATTGGCCGTCTGCGTAAATTGTAAATCGATTTGTATGATTCTTATTTTAAATAAATACATTAAGAAAAGTGCTAACTTAAAGAACTACTAATCAGATTTGAAAAATTCTTTTTGCATTTGATAGCCCATTTGTTGTGGAATTCTAGGTTAAGGCTATATATATATATATATATATATATATATATATATATATATATATATATAACCGTTAAAACGTACCTAGGGACGAACCCCAGCGAAGCGAGGATGGGTCGCTAGTAAAGTGAAATTCTAACAATAATTCTACTATATTATATTTTATCTTAAAGTGATGTTATATAGTTTTTTTAGTTAAAATTGACCTATATAGTTATTAGCCACTGAAATCTAAATTAAAAAGAGATAAAGGAAATAATCCAGCAAATAAGAAGACAGCAAATAAAAAAGAATTTAAAAACAGATATTGAAACATTTGACTGATGTTTTATACAATTGTATATTTATCTGTACAGGACCAATTTGATGAACTGGCTGGGAGAAACTGAAGAGCAGTTAGACCAACTCAACTCTGAAACCACCATCAACGATCCTGATAAGATCAAACTAAGGTAATTTATCATCTATAATTTTATTTCATTTTAAATGAGAAGACATTTGAGTTATGTAAAAATATTTTAAACTCACTTTTATACAACTTAAGTAATGATAGTTAAGTTGTAGAAGTCAAAATATTTTGAATGTCAAGTACATTATGTTAGTATTATTTTTGTTTGAATTTTATAACTCTTTCCGTAGTAAACTCAACTGATGAAAACAATATTAATTTATATTTAAAAATAGGTTTTCACCGAAATCCACAAAGGAGGAGGTTCTATGATTAACTGTTTTGTTTTTGATATATTATTATAATTTCCCATTCAGACTCAACAAACATCGTGAGTTCCAAAAGTCGTTAGCGGCGAAGCAGCCGGTTTACGACCAGACCAGCAAGGTGGGTAAGCAGCTCAAGGATAAGGCGCCCAAAGCGGACGAGGTCACGCTGCGCAACATGTTGACCGACCTCAAGACCAAGTGGACCACCGTCTGCTCTAAGGCTGTTGATAGGTGAGAACCTCACGTAATACTATTACGTTCATTTTCTTCATATGTTGGAATAATAACACACAGCGCCATCTAGTTCCATGTTAAGCTACGAGGCCTGTGTTAGGGATATCCGATAGTTATACATTACACATATTATAAAACTTTAAATACATACATATCTATACAGTTAAATAAAATTGAAGTGTCTGTTTGTAATGTCAAAATAACAGTGCTTTACTAAATGCATATGAAATTATATACGGTACTTATAAGAAAAACACAATTTTTAAAAATTTTGTTTGTTCCGGATAATCTCTGAAACGGCTGGACTGATGTTGACGGGACTTTCACTGGAAGATAGCTGGTGTTATAGAGAGTAACATAGGTTACTTTTATTTTTTTAAAAGAGTAAGGGTTCCGCCCAAAAAAATTAAAATGTATCTAGTATCACTTATAAATATAAACACCCATGACTGGAGTACAAATATTCGTGGTCATCCCTTCACCTATATAACAGACAACGCAAGCTCGAGGAGGCCCTGCTGTACTCGGGGCAGTTCAAGGACGCGATGTCGGCGCTGCTGGAGTGGCTGGCCAAGCGCCAGCGCGCGCTCGCCGCCGACGCGCCCTTACACGGAGACCTCGACACCGTCATGGCTCTCATTGAACAGCACAAGGTATACCCCATGCATTCTATTACTACAGTATTGCTCTTGATCTTAACAGAAATGCTGTTAATTGCAAGGGTTGTCAGAAATAGAAATTAAGAGAGCATTACAATGTCATCTCGTGGTACAGTCATATTTGTCAACCCTACATGCGTTTCCCCCGCTTCTAGGTGGCTTCGACAGACGATTACGTGACACTACTCCCATTTTCCTTTTTTTTATTTTCTTAATGAATAGAAAATAATAGCTCATATACATTACAAGAAATATCCATCGGAAAGTTCAATTAATTACATTGACTTTAAAAATTGAAATTAGATTAAATAGATTAGCTTTTTTCAGAAACAAATATTGTTTTTAAATAATATTTAAATGTTTAAATAAAATAGTTTAATAAATATATAGAATGTTATTATATATCATACCATTTGTTTATTTTAGCAATTCGAGGAGGATTTGCATAACCGAGAACAACAAATGCAATCTGTTCTCAAAACCGGCAGAGATTTGGAAGCCACTGTAAGTATTATTATCATGTATTTTTATCATTGATATACAAAAACACAAAATACACTTAGCACCTCAAACGTGTCCTAAAAAGGAAGTGCATAATTGAGAATTATGCGCTTTCTTTAATTCTCTTTTGTTCATTGCTTTTCGGACGACAAAATTAAAACGCAGGTTGATTGGTTCAAAAAACAACTTTATGTGGTGTGCGTAAGTTCGAATTTGTGTTTAGATAATTAGAAAGTTCTATTTTTGAATTTTATTCTTTGATTTGACTTAACTTAAAAAACATGTCGACGCCGGTTTTTGAAACGATATTTGTTAGGAAATGTGTATCTATGTTTTTATTTATCAATGATTTTTATAATAAAAAAATTGTAACATTAATTTATCAATAAATGCTCAAAGTTGTCTACAAAAAATTAAAAATTTTAATATATGTACACCAGGTGCCTCCAGAGGATGCACTGAATATCAAACAGCAGTGCAGTGAATTGCAAAACGCATGGGACACTGTACAGAGCCTCAGTGAGAAAAAAGCGAGCAAGTTAGAAGTTGCTCTGAAAGAGGTATGAATTTATATAATCATTTCTTATTTAATATTTTTTATTAAAACCTCAATTTAAGTGCATGTTATAATATTTTGTGCAATCATTTAAAAACTTATAATAAAATTACTAGATTAAGGTCTTATGTATACGACGCTTCATAAACGCGTTAAATTGTCTGTCTATTTGTGATCGCATCTCAGGAAAGGCAGTGGACGGATTTTGATGAAATTCAATATTTCGGTAACTGATTATCCGGATCAACCTATAGTTAATAATATAACTGTTATATATGAAATATTAAATAAATAATCAACATTAATAGCTCCCATACTTCTATTACTCCAAAATGTTACATAAACAATAAAATGAAATCGATTTACAGCCGCTATAAGGCTCTGTTGGACCAGCTATAAATACTTCTGTAACATATTCTTATCCGGCTTTTGTAACATATTATTTATTATATATATATATATATATATATATATATAATATATATATATATATATATATATATATATATATATATTTATTAATCGTCCAGGCGGAGCGTCTCCACAAATCGGTGAACATGCTGCTGGAATGGCTGTCGGATGCGGAGACCAAGCTGCGGTTCTCGGGGCAGCTGCCGGAGGCCGAGCTGGACGCGCAGCACCAGCTGCTGGAGCACGAGCGCTTCGCCCTCGAGCTGGGGGAGAAGAGGCGGGATAAGGATGACACCATCGCCCTCGCTCACTCTATCCTGGCCAAGGCTCACCCCGACGCCGTCACCGTCATCAAGCACTGGATAACCATCATACAAAGCCGGTGGGATGAGGTAGGTTGTTGGTTTACGGTTACGTAACTTGAAGGGAAAATGGAAAGTTTGTTGGATCACTTTTTGTCAGTCTGTCTGTTAAGATTGTTTTTCTCAGGAATGCTTAGAAGTATCAGATTGAAATAACAAATACTCAGGTCTGTAACCAGGACAAGATTTTTTTTTTTATGCTATGTTAATGTATTTTTTTTTTAAATTCGTTAATTACTTTATCAGGGTTGTACCGACTGTAACACCTGTGCAATTTTTGTGAAACCTTGAGATTTGATCCAATATTTTAAATATAATGATTGATTGTCGAATTTTAAGCGATAAACAGTTTAATTTGTATGAAACGTTGTTATCTAATCTAAAGATATAATACTGAATTTAATTTTTATCCTACTTAACTTTATTAACTTCGCAAATTCAATTAGATATTTGCAAGTCCATAACATATACAGTAATATAATAAAAAAAATCTAGATTATTAAAATGAATCCAAACAAAACAAGAAAATTAACAGTGTCAGTGTTGCCTGTGATTAGGATATTTAGCAAAGTGTCTGCGGGACAGGTGATTTTACTTATCTGTTAAAATTATTTCTCATACATTTAAGTATTTAAACAACTAGTAACGGTTAATTTAACATTTGTTTTGTTCAATTTTAGAAATCGTTTAAATATGCTTGTCCTTTATAAAACAAACATCTAATATTATGTTCTCCTAAGTATTTGTTCTGGAGAGCATTTATGCTTTAAGATACGAGTGCATTTGTGATTTCTTAATGTTGTAACGGTTCAACGAATTGAAGTGAAGTTTCGGATGAAGATAGCTTATTTTGCAAATAATAGTGTTATATAGTAATAGTGATGTTTTGTCTTAGGTATGGCAATGGGCAATGCAACGCGGCAGCAAACTGGAAGCTCACCTCCAAAGTCTCAAGGACTTGGACCTTGTACTTGAAGAACTATTGCAATGGCTCTCTGGACTCGAAACCACTTTAATAAGTAAGTTATAAGACTACTATTATGTTTGTACGTATGTATATGTATATACAGATAAATAAAATTGAACTGTTTGTAATGTCAAAATAACAGCTTTTTAATAAATGTATATGAAATTATTTACGGTACTTATAAGAAAAACGCATTTTTTTTAATTTTCTATATCTCAGAAACGGCTGGACCGATTTTAACGGGACTTTCACTGGCAGATATCTAATGTCATAAGGAGTAGCTTAGGCTACTTTTTACTTTAGAAAAAGAATTGGGGCTCCGCTCAAAAAATTAAAACGTACCTAGGGAAAGACCTACCGAATCGAGGGGGATGGTATATGTTTTTTACTCCTAGGAAAAAAATTAATACTCTAATAGACTATGACCTAACACATAAGCTACTATAAGATACCTACTATAAGGAAGGTTTTTCGGTGAAATCTATAAGAATTTGTGGTCCTTTGGCTATCATATATAAGTATCTATGTTTTTCAAATAATATTGTATTGTTTATTTCAAAAAAATGTAACAAAAATAACACCTAAATATGTTTTTCTCAATTATAAAGCCTTAGAAGCCGAGCCTCTGCCAGAATCGATCGAACTCTTGGAAGGTCTCATTGAAGACCACAAAGACCTGATGGAACACACACAAAAAAGGCAGAACGAAGTCGACCGCGTCTGCAAAGCTTATCAGGTTATTACTAAAACTTTAATAAATATTTAATTTCATATTATTATGTATTAGTTTGAAAAAAAAAGTTTTTTTGCTAAACATATATATTAGATTTTTAATCTACAATGTTGATGGTTTTTTTTTATAAATAAAGTAGATTATGACAGCTTGCTTTCATATGAAAAAAAAAACTGATTTCTCAGGTCAAGAGTCAAAGCCAAGGCCGCGAATCTACACCTCGCAAAGTGTCAGCGAAAACAGCAACAAAGGGAACGCCGAGGTATGGCTTATGTACAATTTTGTATATTTACTCATATTATATGCCATTATATATTATGTATTATCTAAATAAATTAGGTAAATACTAAAAAGAATCTCCTGTCTAGAATCGAATAAAGCTTTTTTTGAAAATTGTTTTTATGGCATATAATATATGAGTTAGAAATGGATCCATTAACTTTAACATAATAATCGTTTATGTTACTTTTTTTTCATTACTTTTTGTTCTCATTCACGTCGTATTACTATCATTAAATCAAGCAATTGTGTATGTGTTATCACAAATGTGTGTCAATTTTGCCAATGATCACGCTTTACTTCATTTGTTTCGTGTTTGTTTTTGTTCATTCGCCGCCATTTTGTGACGTTGCATGTACAGTCGCGGCTCGCAACATGACCTTCATAGAGAGAGATCCGTATCACCTGATTATTATGGCAGTAGGCGTTACAGGTTTGTTTGTTTTTTTTTTAATTTTATTTCTATTTTTTTTCATCATTATGAATTTCATAGATTTTTTTCGTAATTTTTTTTCATTTTTTAATTTAAAGATTTTTTTCATTTATCTTTTTTTTATGCCTCATATGCTACTTACTAAATATAATATAACGCTAATATTGTCTTTTTAATGGCAATCATATAGCTATAGTCTATCTATTAAAGAATAACTTTTCTAAACATTACTTTACATACAACAAAAAAAATCATTATTTCCGCTTCACGTTATCACGTTAATATTTAATTTAGTGTTCAAAGAATGATAATAATCTCTACAAAACTTAAAAAAAAATCAACTGTATCCCATTGTAAATAAAGTACAAATTGCACGATAGCATCATTCTCTGATCACAAACAAATAAAACAAGCTTTGTCTCGCTCTAACATATGTAAATGTGGCTTTCTGTCTCGTCTATGTCACGCTGCGGCAGGTCCAGGATACACAGTCGTAGGAGAGGAAGGTTTGATGGTGTTTTTATTCTAGGATTGTGTGTTTTTTTAGTCTGTGTGTAAAAAATATATAAGGATAATATTTTTTTTTAATAATAGAATAATTTAGTTTCTTTTTAGTTCAATTTAAAAGTGTTATTTATTAATAATGTTAGTTTGTATTTTTTTTTATATATCCTAATATATTAAATACACACTGCAGTATTGATAGAGTGATAAATTGTAAATATGTTATAGATGTATAATGTATATGTATTAGCTTTTGGGTTGTATATATAGTTAGTTATGTTAGCTTATTGCATTCTGCGTTTTCGCATATTGTGTGATTTGCATGTAGATGTTTTTTTTTAGTTCTCATATATGTATTGTAAAATTTAAATTTATATTGAAACTATGACAATTGATGTTCTGGACCTATTAACGTGTTACATATCAATATAATTACTTACTTTATTATTAAAGTTGGAATAACATTAAAAATCATATAAAACCTTGTTGCATATAAAATCATATAAAAATCATATAAACCCTTTCACACAACTAACGCTCACCGCTGACTATTAACAACTGTATGGGTTTGTATAAAGAGATATGGTAATTTACTAATAAAAAATTTGGCACATGGCGTAGCTGGCGTAAGGAAGACACTACACTTTTCATTTACTTCTCCTATCTTCTATTCTTCTCGAAGCTTCCCTGTTTGTAAATAACAGTCCCTTTTCCTATTAAAGAACATTTCAGTCCACCTTCCTCTTCTATAATATGTCTTTTAGAATTATAATGATTTAATACGAATTTTGGTACATGTTAAAACAATTTTAACCGACTTAAAAAAGAAGAAGGTTCTCGATTCGGATATTTATTTTTTGATTTATGCTCGGTCATAACTCTGTCATATATAGACGGATTTTCAAAATCCTTTTTGTTGGAAAGTGGTTTATTCCGAAATGGTCCCATTTAAATTTGAAAAAAAAACACCTCTAAATGGAACAAGTGCGAGCCGATACAAATCAAAGCACACCGATTTCGAAAATATCTGATTAGGTACCTATTGTAAATGAAAAATACCAATCAGTTATTTTTGTTTTTTTTTTTATGTTTTTTGAAGTCGGTTTTTTTTAAGTTTTACTAGCTTAGTTTTTGTTAAAATATTGTACAAACGTGTTATATCGTCATTATTATTCTAAAAGTCCGCTTTTCCTATACAATTTGTATAACTATAAAAATGTATTTGGAATTCTTTCTTCCTTGGAACACAACTAAACAACTAACAACGTGCACAGAACAACTAACAAAGCAGGTGGGTTTGTGGGTGTTGATCTAAAATAGTGTGCTCATGTTACTGTGTGCTCTAGTCGCGTCAGTCCCGGTCGAGACTCGCCAGACCGCAACCTGCCGCATTACGGCCCACGATTCCCGCCCAAAGGAAGGTAAGTGTCAACTGTCAACGTGACATTTCCCGGTTATTTTTATTCTGTCGCTCGGTTGACGATGCTGTCAAAATGACAACATTTTTTATTTTTGAAATCTATGACTTAGATAATTATTGAAAATGAATTCATACTAAATTTCTTAATGTTTTTAAAATAGTTTATGTTTTAAACAAAATAAGTTGGCGTTTCTGAGCGAGGTAAATCATTATTCATATAAATGCAATAATATAATGCAACTTAATTCGGATCATATCAGCTTGATGTCATATATCATTTGACACCTTGGATATAAATTATACATGGTCAAAAAATTGTCATTGTTTTGGAGCTTAAATATTGCTAAAAATCGATTTTGGAATTATTTGTTACTATAGAAAGTATTATTCATAATCGTTTTGCATTATACATATCCATTAGTTATTAAACCTTTTCATTACGAGTATGTTAATCAATTATAACTATTTATATCGCATCTTAGGTGTAACGACAAAAGGTATTTTTTTCTTAAATGTATTTTAAATGTTTGTGTGGCATTACAATATGCGTATCTATGCTTAAGTAGTTTTGTGTTCCTTTACGTATTAGCATGGTTAACGCTTGTTTATATTTAAACTTATTATATTTTATGTTAAACCGTATATATAAAATACTTTGATGTCTGCCAGTTAATCATTTTATTTTAACTATATCATTGTAGTTAGTAATTTTATTTAATTAATGTTTAGAAGGCATTTATTTGAGTTACTCTTATTTTTAATGAATCAAAATACCAATGCACCATAATGCATATTTATTACTATAAAGATAAAAAAGTATTTAGTGTGTTTATTATACTATATTTATTATCTGTTTCCAAATCAATCGGTAATATTAGTAACATTTCCTAACAGCAAAGGCGCAGAGCCTGAGTTCAGGTCTCCGCGTGTGAAACAACTGTGGGACAAGTGGCGCACCGTGTGGCTGCTCGCGTGGGAGAGACAGAGACGGCTGCACGAGCGTCTCGCTCACTTGCGCGAACTTCAACGCGTGTCTAACTTCAGCTGGGACGATTGGAGAAAGAGAGTAGGTGTTATATGTATTCTGTAATTAAGTTAATGTAATGTAGAATGATGTTAATACTTTATTAAATTTACGCGAAAATTTGACATTTTAAATAAAACTAACTTTTCGGATTTTTTCGTAGATTTATTTTGATTTTTCTCCCGTGACCATGATTGAAATAACCGAAACGCGAAATAATCCGAAAAGGTAGTTTTATTTAAGATGATGTTATTGTTGTTTATGTTGTATACGTTCGAGAAAAAAATATAATATTTTATTATTTTTTTTTATTTCTTAAGTCTTACGATAATTCTATATGTGTTATAAATAAAACTAAAATATTAACTTTTATCCTCTAGTTCCTGAAGTTCATGAACCACAAGAAGTCCCGTCTAACGGATCTATTCCGCAAGATGGACAAGGACAACAACGGGCTGATAGCACGCAACGAGTTTATTGACGGAATTATTAACACCAGTAAGTATTCTACCTAGAGTATTCATTTTTTAATTTCAAACTATAATATCCATACTTAATATTATAAGTGTGTTTGTTTGTCCTTTTTTCACGTCGAAACAGAATGACGGGTTGACGTGATTTTTGCGTGGACGGCTGGAGAGTGACATAGGCTACTTTTTACCACGGGATATTATCTTATTCCCACGGGAGAACACGTTATAATACAACCCACAACTCTATATATAGTCCATACTCATCTCATATAAGCAAGATTAAAACTCAGTTTTTCTGAATTTTAGTCATACATCTAAGCTTAATTTTTTATAGATTAGTACTAATTACATTGTACTCTAATATTACAAATAATCCTACATTTTAAAAGTCTTTCAACTTATTATTAGCTATATTTTTACGTGAAATTTATATATTGATAACGTGCAAAATACTAAACTATATGATTTCTTACAGAATTCGACACATCTCGTCTAGAAATGGGCGCCGTGGCCGACCTGTTCGACAGGAACGGCGGCGGTTTGATCGACTGGGAGGAGTTCATCGCCGCGCTCAGACCTGATTGGGTGTGTATATATATATACATATATAAAAGTGATTTTTGATTTTTTATAATTTTCGTTTTTTAAAGCCTTGTAACTTTTTTCCTATGTGTTTTAGCGAAAAAATGAAACAGACCTTTTTGTGGAGAATTTAATTACAAGATAAGAAGGGAAATTTGGAAAAAAAAATTTTTCGACGATTTACAATGAAAATAAAGAAAAAAGTTTTATTTTCAATGTATTTTAAATGGGAAAGAGACCCCCACATGCACCAGCTCAATTTTCAAGATATCAAGCTCATCTTTAGGAGTTTTTTTTTTGTCTAACAAAGAAACTTTTTAGATGTAGTTACTCAAAAAAAAATTCTGACGCAGTCTAATATATATAGATTGTTTGGTTTAGTGCTACAGGATTGCGATATTTAGTGTGTATGTATGTGTGTTTGTTGCTTCCTTAGAATGTACCGGCTAGACGGATTTGAATGAAATTTTGTATGATAGACTATGACTTGAAGTAACGCATAGACTGTTGTTAGTGATAAAATTTTCCAAGAGATGACACTGACTGTATTTCAATTACAATTATAAATACAAAAAACACCACGAGACGCTCCCGAGCAGAGAAAGGATAATTTACTAATAATAAATATTTATAAAGATAAATAAAATTAAAGTTTCTGTGTGTGTGTGTTTATAATGTAAAAATAACAGCTTTTTACTTAATGCGTATGAAATTGTATACGGTATATAAAAGAAAAACACGCTTGTTAAATTTTTTGTCTGTCTGTCTGTTTTTTTTGGCTAATCTCCGAAACGGCTAGTCTGATTTTGCCGGAACTTTTACTGGCAGATAGCTGATGTTATGTGGAGTAACTTAGGCTACTTTTATTTTTAAAAAAGAATTAGGGTTCCGCTCAAAAAAATTAAAACGTACCTAGGGACACAACTCGAGCGAAGCAAGGGTAACTCGCTGGTACCTTATAAAGTTATTATTAATGTATTGCCTCATAAAACTCTAATATATTAATAAGTATACCTACTAAAGCCCTATATATTCATTTCCCAACAGGTTGAAAGACGCGGTCCGCCCACCGACGCCGACAAGATCCATGACGAGGTGAAGCGCCTCGTCATGCTCTGCACCTGCAGGCAGAAGTTCAGGGTGTTCCAGGTTGGGGAAGGAAAGTATAGGGTAAGTTGTATTTGGGTTACATCGGAATGCTTTTAATACTTATAAACAGGGCTCGGAAACCCGTTCAATTTTTAAACTGGTTTTGATCGTTGAGCACAAATCGAAAGGCTTATAGGTTACGTTCTTTAACCGGTTAAATCCGAGAGAAAGGTTTTTGACAAATTTCGATTCCATGACCAAAATTATCCGGTTAAATTGACTTTTTATACGTTTACATTTGGCGCGTCTTTGCTAATGGTGAAAGGTTCAGTAGAAGGATACACCGGTTTATTTCGGTATCAAAACTGAAATCCAACCTTTCTCTAAGAATAACCGTTAACCATTATTACTTCGGTTTACGTAACCAATTTAAGAAAATTCCCAAATTACTTGGGGTCGGCGCAATACGTCCATACTACTTATTAGTTTTGGTAAAAAAAGTCTGTTTAATATACATATTTATAAAATTTAAATTATTAATTTATACTTTACTAATAATAATTATACTAACATAATCCATTGTCAACAGTTCGGAGACTCGCAAAAGCTACGGCTAGTGCGTATCCTGCGCTCCACCGTGATGGTGCGTGTGGGCGGCGGCTGGGTCGCGCTCGACGAGTTCCTGGTCAAGAACGATCCTTGCAGAGGTATGTACACACAAACATATATACACACAGCCACATACATATACACACACATATATACATCTTAGATACACACAAGCACACATAACTACCTAAAAATATGAAGGTAGAGAAAAGGAGGACCGTTTCTGTGTATGAAAATGTATCCGTCAAAAACAGTTAAATTAAGATGGCGGCTACCATAGCATAGGTAATAGGTATAGATATTCAAGAAAGCACTAAAAGTTATAAGATTAAAAATGTTCAAAGTACACCTGATTAATCGAGTTTCCACATGTCTTACTAATATTATAAATGTGAAAGTTTAGATGGATGTTTGGATGTTTGTTACACAATCACGCCAGAACGGCTGCCCGGATCTGAATGAAATTTGGCATAGACATAGATTATATGTATTCCGGAATAGCACATAGGCTACTTTTTATCCCAGAAAGATGTACGGTTTCCGTGGGATAGGTTCGTTTTTGTTTTTCTAGAGGCGAACCCGAGCAAAGCAAGGGTGAGCCGCTAGTTAACAATATTTTCAATAATGAGCTATTGAATTTTTTAGTAACATGTCTAATTGCCAAAGAATGTTAACTATTTCAATTCACCAATCTTCATTCAGTTTATAATTGCTATGTTTATATCAGTCAAGTTTGACTTCCATATGGAAGATATGGACCCCATATATGAATATTCTTATATGGGGTCCTCCAGTCCTTTTTACCTCTATTTTCAGAAAATTATCTACAAAAGTATTACATTTACATTTCACAGATAAAAAAATGTTAATGTCATAACAAAACTGTGCCTTTAAAAAAACAAATGCACCATTCAATATTACTATACTATATAAGTAATCTATGTAATGATTAATTATTTATATATGTATGTATAATATTGTCTTCTCACACTCAAATAGTTAAATAAAAATTATAACGATTACACACACACTCATCATCCGTTCACAGTCTGTCACGGACTTCACGGCTTTAAAGCTGTAAAGTTAGAGACCACTTTGCACCATGTGTGTATACCACAATAACGAAAAATTGGTATTCAGATCGCCTACAGAAATTTCTTACTTCTGTCTTATTTTAAATTGATTAATGTCAACAGATCATTGCATTTTAATTAATTTAATAAATATGTAGGCGGTTAAAGCACCAGTTCTCCTTGAAACAATTTATTCGTTATTCTCTCTGTTAATCTCATGTACTCACAATTACATAGTATATTCTATAAGTACTCTCTATTTGAAATAATTATTGTGGTGATGGGTCGTTTTAGTTTTCGGGTAATTATTTCTTACAATAAATAACGATGATTTTCTAATAAATAACATGAAATTTTTTCATGTTACCCGAAAATTCAAAATTTGCCCCATAATGGAAAAGATATATTAGTTTTTTCTTGGGAAGAGCAAACTTCTGTCAATTTACATTATATTCGAAACGTTTTATTACTAAGTATGCTCTTTTCATTGTCATTTTAACATCATTTAAACTATTATTTTGTTATTAAATTTTAGAAATTAAATTTTTAAATGATGTTTTCAAAAATACATTATTTTTTATAATAATAAAGCCTTGAATATTATTATAAAATATTTTTTTTCCGTCTATGGTCATAATTCTAAAGGAACAAGGCTTTGTTATAATTGAAATGGGCTATGTGGTAAACTTTTTATATTATTTTAAATAAAAGTTTATTACAAAGTCCATGATTTTCTGTTGCATCATTGCAATTAGAAAGTCTTAATATTTTATGTTATAATATAATTCAAAGTGTCAATCAAAAACGTTACCGTATCTAATGTGTTAACCCCATAACATGGGAATATTTATTGACCAATAACAGGTGTTGACGGGCTCCATATTATTATATTATTATTATATGTTTCATGTTAAGAGTGATTAATAACAAAAATAACAATTTATTTTTAAATTTTAATTATAATCACATCATTACAATACAAGTTAAATTACGAAAATGCTGGCAACATAGTAAAAAAATACAAAAATTACCAATACAAAAATAAATACATTTCAAAAAACACCTATCACAGAAAAATTAAGTAGCGGCAAGATCCAAATGCAATATAGGAAGCACTTTAAAACATCAAGGTCGAAATGTCTTGCCCAACTAAGGAATTTTTACGACTCAAAATATACCTGAGCTGCGTTAAAGCTAACAATGACTCATTCTGACCTGGGCAACATAGAGAATACATTGAAAAATTCATATAACATACAAACTTTTACGTTCTAAATCTAACATGGACACTTATGAAAATTCTAAACTAGGTCAGACCTACACTACAAGCATCAGATAAGGTTCCCTCATATGGAATACATTTCCTCACTAATATTTGAATACAATGTTAATACTATTTTTCAAAACTTAAAGCTAACATTTCTAACATTTTGTTTCTATGAGAAAGTTACAAATTATTTTAAATAATGAAGAGATTCAAATTTAAACACTTTGTGATTAGTCAACAGTGGTCTTCCTAATAAAGGAAGTCAGTGATGAAATCTCACTCCTTTCATTTGGCATACGGCTGAATTCAATTTCCTCGCTCAAGTTTTGGGTGTCTGATGTATTTTCATTAACTGGCCAGCGCTTGTGACTCGGTGCATAGAGAACAAGAAGAGAGAATATGTATATGTTCCACATTCCATAGACACCAGTAAAGAATGCTGAGGTATATTCAAGTTCAATATTGTCATCCCATTTCCATTGGCCTTCTGCAACTTGTCCCAAAACAAATCCAATCACAGTGAGAGCAGCGCACAACAATGTTGCTAACATCAAAAACTTGAAACGGTAAATAATTCCTTCATAATGCAGGCGTCGCACAGAGCACATTGTGGGTAAACTCTGGCGTTTGTGAGATATATTAATAAACACCTGCCATACCATATAGCATAAAAACAAAAAATAGACTCCCGTTGAAATTCCAGCTAGTATTATGAAAGTTAAAGCCAAGTTTGTGCCTAAATCAGTTACCCATATAGAATAAAATGGATTACGTAGCTGCATTCCCCTCTCGCACATATCAAATATAAAAAGAGATGTGCATCCCATTGCAACAGCACTTAAATGTCGCCAATATTGTTTTAATGAACTTTGAGATGAAGAATCTTGAATCAACATGTGTTCTCCCGCAAATATTAGCCAAAATGAAAATAGCATTGCATAAAAAACACCCTGTCTAATGTCCCCTAAAAGGAGCATAAAGGGCAGATCGAATTGTAATGTAAGATATTCAATTGGTGCATTTAAAAAGCATAATGCTATTCCCAAACAGAGTAACATCTTTTCTAACAGCACTGGTTTTCTCTCTAACATGTGAATTCTCCGCCAAAACCAAACTAGTATTGCAATAATGCATGGAAAGAAAACAGTTTTTAATGATAGCCAAACTTTAGTAAACCCTCCATTTTGATTAATAACAGTCACCCACATATCTTGAATGTGACCAATATGTGCATTCATATCAGGAGTATCAACTGGTAACCTTATATTTAACAGGTAGAAGTCATGGTATAATGAACCAAGTTCAAACAAAGGAATTGCAGAACAATTATACAAATAATCTTCACTTTTAGTATCAATGTCGCAGTCTAAAAGCCTCTTTTCAACAGACTGTGTATATAACTTCCACCCGTCGTCTGGGTCCTCTTTGTTTCGGTACGCCAGACGCGCATCGATTGTAATAGTACTGCGTGGTTTTACTTCCATTTGTGAATGATATCGAATATCTGTCTGTAAAACCCCAATTAAATTCTGTTGCCATCTCGAATAATCGAAAGTTTCACCCTCACGAGGTATAGGCATTTGAAATGCAAAAACTATATCTCGTTCAGACATATCATGATGAGTATTGCCAAGGTCAACGGTCCTACATTTGCCTTTGCCTCGATTGTAGAACCATTTTGTAGTATCATTTTTCATTATAGATGTATCTTTGCACACGGTTCCGAGAATACTTTGTGTATTTGCAGGCATGGGTGCGACCAACCCACCTATCAAAAAACATGTTAATTGACACAATAAAAGAAACGTCACTAATACTGCAAGCTTTCTACCACTTAAATTTTCAATAATAGTTCCAGTCATTGTAAAAACACTGTATCTTTAAATTATTTTAAACAAAACTACTCGCTCACAATAATCGACCGGATTCCATTGTTGTATATCCTCGAGACCGACGCTAATTGACGCTTCGACTTTGACATGCGCAGTAGTAATGTTGCCAGCGTATAACATTAAACGAATCGAATCGTAATAAATCGATTTTGTGTCGTGTTTACAAAAAAATAATAATAATTTTAAATTTTATAATAAATATAATAGTTTTTATCTCATAAACTAAGTCGATTCTTAATATTTTAACAATAAATTTAAATACCAAAACTATTTGAATAAATTACTATATTTATAAAATATTTTAATTCATGCCACCTACGTACGGCTTACACGGTTTTATTATAATTCTTTTAATAACTTTAGCTAGAATCAGCAAATTCAAGGCTAAAGTAAGCGAAACTTAGGTCCACAATAATTGATGTTGCTACTAATTTACTAATTCGTATTCGCTTCACCCAATCCGGTTCCCCTATCCTTGATTTTTTTATATTTTTTTTATTGCGTTTGGTCCCGATGAAACCTTATATACCTAACTAGTATCGTTAGTGCTACCGCTCCCTGACCCGAGCAAACCGGAACAGCATGAAGCTTGTTGTCCGCTCGGTAAGAAAATATGATTAGTACTGGAGTTTAGTTAGGTTTTATCAATACTATATAATTATGAAATATTTTGTTTGTTTCTCAAAAATTTATTGACTAACATTATTAATTGAGACAATGTTACTTAAAACTTATATTTCACTTAAAGAACTCCATTACTGATCAATATTCTTAGGTGTGGCTAAGCTATTTAGTTAATTTTGCAATTAACAATATTTTTTGCTATATTTGACAAGGGTTAAATATTGAATGCTTTCAAGTAGTTTTTTAGTTACATGTAATTTATTAAATAATTATGATAAGCTGTTAATAATAATGCTATAGTCTATTGTGTTCATAGTGGAGATAAAGAAGGTAATAATTATGTTGCTTACAATTTATTCCTAACTATCGCATGTTTTAAAATTTATTTGCATACGGTATTTATTATTATATTCACTTTTTAGTATGTTTATGTGTAAATCAAGCGCAAGGACACTTATTCATTTCATCAATGTAAATGCCATCCTACACGCATTTTAAGGTAAAAAGTGTAAGATGAGAGTAATTTACTTAAATTTTTTCCACTGTTATTGATGTACAATTTAACTGAAGAAAACTTGCTCTTGATTTATATAGGATGCATATATTTGGGGAAAAATAATCTAATTGTATTTTACAACTCCTATCCTAACTGCACACTTACATTTTTACATTTGATTTTTTTAAACGTTATGTTGATTTTTGTTTTTGTTTGACATGTTCTGATTTTCTTTGTTGTTTTTTTTCTTTTCCTCACTACCAATGCACGCTCCCATTTTTTAAACACTTATTGTGTTTTTTTTTCACCTGTCCTTTTACCGAACGGTTTTTTTACCCTATCCAATCCTATCCTATAACAAACCCGCACATCGGACGCCGCCCGCATGCAGCCAAGGGTCGCACCAACATCGAACTGCGAGAGCAATTCATTCTGGCCGATGGAGTGTCGCAGAGCATGGCTGCATTCAGACCGCGTACGCCTCGCTCTAATACAAATACACCTCCATCTACCGGACCTATCACGAAGGTAAGTAGCTAAAGAAGAAAGCTACATTTATTAATTAAAACCTCTCTACAGGTTAGATTTAGTTTTAATTTCGCACATGTACCACATAATGCGCACAGTAGTTGATAGAGGGAGCAATTCGGTTTGGGATGTTCTTTCTTTTCGCTTTTTCTGTTGCACTTTGTACATGGATTTTGTGATCCATTTGCAAGAGGCATTGTCGTGACTGCAGCATGTACTGAGCTCGTAGCGTTATCGTAATGCATTAGTGTGCTCGAAGCTAAGCATTGCAGCACAGCTCGCGTAGTGTTCGGTGTTGTTTGCTAGTTGTACCCTTCATTGGATCCACTGCATTGGAGAGGTGGCACGACAACGCATTTGGATTTTATGGTAATGTATTTCGTTCTTCCTTCCTGCTAAATCCCTTCATACCTGCAACGTAAAACGATCGCGTGTCCGTCGGCTAAGCGTGTGGACTAATCGTAACCTCGTCTCATAAAATCGCGTTTCGGCAAAAGATTGGCACTATGAAAGCGTTTTGTTCGTAATGGATATTCCTTCCCTTCTTAATGAAAGGCTTCCGGTTTTACATTGATGCGTTTAGCGGAGGAGTTTATGGAGCAGCTAAGGCCTATATTTGAGGCTCTCAGACAACGGGAGGAACTTCCGTGTTCGTATCCTCTCCACGTGGGTTCAACACATGGCACTAAGCAAGCTTTCATATATGGCCACTCAAGATCTCAAGGTTCAACAACGCCTGGCGCGCATCACTATACGCATCATCATGGATACCAGCCATCTCCAGGATATCACTGGGTAATTTATAGGCTATGTGAGAGTTTCGCTGTTGATTGCACCTTTGGTAAAAAGTTAATAGCAGCAATTGAGTTTTTGTTTGTCTTTTTTGTAAGTCAGTGTTTTAGAAATGTACGTTCGACGTAATAGTCTAAACCGTTAAGTCCATTTAGTTAGCATGCACATATCACACGTATTTGCTAAGTCTTCATATTATACCTTTGTATCAATAATTAAATAACCCATCTGACTCATATAAATAAATCATCATTGTTATGCTATTTTTTTTGTTTTTTTTTTTTGAGTTTTAACAGTTTTAGCAAATATGTATGACAACATAGTATGAAATGTTAATCGATTTTTAAATGTAGGTAAGAGAGCGTACTGTTCGCTCAGTGCCAATGTCCGCCGGAGGAGCCGCAGGTCGAGCTTCAAGATCATCATTGAGTGCCGGAACGCCTGATTCGCTTAGTGACAATGAAGCCGCAAGTGGTCTTGGCCAAAGATATAGAAAACCTAGTGTGCCAAGGTAAGTTCAATTTGAAATTATTAGTGATTTTTAGACGTTGCATATATATAAGAACATATTCTTACACAATATTTACTATTTTAGATCAACCCTAACGCCAGGTGGGTCACGACCAGGATCCAGGCCAGGTTCAAGAACAGGATCAAAACCACCCTCGAGGCATGGATCTAATCTATCTCTCGATAGTACAGGTACCAATCTTTTAAACAATATATCCATCATTACTACAAACTTCCTATCTACTGATATTATGAGATGACACCAAAAAATATTGTTTCAGATGATGTTTTGACTCCATCACGTATACCGATGCGTAAAGTAACGAATACTCGCACATCGATAGCTCGTGCAGCCGCTAACGCCAGTAAATTGGGAGTCACCACACCAAATGGTGGTTCTAGACCAAGAACACCCACTGGTCTTCTCACACCAGCGAGTGGAAGGTACGTTTTAAAGACTAAATCTTATAATAAATAATGGGTATAGGAAGTTAAAACATCTCGTATCTTATCTTTCGAACAATCACTTATAATAATCAAATTATTTCTATATCCAATTACGGTTACAGGTTAAATGATAAATAGATACGCTTACTTTAGTAGTTATATTACGTGTAATCTCCGGCTCCCATGTGATGCTATAAACATACCATAGCTCATCTATTTTAAAACGCCAGTTCTTATTTCTCATGTAACACATACGTGTTTATAAATAATTATGCAAGTAAACGGTAATACAATTCATTTAACTGGACATGGGCAGGTATAGCGGAGGAATGTACCGCACTTCCAGTATACCGACACTATCCCCGGTGCCGGCGCTAGTCAGGTACAAATGATTGAGGATTTGAAATTTGCTCGTGTTGTTTGCAATGGTGGCGCTAGGATCGCACTCTGTTTTTTTTAAGTATTTGTAAATATTAAATGTAGGGTAATAATAAAATTAATGTTTGTTAAAACAAATTGCGATCGTAAATATGGAAAGATATTTGGAAAGCTCGTCACTCTGCTTTAGGGGTAAAGATTTTGAGCTGTGTAGTGACGTCTATGAGGAATGTGCACCCGTCTAAAAAAATTTCATAAAATGCTTTGTCTGAATTGGTATCTGTTTGTGTCTGTTATTATGGTGGTGGTATATCTTTTGGTTAATTGTGGGAGCAGTTCACTTAAAATTAAAAAAAGAAGATAGGAGCATGCAATTAGGCTAACTAAGACACAGCCGAGTAAAATGAGTGGTGTTTACTAACAAATTATATTTATAGATATGTATGATAATTGATAATGATTATTATTAAATTATATTTTTCCTTTCCACATGCATTACCAAATCGGATACGAACGAACAGTTCAACTCATTCTCAGCCATCTTCAATGGCGTCTGAGCATCCTAAATCCTTATCCCATACTCATCCTGCATTCCAAACACAGGGTTCTACAAAAATACCTGTATATATTGGAAACCGGTCGCAACGAACGCCCTCTATTGAGCGACGGATTAAAACATCCCGAAAATCTCATTCAAGAGAAACTTCTCAAGATCCTAGTCCTATTTCCAACGATCCTAAATCTGACCAGAGGAGTCCAGAAGACGATTCCTCTCTCTTCAGCATTTCGGGAATGACGAGTGACAATGAATATGAGAGTAATATAAGCGAGTCGAGCGGCGAAGCTTCAAAGCCAACCCAACGAGGCATCAAAGGGTACAAGCTTGTTAATCCTAGCTTTTTTTTGACCCGATTATTTTGATTGATGCTCGTTGTTTTCTTTTTAATGATCATTTCATCCCTTTAAGTAGTAAAAAAGGGTCTCTAGACACGTTTCTAAGTCACTTCAATCATGTATTTATGGACGACTCGTTTTCATGATTTACACAACAAAAATCATTTTAGATTATACATATTTCATACTGTTGTATCTATATATTTATGACTCACTAACATTGCTTGATGCATATTGAGGAAGAATCATGCTTTTGCCGGTAATTTTTCCAGTTTCACGTTTGCTTTTTACACGTATGCCATAATGGTCATATTATATTAATATTCATGACTGGCAAGATATGTTTATCTTATAAATCTACTACATAGAGCGCTGAAGCATTTTTACAGTATAAAGATAATCTTAGTATGTCAATTTTTTTATGAACTCAATAAAAATGGATAAAAGTAATTTATGTAGTATATTATAATTTATGGTACTGGATTAATCATCAACATGCATTTTGGTTCTCTGACATACTATGACTTAAATATTTATGATTGCGTTCAACTAAATATTCACTATATATCTTACTATCAATTTGTTACTGCACATGCACTGCTTTATAGTTTTAATTCACTTTTGTGCACATAGATTTTACTTTTAAATTTCTGTGGACATAATTTCTATTTTCTTTGTTAATGAAAAACTTAATTTAATAAAATATACAAAGATTTGTATTGATAGAGTTATATACTATATTTTTACACATAGCATAACTTTAAAATGATATATTATTTTATTAATTTTTGAAATTCTTTTTTAAACATAAATTATAATAATTATTATTCATAAACATTAGGCATGTGCACTAACATTACCTAACGTTTCTTATCTTCATCTGTGTCTAATCTGTCTGTCCGTCTTTGCTTTGCTAACCTCGTCGTAGGAGCGGGTCGTTTGCCTCCACCGAAGGACAAACGCCCGGCAGGAGTCGCATTCCGGTGCCTAAGGAGACTAACCAAAGTCACTCTAGGTAAACATTAATTTCGTAGTTTGCTGATTGATGGATTTAATTTCTTACTCTTGAGTTTGTCGTTCGGGATCTGGATTTGTTTGATGTAGCTTGATGCATGGTGAAGGAGAAGTGAAGAATGGTGTTAATTTTTATGTGTCATAACAGGCAAAGAACACCATCGGGTAGCACGACGCCCGTACGCCCCGGCACACAAACCGCGGCGTCGCGACTAGTGCGCCGCCCCTCGGATGCGACCGACGGCGCGCCCGCCACGCCCGTCGCACGCCGCACCACCCCCTCCTCACGCACCACGGATAAACGGGAACCCTTCCGACTTTAAACGAAATTAATTTAAATCGACACCATTCCCGCCAAAATGCCGCCATCTGGAAAATTTTAATTTCAACGTGGTGGTTATTTTGACAAGTTTAATATTTATGTACGATGTAAGTCACTCTGATGTCTATAGTATAATCTTACGCCGATTTTGCAACATTGTATTTTTATTTTTAAGCTAATGTATGCAGGAAGATGTGTCAGAGCGCCTTGCATCGCTACACGCTTGAATGCCGATGAAACAATTATATAACTAACAATAAATTAACCTATTTTCGAATTGAGCCAAGCTTGTATGTAAGAAATGCGAATTTGGCTTCTAATTAGTAACGACTATAGATGTAGTAAAACATAAAGTCTGCACTTGTTGCCTTGTATACTTATTTTCTATGATCCCTGCCACTTTACACATTGGATTTTTGTGCTGTCAGTATTTTTGAAAATTCAATTTCTTTTCTTATCAATGTGAATATTTCTTTCTTATTTATTGTCAAAGTTGCCATAATTGTTAGTGTATGTTATATACGTATTAGTCTCTAATAGAGACCGAAAGTGTGATTTTGTAAAACGTTTTTTGTATTTTTCTTTAGGGACCATTTTGTTTACGGAAGACCGAAGCGTAGGAGATTGACGGCAACTACTTGCGTCAAGTTGTTCGCTCTTATAGACACGCCAAACTATATTTGTTGATAAACGGGCGTTAAGTCGTTACCGCCAATCATTTAAGTGATAATAGATTTAGCGGTTCATTTGTAATGCACAATCATTTTTCTTATTTCATTTGGTATTTATTCGAATTTCATATAGGAGTATATAAGTAATGATAATCAGGAATCATTTTAGTTTACATTATGTATATGATTATTTATACACTGTTTTGCACAATATATTTATTGTGAACTACCGTTAGCATTGTGCTGGCAAGTGTGACTTGTTACTGACGACTGACGCCAGAGTTGTCTTGTAAAAGTATCACATTTATCAGTCTCTGTTCACGGGAAGGATTTTCCATAGCGGACTTATTATTTTTTAGTAAAAAACTAAAGTACACTTTGTGAACACAAAAGACATTTACTTAATAAAAGCTATATTAAGAATACTTTTTATATATGAAATGAACGCTTTAAAATGTAACCTTCTCTAAAAATGTTAACCAACACTCACATTTACTTGTTAATTTTATTATAAATCTGACTCTAAGATTAAGCCTTTATTATTAGAAATATTGTAAAACTATTAATCTGGTCATTTTTATTTAAATCATTGTTGTATTTGTTAAATGTAAAATCGAAGCAAATTTACTAAAAGCTTGCAATATTTTTTTGTATAAAGTAATGATTCTGAAGAGCTACAGTTTTTAAAATCTGAATTGATTTCAAAATAAAAAGTAACAAATTATACATTTTGTTTTATTATTATTTAACAAGAATGTGCCCTATTTAAAAATAATAAATATAGTAATAAATTACTATTCTGTTGAATGAATTATATTTTCTTTGGAATACTTTATCAGTGACATTCGGGAGATTTAATTTTACTAAAATCTAAAGATATTTTTTATCAAAATCGGTTCTTGATCCTTGAACCCTTTGAGTATTACTTTAACGGTGTGCAGATTTCCTGCCAATAAATCACAGGTACTAACTTAGCTCGTCGATGATGTGTAAGTATATGTGGCGGAGACTGAGTTTCCGTTTACAATAAAATTATGGATCAAAGTTGCAAGAAATGATAAAATCAATTAATACATATTTTTCATTACTTTCGAAATCAGCACTTGTGATCTTATCCCTATCACTAGTTTTGTAAATGCTCGATACCATTTCTCCAACTATAAAATTCATTTGTATACCTAACCCTGTCTTATATCTACAAAAAATAATCTAAAAAAACTATATACTTACATTTAAAGTAAATATACACCTAGGTTAAGGACCAAAATTCATAAGTATGTCCTCAATTTGAGAGTATGTTTTTGCAATAAAAATGTTGTAGATATTTTTCATCAATTTTAAGTAATTATTATTTTATTATACCTACCCATAATTTTAAAATTTTCTTAATATTTACCCATCAATGAGCCTGCAAAATAAAATATTTATCATATATAATACTATCTGCGCTCTGAATAGCAGGCGGATAGATAATAGCCAGAATATTATCGTTATTATCTTCTCTTATTTTCTTCTATTTATTTCATATAAAGTATTATAATCCCATTTTTTATTGATTATTTATTTATTTTTGACCTCACGTATTATCTTTGCTACTTTGTTTTATACGATATTTTAAACCTAAATTCTGTAATCGATTATTATTGATATATTTTTTAATATATATATATGGTAAGTTTTTTAATATGTATATGGTAAGTGGTAACACTGAGTACTGACATTATATTTGACAATTGATTATTGACATTTGACAATGTGACATTACAAAATGCGAGAATAGATACAAAGTAAATAGGAAAATTTTCATATTTTGTTGTTAATTTTATGTAAAATATTAGGCTTATTGCTTCATAATTATAAATAATACTTGGGTTTAAATTTGAACATGGTAGGCTGCACTATGGACGGACCGGCGAGAGATCGAGTCATGAAATTGATACAAGAAAAAGACAGAATTGAAAGCGAAATTCGCGAGCATAATTTAGTTTTAGAGGCAAATAATGTTGGTATGCAAGACCCACTAGTAGATGCTGAAGGGTTTCCTCGCAATGATATTGATGTCTATAAGGTCCGGCATGCAAGGCATCGTATAATTTGTAAGTGATTTCACTCCTTTTAATAATGACTCAGCAACTTTAACACATGTATACTTATATGTTACATGTTCATTTCGCTTGTTAAATCTTCAAATATTTTAGAATTTAATCATAATTGATATTCTATTAACTTAAATATTAATGTCGTAAATGAGTTTCCAAAAGAGAATTTCATAATTGTATCATTATAAAATGTATATGATTAAAGGTCTACAGAACGACCACAAAACTCTCATGAAACAAATAGAACAAGGCCTTGGTGAAGTGCACTCTGAATTCCGTGGTACAAATAGTGCAGGGACATCAGCTCCAAGCCCAACATATACAAACGGGTTTGCCACTTCCAGTAATGGTGATTCGAACCAAAATATGAAGAGTTTTGCTAAAGTAGGGTGTATTCAAGAAGGATCTCCGGCTGATTTAGGGGTAATAGGAACATCTTTATTAGACATATCCAAAACTAGTTTGGTACAGTTGTATACTCAACTGTAGTTATAATATAACTGCCTCTGTGGTGTAGTATGTACAGTTAGCTAGGCTATCATATACGGCTGCACATCCAGAGGTCCTGGGTTCGAGTCCTGGGCCGGGCCAAGTTTATTTATTGAGTCTTTCTATTTTGTAAGCCTCAGTAATAGCCCAGAGTTGGAAGTTGGTAGTTAACTCTTACTGGTTGTGTCGAGTAATAGTAGTCCCACCAGAATATGAGAGTGACAGGAATAGAGAATGCACAGATGGCTAGTTCCAATGAGATCGCCGTGGCTTAAATCGGTTGGAAGACTATTATTATTTAAAATTAACTAGCGACTTATCCTTGCTTCGCTCGGATTCATCCCTAGTAGGTACATTTTAATTTTTTTAACCCTAATTCTTTTAATGAAATAAAAGTAGCCTAACTTACTCCTTATAACATCAACTACCTACCAGTGAAAGTCCCGTCAAAATCGGCCCAGCCACTGGAGAGATTAGCCAGAACAAACAGACAGACAGACAAAATTTTTAAAAATTGTGTTTTTCTTATAAATACTGTATATAATTCCATATGCATTTAGTAAAAAGCTGTTATTTTGACATTGCAAACAGACACTTCAATTTTATATATCTGTATAGTGTACAGGTTTCTCAATATCGCAAAATTCTTTAATATTTTCAGGGCCTATGTGAAAATGATGACATACTGCAATTTGGTTCAGTCAATGCAGACAACTATTCAGACATAACCCAAGTACACAATGTAGTTGCACATTCAGTTGGTCAGCCTATACAAGTGAGAGTGAAGCGAGGTTCACATGTGTTAGGAATCACCGTAACTCCTCGGCCGTGGGCCCAGCCTGGCCTGCTTGGATGTCAGATAAGAAGACTGTAATTTGTTCTTTTAAATGTTATATTGTATATTATGTAAAATTAGTATAATAAAATAAAATTACTTCAATTATATGTTTTTTTTAATTACTTTTAATATCTTTCTTTTAAATTAACTTGACATTAATTCTTGTATTAAAATGAATGTCCAAATATTATATTATTTCAATTATGAAAATTGCTTAAATATATTTTATTTTATATACTAGCGTATATATAACTGACTTTGCTTACTTTTAATGTGATGCAGATACATTAATACAACATAAATATATATAATTCAACTATATTTAGTAGGAGGTATACTAATCATTTTGATATTCCAGCCAGGTTCTTCATCAGATTCAGATACAAAACAAACATAATATGATAATAGAATATAAATAAATTAGATTATTATTAGGTTTATTACCAAAAATGATAGAATAATATATACATAGTTATTTATGAATTCTAAATACACAGTGTCGTCGTTTGTATTCAATTTAAATTAATTAACATGAGTTGCTTTAAAAAAATACTTTTGTATCATATTTGAATTGTTTTAACTTTTAAGTTAAAACAATTTTTGTAACATAATAAATATTTTAGAAATAAATCCTATGATTAATAACCATAGTTTTCATTCTCTTTTTTCTCTCAGCCTCCACTTTATCAACTTTCTTTATAAATTCTGCATCTTTTAGAAGCTTTTCTTTTAAAGTTTCTATTTTTGGGAATTCTGGTTTTTCTTCTAGAACTAATTCTTCATCTGGATACATGTATTTCATATTAAAATCGAAATAAAGTTTGTCGTCCACTAGTCGATAATCAGATTTGGTTAAAGTACCTCTAATGCAGTCATTGTAGTGGCACACCATCTTTTCCTGTTCTGGCGTATCACAAGACCCTGGAATTTTTATAAATAACGTTATACACTATATTTTATGACGATTAATAGGTTATTGTATCTACTAGGTCTATTAAATCGACACGAGAAATCGAATTCAAAACTTTAGCGCCAGAAAACAAGTAAAATAAATATGTGTGTCAGCTCCGATGCGAGACTGGAGTTTACTCCTACAAAAAACAATGTTTGATAGTTTAAAATATTTAATTTTATTATTAAAATTAAATTAATAATACGATATAGGCTACTCAAAATGGCCGAGACGCGTAAGAAAAACACATCTTTCCTCGCCTCTTTCCAGTCTGTATTAAATTTAATTTTTTTATTATAAGTGTTAATGGTATTATGCCGCATCACTTTGCTTCCCCGAGTACCTATTCCTTCTTTTACTACTGTGGGCCCGACCTGAGTGGTAAATGTCTATGAAAATTTGCTGCTGTAGAAACTATAGCCCAATTAGAAATGTGCCACTGTTAATATCCTTAATCTTTAGTAGGTACTTATCGATACAGTTAAATTCTGGTTAAGTGAATTTATACATACCAGGTCTCTGCACTCTAGCTGTAAGAATAGCTCTTTCTGGTGCCATATTCTTGAAGAACACGAGGTAGCAAGCAAGCAGAGTACCGGTACGTCCACGTCCAGTGCGACAGTGGACACCCACAGCCTTTAACAAGACAATGGATATGGATTATGTAAAAAAATAGGTTTATATCATATATTTGCAATTTCCATCATCAAGGAACAGTTCGATAATAATAAAATATAGTTAACATAAATATTACCTTGTGCCAAAATCAAACCTGCGCCGTGCGGACTGTGACATAGCAGTAAGATGTAAATTTATCGAAAATATTTATATTACATAAAACATACCTCTCCAGTGATTTCCGCATTTTTACAAATGCCGATGAATTTTATGATCTGTTTCAAGGTCGGAGCTTCGAACTCTTTGATCGAGATTTTTGTCCATTTCAATTGCTTTTTACATTCTAATAATGGCGGAATCCTCTCCGGTGACAGCGTGATTAAGTGTTTTATACCCGCGTCGGCTAAATAATTCAAGTTGCCAACGCTTTGAGGACAGGCCATGGCCGCAATTTTGTTTGGGACGAACCAAGAAAAATTGCATGGCGGGTACGACTCCTCTTCAATTTCAGGCTCTACAGCTTCAACCTCAGTAACCTCCCGATTAATCCTGTCGGCATATTTATAGAATATTTTCGCCAATTTGACATTTGTCCTCTTTTTGATGGTGCTCATAGTTTTATTTAATTGATCCTTAAACAAAAGCTTTTATTTCAATGACGTCGTTAATTGGATAATAAAAATTTGCACTTAAAGATTTTCTATTTTTATCCAGCTCTTGTCAGAAAATTCGCCTTTAAAAACACAACTTCCATAAAAGTCCTAAGCACTAAAACACTTTCTTTCGTCACTTTATGATTGACGACGAAAACACTGCCAAGTAGAAGGGATTTTTGAACTTTGCTATATTTAATATTATACTAAGCTGTGAATGTTTCAACAGACACTGGGGTCTAGTTGGAGTGAAGCCAGAACGAATCCATTGGCACGGCGATTGGCATGAGATAGATTTGTGATAGTCAACACGTTCACTCTCAATAGGAAAATTTTAGCCAGGGCCGTGCGGTAGATTTTCTTAATAACTTGCACCAATTTTAATTAGGTTTAATTTTCATTAGAGTTCATATCGTATCGTATTCAGCCCTTCATTTAACGTCCCACTTCTGGCCTCCCTTAGATGCGAGGACCATCAGGCCAGAGTCCACTAGTGCTATGGGATTTATTTCTACTAGTATAGTTTACAGAAAAATATTGACCATATATATAAACCCCCTTTTTTTGAAGTTGGTTAAACACATATTTATATTTACCTACTGGTACATAGATTACGTTCATGTTATTTCAAAGAAAAGGTCCTTTACTAAGCCTTCTTAATAAAATCATTAAAAATAGTATTAAATACAAAGAGTATTAAGAAAAAAATACAGTTTAGCAAATCATCAATTTTATTAAATAAGTATTTCTTTAAAATTTCAGGTACATTATAAACCATAAAAAAAATGTAAATAACACAAATTGTATATATTCCTTAAGAATAAAATGTAAAAAATAATGACCATATGGGTGAAATAAAAACAATATGAATTTACTTGCCTTATTACACAAACTATAAATTATAATTCCTAGCTAAATTGAAAGCTTTAAACATAAGCCAATTAATAATGTTTTTTCGGGCTGACCTTGGTTCATAAAAAATTAAAAAGAGAAATGTAATTTAAAATTTCTCAATGGCGTCATACACATAATTCACAGCATAAACAAACCGGAAGAAACTTTTATTTTTTAATTTACGACGAATTAGACGTAGGCGTATTATAAGCATGAATCGCGTAATTTTACTTACAGATAAAAAACAGTATTCTCTATTTTATTACATACTTACAAGCTATAATTTAACAATTTTATTCTAAGACTAGCATTGCCCGCGGCTCCGCCCGCGTTCAGATGACCAAAAACCAAATTCTTAGGTTTTACATATTAGTTCACTCTTACATTGCAGTTTTTGTAATTTTTCTCAAAAATTAAATATTTTTCCGCGGTAAAAAGTATCCTATATGTTTACCCGGATAACCAGCTACCATCATACCAAATTTCATCAAAATCTGTCCAGTGGTTTTCTAGTGATGCGGTAACAGACAGACAGACTGTCTATTTCTATTAGATTTTCCAAAAAATATTTAATGTACGACTTAGTTACAATTTTATTACATATATGTATAGATCATAATATGTAGGTGATTTACTAGCGACTCACCCTCGCTTCGCTCGGGTTCGATTAGAGCGCACAAACGTATAGACAAGCAAACAAAAATTCTAAATATCATTGTTTAGTGGCCTTTTGCGTTAATAAAGACCTCCCAATAATAATTTCTCAAATACCTTCCATGTACAGACAGCGATCCTTATTATGTTTAGATGAGGTAAAACTTTGAGTATTGCTAAGTACTATAGTGCTGGATTAATTTAGAATATACCTAACAATAATATTATTTACTCTTTATATAATAGGACAGTCCTTAGTGTTCTAATACTTCAAAGAGCTTTCTTCGTACTTTCTTTAGCGAGTTCTATAAATTCTTCCATAACTTCACCACTTACACCGAATCTAAGTGGGTTATCTGCTGTTAGATATTCGAAATATCTACCAACAGCTTCTTCTTGTTCTTCAAAGTTCAATGAACCTGAAATTGTACTCAATTTTATTTACTACTAGGGACTCACCTTCGCTTCGCTCGAGTTCGTCCCTAGGGTATGTATACAACTTCCCTATTTGAATCGGATATTATAAAATTTTTATTATATTTTTTTCTAAAATAAAAGTAGCCTAATTTACTCCTTATTACATCAGCTATCTGCCAGTGAAAGTCCCGTCAAAACCAGCCCAGCCATTTCAGAGATTAGCCGGAACAAACAGACAGACACAGACAAAAATTGTAAATAATGTTGTTTTCGTATATGTACCATGTATACATCCATACGCATTTAGTAAAAATCTGTTATTTTGACATTACAAACAGACACTTCAATTTTATTTATCTGTATAGATGGTAAAACAGGGAAGTAGGGACTTGTCCTATAAATTTAAATTTTATACAATGTTCTACGCCGAACAGGTGTTCCGCGTAGAGCTGAGATCTAGACCTAGATGAATATAACCTGACCTTTCCCTAAATGTTAGATACGAGGTTGTAGTTAGTTTGTACTTCAATATTTCATAATGAAATTAATAAGTAGTACATTCAGAAATCAAAAAGTAGTATTAATTTAGAAACACTTTGGCTTTCATATGTGTGATGTCAATCTATGGGCACTTTATTTTTATATTTTTGAAAATCTATGCCAAATTTTATCGGAATCAGTCTAATGGTTCGATCATTTGTTTGATTGAAAAACATGCCAACATTGAGTGACGGAAATTTTAATAGCATTGTTTGATGTTATACGAGTATAGACCAGAGCTGAAGCCTTTGAAAACGTTAAAAAGTGAAAAAAATATATAGTAGGAAGAAACCCATCGGAAAAGGAAGAGAATATAACAAAAATGAAGGGAAAAATAATAATAGGCAAGGTAAACAGGTGGAAACTAAGAATTTTAAAACAACGCATTTTAAGCTTGTGACCTTTTTAATTAGTTAGTAGGCGGAGAAGTGTCATTGTAATGTTTAAAATAAACTAAATTTTACTATCATAACTCCTAAATTGCTTAATGGAGACGTAAATTATATATAATATACGAGTATGTGTAATAATCATGATTTATTATATAGTACTAGCGACTCACCATCGGTCCGTTCGGGTTCGTCCCTACTTACATTTTTAGGTTTAGTATAGATTTCTCAGAGATGACATTTTCCCGCGGTAAAAAGTATCCTATATGTTGACCCGGATAATCAGCTATCATTATACCAAATTTCATCAAAATCCCTCCAGTGGTTTTTCCGTGATGCGGTAACAGACAGACAGACTAATATTTTTAAAACTATAGATTCGGCCTCTGTATCGATATTAATGCCTATTTCAATAAGATTTTCCAAAAAATATTTAATGTACAGATTCGGATTAGTTACAATTTTATTATATGTATACCTATAGATAATATGTTTTATTACCTTGTCGAATCATCCGAATGACGTTCATGGCCTGATCTGGCAAGAAACGGTGGAAATGGATGAGATAACACGCCAGCATCACAGCTGATCGGCTGCGACCTTGACGACAGTGGATACCTAGTACCTATAAATTAACAATTTTCTGTAAATCTATTTTTTAATACATATATACATACACGTGGTTGGCTTTGGCTATGTAAATAGAAACAAATGCAACGTGGGTAGTATATTGTGGGAGGTGTATTATACATTTGTAATGGATTTTCTTAGTGTTCATATAAAATTTAGTGTCCGCTTAAATGTATCATTATTCAAGCACGTGTTGCTTTCACGCATTAGATCTATTCACGGTTGTAAATATTAAAAGTATATATTTGACCTATTTTTTTTTTCTTTTCATTAAGTTCAGAAAACAAATATAAAAAAGATAGCTAAATACCTCTCCATTTTTGTCGGATCTTTTGCACACGTCAATAAACTTGATAATTTGTTCAACAGTAGGTGATTCAAATTCTTCTATAGGTATTTCAGTCCATTTTAGTCTAGGAATGTCGTCCACTGGAGGTTTTTTACCGGCTGTTAATGTGACTAGATGTGTGATACCTTGGTTGATCAAAAATTTCAAATTTTCAACATGTCTTGGAAAAGCCATCGCTGCTAACTTTTTGGGAATAACCCAAGAAAATTTTAAAGGTGGGTAAGCATCAACTTCTATTTCTGGAAAGGGGTTTTCTGGTATAAGAACTGTTAAGTCATTTCTAATTTCTTTTCTAGCTCCCGCTAAATGTTTGTCATCTTGCTCTGTGATATTTTCCATTCGAGTATACACGTGATATTCCTCAGACATTTTGTTTTTTTTTTTACTTTTACAATAAAATTAAAATTTATAAAATATAATTGAAATTAATAAAAATATCTATGTTTATATTTTAATACAAAGAAAGACACTTCTCGCATCGACGATCACTTTCACTCTTGACCATCTAGCGTGAATTTTGTATATTGACTGACGACGTATAACTAAAACTTGGCACCAAGCTCCTAATTCTGGAGGATGTAATATTTATTTCTGGAGGCCTTGGCCATGATATCTGTGCTAAAAACAAACTAAATGAACCATTAAATTTGGTCTTTATTGCCAAGAAGTAAGGAACTGTTAGCAAAATTAGTTTATTTCTTGGCTGAATAATGTTTACCTGTAGACATGCTGTCTTAAAAACATGAGATAGATTTCGTATTCGCGCGTAAATTTAATTCTGTCTGTGACGACTGAATTGATGATGTAGAGATACTCTTAATTTTTAAATGTAAATTTAATAATGTAGTTTGTGAAAATTATGTTCCTATAGTGTAAACAAGTGTAAGTCATTTTATAACAACACTAGCGCGTAGCGACTCACCCTTGCTTCGCTCGGGTTCGTCCCTAGCTTGAATCCCCATCCCCATTTTCAACCCCTTAAGGGATGATTTCCGGGATAAAAAGTATCCTATGTCCTTCCCGGGGTCTCAAAATATCTTTTTACCAAATTTCATATAAATCGGTTCAGTAGATCCAGAGATTACCCCGTACAACGTCACAAAGTAACAATCTCGTAAACTACCTCTTTATAATATAGTAGGTACTAGCGGACCCGACAGACGTTGTCCTGTCTACACGTCTTTAATTTGAAAATTTCAAACTTTTTTTAATAATTTTTTTGATGAAAATTATTATTCAAATTGTGAATCTAAACCATTCTCAGATCCCCTTGAACACACACAAAAAATTTCATCAAAATCGGTCCAGTCGTTTGAGAGAAGTTCAGTGTCATACACACTCACAGAAGAATTATATATATAAAGATAGATTACATGACATGGACATTTTTTCTCTATATCTTGGTACGCAAAGTTTATAATAAAGATGTTTAATATGTAACATTTACATAGATATACCGTAAAATTAAAATAATCGTTTTGATAGGAAAGATAATATAGCAGACCCAAAGGTGCCACAGGCAGTGGTAGCCCAGTGGTGATGCGCTCGCTTGGGAACAAAGTGAGCGGGTTCAAATCCCGGTTCTCGCGTCTCTCATATCTTCCTGTGGGAATCATTTTCTAACATCAGGAAAACTTCGTGAGGGAACCTGAGTCTTGAGAGAACCGAGCAAGTTTTCGAAAGACATGTGTAAAGTCCGTCTAATCCCCTCGTATTGAGGAATGCCCATGCCTATAGCAGTGACACGATAAAAAGGTAAGCCCTTTTTATATAAATGATTATACGTAACAAATGTGTAAAAATCTGTATTTAACAAATATACCAATCAAGTATTTATTGCGTCACATTAAGCACCTATGCAGTCTGGCGAGGTTCATAGTTATACTAAAAATTATGCATTAAAATAGATTCTTAAAATGTCATTCAATAATAGCGCGCTTCTTAAAAGATAATGCAACAATATTTCATTCTTCTTTGCCAACTTAAAATTAGCAGGTTCTCAATTTAGCTTTATTGTTTGTTAGCGATATCTTCGATTTATTTTACTTTATATATTTATCACTTAGGGTAAAATTTCAGTAATAAAATAAAGGAGAGGTTCTCAATATGGATAATTTTGTCAAGACGAAGAAGATATTGAATACTTTCTTCGATTTGTTGAAAATAGCTAGATTGATGTAGGTAATATAAACTTCGATCTATTAAGTATATCTAGAGGTACCTACACTAACTTTAAAAAAATATATGTTACGAACGGCTGTATATATATATATACAGCCAGCGCCACCTTTTAGAGCATTTTATAACTAACATTAGCTTATGTATTATTCCGGTCATAGTTCATATTTTGAATGTACGAGTATGTTCGATTTGCAAGAACAGAGAAGAAGATTTCAAAACGGCAAAATAGACTACCATTAAAGAACGTTTAACTAATAGTAATTAACACGTCCAGGTAAATTTCTAAGAAATTAATTAAAATTCTAAGAAATCTATTGTTAACTGACACGCCGGCGTGTCCGCGGTCGTGGAGGGATTAAAAAAAAACAAATAAATCAGTAAGAATAATAATATTTAATTACATACAACACAAGTATACTAACTAGAGTGTAAATAACGGTATCTCCTAATATAATAGCTATAACATTTTTTGGACCGTAAACATTTGAGCCAATGATATTTAAAACTGTTCTCACCACTCTTAGGCAACTAACAAACAGTACGTACAATTAAATATTACATAATCGATTAATACAAATAAAATGTCATTGTAAGTATAAAATATCACTCGATTCTACATATAATCGAATATTTTTATTTACATACAAAAAATCGATGTCGTGCATTCAGATTCTGAGCACTAAACGTGATCTAACATTAACAGTTTGGTTAACCAAACTAATAATTAATAATTTAACCATGATTGAATAAATTTAAAAAAAATTGGTCATTTTTTGAATATACTTTATAAATTTAAATAATCGAATACTTAGTGATTAAGAGTTTAGATTATACAAAAACCAAACTTTTGTTGTTAGACACAATACAACTAAATGGAATGATAAAGTAGATTTTTAACAGCCGGTTAGATATTGTAAACTCGTAGGAGTTTTTTTACTCTCTTTTTTGTTTGCTCTCTCTCTCTCTTTCCCTCATAGGTGTATGTTCCTCCTTAGCTAAACTTCATAATATATATATATTATGTATAATATATAATAATACATTTTCAACACTGCAATTTAAATTTATCATAAGCAAAACGCCAACAAAATAATTGACAAAATTTGCAAAAGTCCTAAATTGATACCCGCATAAAATTCATAATAGAAATAAATACAAAAATACACTGGAATGTTATAAATGCAATTTTGTTGACATACAAACTGACAAACATCCAAAAAAAACACAAAACAGAAGTTCATGTATGTATTTGATATGTGCAAAGATATTATTATCCTTACGCTACCTTAATAAGCCCTTAGATACATTAAATACTCTTATTTAACTAAAATATTAAGCTCCGATCGCTAAAATTTCATCCTTACAACGCAATTTTACTACGCTTAGATCTCACATATTATAAAAAAATATAAAAGACATCGCGATAACATTGCCAGTAGTCAAAGGTGGGCGTACGTAATATTTTTATAAGGTAAGAATTTCTATAAATATTATTTTCTAGAAAATAGTTTTTATGCTTGGCAGAACAGAGAAATGCCTTTGCCACTTAATTGTAATTACATTAATTTATACTTTCCTTTAATTTAATTTTGATGGATTTATTTTATTGGATTCCACTTACAATAAAGAAACAATATTTGTATGTATAAAATATTATAGACATATGAGAATTGGAGTAAAATACTACAGGGGGTACTGCAAGGCACGACATTAGGCCCTATACGTTTCTTAATATACTACTTTCAAGTGCAAGTTACTTATTGAAACTGGTTAACACAGAGATTCAAGGCACAAACTGTATTGAAATAAATAAACAACTAATCTAAATATAAGTGTTGCTAGTAATTTATAACGTTTTCCCTATATATGGAATAATTTGGATAAATGAAATAGCACCTTCCATTGGAAGTGAAATAATTAAATACTACCTTAACACGTAATATTTTATTAACATGTAAAATATGAACTTGAATTTTACAAATTCAGTGTCACCATAATATAAAAAAAACTTACAAAATTTAATTTAGCAATTTTTAGGTTGATAGTAGTAAAGATTTTTTAACTTTTTTATAGGAACTTCGGCCTAAACACTACATAGTTCATATTTTACAGTAACAACATCTAAAATGCGCTCTCTATTAACAAAATGGATGGAATTTGACACCTATTAAATACAAAACATTTAGCTATGGCTAATTTATTGTCGATGATTTAAATAATTCAACAGGCAACATTAATTAATAATATTTAAAATTTCAACTGAAATTGATTGACAGATCGTCCATGAACTCTAACATCTTCTATCTACTTACAAATAAATTTCACGGGAGGATATAAAATATAAAACTAGTTTATTAATTTAAAAAAAAAACAAATTAATATGGTTGGTTGGTATTTACGTCTTTTTATGATATCATAATTAACACCTCCAGGTAATTTCTAAGAAATTAATTAAATTTGTAAGAAATCTATTGTTAACTGTAACGCCGGCGTGTCCGCGGTCGTGGAGGGATTAAACGAATTAGTATTATGTTACTTTTGCCAAATAAAGGCTTTAAATTAAAGCTTTGCGCAAAAATGCTAGTTAGGAGGTACCAGAAAGTTCACGAACGAAATGTAGAATAAATTATAGAATACCCAATGGAATTACATAAGCAGATAAAAGATGATGACGATACAATTCTTAATACTAATACTTACATAATTTTAATCATTTTCAATATTCAAGTAATTATATGAAAAATGATTGAGGATGACACTGTTTTTCCACTATATATAAAGTAGAAAAGTTTGTTTGTAATGTCAAAATAACAGCTTTTTATTAAATGCATGTGAAGTAATATATGTACGAATAAATACTTGTCAGAAAAACACAATTGTTAGAATTTTTGTCTGTCTGTTTATTCCTGCTGATCTCCGAAACGGCTGGATGTCATAAGAAGTAATTAAGGCTACTTTAATTTTACAAAAAAAAATTAAGGTACCGCGCAAAAAATTAAAATCCATAAAATTGTCACCAAATGAAACCTAAAAACGTATGCCATTAAATATCTTCATCATCTCCATCTGCTTTATTACATATATTTACTATAAATTTACATTAAGATACATAATTTTAATATAATTCTTTAATTTTTACCTCAAAATGATATGAACTTGAACACACTGTCATCTAATTGATCAATGAAATAACATACTTAATAAGAACACTTGCTATAATTTAAGGAATGCTTTGTAGATATCTAAGGTTAAACATTCAAATATCATTATTTTAATAAATGTAGTACCAAAAGAGTTTTTAATAAGACATAGTAAAAATTCAGGAATCATCTAGTGTTGCCAGGATACATATTATGTATATTGCTTGAAATAATATCAATAAATATACTCGTCTAAAGAGGATGCATAAAATATTTATCTGTGTAAATTTTTCCTTTAAAAATTTAATATTTTAGTCGTAATCAAATAAAAAATCAACACAACGCAAAAAACATACTTTCTGCTAATACACTATTTAGACGTTAAATTATCTAGCAACACTAACATTTACATATATATCCACTATAATATTATGAAAAAAAAAGGTACATAAAAAAATCCATCCAAGTATATTAAATATGGCGGATTAAATTTTCGAATCCCCCTACTTTATTAAGCTCTATAATAAAGATTGTTAATTTAAAAACAATATGAATTTTATTTAAAACTGGGAATGTATATTTTTAATATTCACATATAAATATAATATAATGTTTATTTATTTTTATTTTGATGATGCATAAATAAATTATATACGGAAATAATATTTAAGAAAAATGAATACTTTTTTCTAGAAGCCATGCCATGTGGGTCGGTATTAGACCTACTTGTCAAAATTACATTTGACACTCATTAAGTACATTTTCACTATATATTTAAGTGACTGAGTAATTTTCATTAAGTTTAAAAATGATTACGCACATCTAATTAAAACATTGTCTGTATGTGCATTGTACATACATATGGTAAAATACATTCATTAGTGTTACTATTATTCAAATATTGATTCAAAAAATAACTGTTTTTGTTAAATAGGAATGTATTACGTCTGGCAACACTAATTTATCCAGTATTTGAATATTCTAGATCACAATGACACGTATATACATATTGTGTATAATATCTATGCATTGTATACTACAAGCAAAACAACAAAATGATTAAATTTTAGATTATTTGCTTGTCAAATTTGTATTTAAATATGATTTACATCAAAATATCATTTGCCAAATAAAATTAGAACCTTAATCAAGCACATTTGACAGATTAAATATTTTGTTTATTAATGACAGGTATATATGTATATACCTGGCAACACTAGACTTCACTGTTAGGACAAATCAGTGTATGTTTTAGATGCATACACAGTTTTTATACAAGTTTTAAGAACTTCTTTATGATTTATAACATTTGGATAAAAAAATATATTAGGGAATCTTGCGAATAACAACATACCTGGCAACACTAGTAACTGTACCCATTTATCACATTTAACACATTGCGTACGTGCTCTATACGTGTAGCGTGTCATCCATTTATACTCATAATGTGAGGCCAAATAACAATAGTTTTAAAAATAATATGTTATGATAACTTCTTTATATGATTTTAATTTTTGAAGTCTTGGAAATAACGACGTACTTGACAACACTAGAAAATATCCATCCTAAGAATATTCTAGATCACATTTGACATATTAAGTACATATGTGCACTGTAGGTATTATATGCACGTCGCCTTTACTTTAGATAGAGCCCAAAAAACACTTCTTAAAAACAATGTACTCTGATAACTTCCATAAACAATTAATGTTTAAATGACGAAAAAAGGCCCTCATTTTAGCATAGTTGATATAGATAAAAAATATTTTTTGTGGATAAAATCTTGCACGTAACGACGTACCTGGCAACACCAGCGACCTGTCACCGTAAGAACATTCTAGATCACATTTGACACATTAAGTACATACGTGCATTATAGGTAGTATGTGCACGCCTTTACTTTAGATAGGGCTCAAAAAAAACACTTCACGTAACCAATATGCTCTGATAACTCTCATATACAATTTTATATTTTTTGCATATTTGATATAGATAAAAAAATATTTTTTGTGGGTAAAATCTTGCACATAACGACGTACCTGGCAACACTAGCGACCTGTCATCTGTCACCGTAAGAACATTCTAGATCACATTTGACACATTAAGTACGCTCGCGCGGTACCTGCTCAGTATGTACTATAGGTGCAGTATCTGCCCGTCGTCTTTGCTCGGGATGTGGGGGAAGCTGGTCTCCTGCTCCTCGAGAGTTACTGCTGTGAGGTCCACGATCTCGTCTTGCTCGTCTTGGTCGAATCTGGATGAGATTTGTTATGAATAGTTAAGATTGTAGAAGTTATATTTAAAAAAGTACAAGCAAAAAAAATATTACTATATGTCACGGATTAAATATCGGGTCTCGCAACTCTGATATTTTCATGTGGCAATTTCCAACATGACCACTTGTCTTACGGTGAAGTAAAACATCATATTGAAACCTGCATGTCTGAGAGAACCTTGCAAATTTTTGAAAGATACGTTAAGTTCACTCGCACTTGGCCAGCGTGGTGGACTATGGCCTGACCGCCCTCGTACTGAAGGGAGGCCCGAGCCCAGCAGTGGGACGTTAAAAAGGGCTGAATACCTGTCCTCGTCGTGCTCGCTGGGCGGCTGCGAGGCGCGCGCGTCGGGCGGCGGCGGGCCGGCGCGCTGGTTGGCGGGCCGCACTGTTATTATCAGGTTGGACGAGTTCGCCACCATCATGTCTGTCACCTGACATGATGAACGGTTTATTGTTATTAATGCTAAGGTTTGTATGTATTTATATATTATTAGCCGAACCCGCGACTTCGCTCGCGCTAAAATTACAAAAAAACTCTAAAAAGGTAGGTTTCATACAAACTTTCATCCCCTATCTTACCTCCTTATGGGATGAATTTCGAAAAATTCTAAAACATGTATGTTTAATTGTATTGAAGAACATTACATACCCAGGTTCAAGTAATTCTGATCATATTTTGGGGTTGTATTATAACGTGTTTTCCCGTGGGAATGAGATAATCTCCCGCGGTAATAAAAAGTAACCTATGTCACTCTACAGCTTTCCAACTATCTCCACAAAAAAATCACACCGACCCGTCACTATACTGTTTTGACGTGAAAGAAGGACAAACAAACAAACACACTTTCACGTTTATAATATTAAGTATTGAAGTATGATTTATGCGATTTGGGCAATTGTTATATAAAAATTCAAGACACACAATTAGCGTCTCAAAAGTGTCCTCAAAAAGAAGTGCACAATTCGAAATTGAATTGTGTTTTCTTTCAAATCTCTTTTGTTCATTGCTTTTCGGATGGTAAAATAAAAAAAAATACAGCCGAATTGAGAACCTCCTCCTTTTTGAGGAAGTCGGTTGATTAAAACGCACGTTATGTTGCGTTTAAAATCCGGCTAGAATACGATTTAGAATCCTTAAGAAGCCCCTAACATGCTTTTTAATGTTGTTCTAATTAGGATGAAATCTTGTATACAGATGGATTATAGAGTGGAGTACTGGAGTACATACAACAAATAGGCTACTGTCTCGATAGACAGCTCGAGCACACACGAGCGGAGCAAGGGTGAATAACTACATAGTATAAATATATTATATCAATATATAAATGTTTGTAGTGACTAAACCATCACAAATACGTACCTGATCAAGAGTCTTATTGGACACGTCTATCCCGTTGACCTCGAGGACTTCATCGTTCACGCCCAACAATCCCGTGGACTCCGCCAGACCGCCGGGGACTAGCCGCGAGATAAAGATCCCGGGAGACCTCTCCACACCATTGGGCGTCACTCGTACTGATGTACCGTCTCTGGAGGGGAAAGATAAAGATAACAGATGATACCAAACCAATTCACATTTTATGAAATGCATACATATTGTTGGTCTATCCTGGGATTTGAACCTAGGACCTTATAACCAGCAGTCGTATATTCTAACCAAGAACTCATTTGCTTACCCTTAAGGATTTTTTAACCTGGTTTTTTAACAAAAACCCTTTCAATAAGGCTTAGAAAATCATTTCCTTCATAGGGGTAACCCTTTTTATTATGGGTACCGCAATAACCCATAAGTTACACCATCTACAATGCGTTATACCCAATAAAAATATGATATTAGATGAAAAATTATTTACAAAAATTTACATATTAGAACGAAATAAAGTGAACATCAGAAGGCTAACACAGAAGTGTAGATATTTTAGACAAATATGTACATAGCTAATATCATTCCCGATACTAATTTTGCTAAAGTAAATAGTACTCAAAGAAAGATTTCTATTTCTCTACTTTATGGATTACTAGCGGCTTATTCTTGCTTCGCTCAGGTTCATCTCTAGACAAACAAAAACAAATCTATCCCACGGGAGCCATACATTATTTCGGGATAAAAAGTAGCCTATTTGTTATTCTGATGTATGTACTATATTATTGTAAGGTTTAATTGAAATCCAATCAGTAGTTGTTGTGTACTAATAAGCTGTATACGTTACTATAGTTTTTTAACTATCCCACTGGAACTCTTTAATTTTTCGGGATGATAAGTATTTAAAATGTTGACCGGGAATATAAGGTACCATGCAAAACTTCATTTGAATCGGTCCAAAGGTTTCGGAGATTAGCCCGTACAAACAGACAGAGAAACAAAAAAATTGGGAAAAAAAACTGGATTTATTCTATTTCTCTTCTCACATCCCGCTGACTCGGTTTTTAGCATTCTTTTCTATGTACAGACCTCTACAATTTCATTATTATGTGTAGATAGATATTTCATTAGCATTTCTTAAAAAGTTTTGGGTTAACCTCTTTGATTGACTTACAAACGACGAGGTAATTCTGTCGATTGGTTAATTTTATGATAGGGTTATCATTAACATATTCCATTTGCTAAAAGATGGATTACACTTAACAAAAGTAATAAGTTTTTGTAAAATCACTTTAAATGGGTGACCATTAGACCATATTGGTGACCATATTAGGCCTAATTCTAAACCCAGGTTTGACGGTCCTTGATTCTAACCACTAGATAAATGGTATCAATTAGTAATAGAATAATAATGAAATGCGTAACGCACATGACATTTTATTAAAACAAAGTGTAATATATAATATTATGTACATACCTTATAAAGAAACCTAAAGGTCGGTCTGAGCCATGCTTGAGTAGCTTCACCCTTCTGCACGTTTCCGGCACAATATCTACATCTATGATAGCCGATACCTAGAAATAAATAATTAAATATGTTTAATAACATAGATTTAATTGATTTTTTTAATATGTTGGGACATTAACACACAACACCATCTAGTTCCATGATAAGCTACGAGGCTTGTGTTATGGATACCAGATAGTTGATGCACTATACACATACATATAATAACTTTAAATACATATATATTATAAATATAAACACCCATGACTGGAGTACAAACATTCGTGCTCATCACACAAATGTCCCCAGCGGGACTCGAACACGCGACCGCTGGCACAGCAAATAGGGTCACTACACACTGAGCCAAACGTGTCGTCAGAAAAAGTAAGAAAAGAAAGTAGTCAATGTACTTTTTAAAAGATATTCATGTATCTCACCATTCTAAAATCGTGAGGATTTGAGATAGCGAGTCCCTTATTCTTCGCTGGTGTACCGCTGAGTATTGACGAGATTATGTTCCTAGGCCGCATCGTTCCATATCCGTTGAGTTCTTCGAGACTGTCACCTGTGAAGAGTAAATAAATAAACATTAATAACAAACTTTCTTTTACCAAACTAAAATATGAATCATTATTGAATTCATAGTAATATGATAGTTTTATACTACTAAGAATGAGAAAGTTTCTTAAGAGTTTTAACGCCTTCACGCTAAAATTGCTAAGCGGGTTTGGATGAAATACGCATATCCACCTGTATACGTACATGCGGTTATGTGGGACTTCACTGGTTAGAAAAGCAAGTACTACCCACTAAAACTTAATAGAACCTCCTGTATAGTTTTCTTGCGGTCAATATCACCTAGGTATATATTTGATCATATTTGCGTAGCGAAAATCAAACCGACGAACGTATACAAAAACAAGCATGCTAATTAATCATGGCGAACATTAAGACAAAACGAGATGATAAATAGAATTTCTATATACAAATCAGGTGCTGCAATAACTTATACATCAATGACCTTGCTCCGTCCATAATGAGAAATGTCCTGATTATAAAATCAACAAGTCCACCTTACTCACGCACTGAAATAAAACTTTCAAATGATAAACAAGGATTTGTTTCAAAATAAGGGTCTGTGTACACCGCGTGTTATAAACGCGCGGATAACGGCGTATCATGAACGTATTTCGCCTGCACGTACCTTTTCTTCTTAACATAAAAAACGCAGATTGAGCTCGTACCGATACAAACACGTATCGAATTTTTTTTACATTCAACATTCACGTTAGAAAAAACGTTGTGTGCATAGGTCGTAAAACTTTAAAAAATTGAAAATTACTAGCGATCATTTCAATGTAAACGCCTAATACACACGCTTCGAAAACGCGCCAACAGCGCGTTAAAAGGTCGTCATGTGCTAAATCCCTAATAGCATTGTGCCATATACCAAAAACTATATTATAGGGCAGTTAAAGTATCATTTAGAAATATACATACATCGTATAGATAAATGCACTATCAGTTACTTTAATTTGACTAAACAATATTTATCGACACATTTAACCATTTTTTTCCCTAAAAAACCTTATTCGTACTATTACGAACATCTTAAGAAAAGAATTAGTCAAATCGGTGTGTTATTTAAAAAAGCTCAAGCGATGCGCTCACCAACAACCTAATTTTATTTTTATTTAAATAGAAGATGTATGTAATGTGCTTAGGTACTATTTAATTTTATTTTACACTAGCGACTGGGGATACAAACTTTTTTCTTTTGATCCCCATTTTCACCCCCTTAAGAGATGATTTCCGGAATAAAAAATCCTATGTCCTTTCCAGGGTGTCAAACTATCTTCTTACCAAATTTCATCTAAATCAGTCCAGTAGTTTTTGAGTTTATTCGTTACAAACATACAAAAATACAAATCTTTCTTCTCTTCATAATAGTAGTGTAGATTTAAATTGTAGACTAATATTTAAAAAAAATTATATAGTGGTGATCGGTTAAAAAGGTATAAGCACATGTTACTCCCACAATAAAAACTAATCTAACATCACGTTTAGGCTATAGAGTATTCTAAAAAATAGACATACATACATACAGTTGTAAAACACCCTCATTTTATGGCAGTCGGTTAAAAATGTAGAACTGGCAACGAAAAACTACGCATATTTGTAACAAAGACTCAAGTGTCAATACAAGTTTCCAAATAGAGTTACGTTCATTGTAACTTTGATTAGTCACTTCCAAGTATTTCCTTTCGAAGCGACCGTAGAGTTTGATGACCGAATACCGTAGAGGAAAATTTGTTTAGATTTTTTAAATTATTATCCATTGCATTTTCTTTTCCGGTTCACCGTAACTGCAACTTTGGGGAAAGTTGCATGCCTGAGAACACCTAGGTAGTTTTCAAAAGACTTGCTCAGTCCGCCCCGCATTTGGCTATCATGGAGGATTATGACCTGATCCCACTCGTATTGAAGGGAGGCTCGTTCCCAGCAGTGAGACACTAAAACGGCTGAAATGTACGTAGCATTGCATTTTCGGTTAGAGCTATTTTCAGATAGGTAGGTTAGAGCACAGCAGCATGAAAATTAAATTACTTTTTACTGTATCTAGATAGCGAGATTAATTTAGTTTAAATGGTTATATCGGTTGTATGGATCTTTTAGAAGTTTCTTATAACTATAAGATAAATGGCTGTCCTGTACAAATATCAATCTTTGTCATATTTGACTAATAGAAAAAATATATTAAGACGATTATAGGCTGAAAATTAGGGATTATGTTTGCCAAAAAATATAAAGAAAAGAAAAATTTGGACGGAAAATTAAAGGAAATCTTGAATCTCGACAATGCCATCGACCAGTTTCAACTATAGCTAAGAACCATCCAGGACCAGATCAGTCAAACCGTTTGCAAACGACGAACGAACACATGCAAACCAGAATTATCTATATATAAAGATCATCTATATATATATATATATATATATATATATATATATATATATATATATATATATATATATATATAATAAAATTGTAACTAAGACGAATCTGTACATTAAATATTTTTTGGAAAATCTTATTGAAATAAACATTATTATCGATACAGAGGCCGAATCTATAGTTTTTAGAATTTTTATCTGTGTGTCTGTCTGTCTGTTACCGCATCACAAAAAAACCACTGGAGCGATTTTGATGAAATTTGGTATGGTGATAGCTGGTTATTAGTGTCAACATATAGGATACTTTTTAATAATAAAAAATACAAAAACTGCAATGTAAGACTATACTAACATGTAAAACCTAAGAATTTGGTTTTTGGTCCTCTAAATCGGGCGGAGCCGCGGGCAATTTAAATAAACATGAGCTTCACCTAATAGAACACTATATAAGTTCCCATAATTATAATCAGATAACTCTCATCTCACTTAATCAACGTACTCACGATATAATCTATTGTCAAACACAGATTAAGCAGTAAACCCACATAATGCTCACATTAACCGCAGATATCTCGCGTTACGTCACGTGCTTTACGCGTTATTTAGCTGTATGTGAACTTGTTAGGCGATTACCAACAAGTGGCAGTCATAACACAGTAGTACATATTTCCTTTTGTTTTCTTAAGCATTTAAAACACGATTCGAAACGAGATCTTATAAACAAACGCAAATGTGATTCTAGAACATATTTTAAAGCACCAAAACCCACGATCACGTGTGTGTAAAGTAATATAAAAAATGTAATATTTATACATAGATAGCCATACTAACGTTTTTTTATAAGGGGGCACTATAAAATATTTTATCTTTCTATGAATATTCATCTTATAGTTAAAGTTTATTTATCAACTGCAATGGTGTCTAGAACATAATATTTTAAAGCACCAAAACTCACGATCACGTGTGTGTAAAGTTTCTTTTTTTTTAAATATGTCAGGACATTAACACACAATACCATCTAGTTTCATGGTAAGCTACGAGGCTTGTGTTATGGATACCAGATAGTTAATACATTATATAAGGTATTAACTATCTGGTAATATACATATTATAAATATAAACACCTATGAATGGAGTACAAACATTCGTGCTCATCACACAAGTGAATGCCCCCAGCGGGACTCGAACCCGCGACCGCTGGCGCAGCAAGTAGGGTCACTACAAACTGAGCCAAACGTGTCGTCAACATATAATGTAATATAAAATCTAATATTTAAACATAACTATTATGTTTTAAAAAAAGGGCTTAAAGGCACTATAAAATATTTTACCTATTATCTAGGTGTCCTTACTTGGGCACCACATTTAGATACCTACAACGAAAATTTTTGCATGTGAATATTTTACCTATAACTTATGATCATTTAGTTCTTGTAGTCAAATTATAATTCTATTAATATTATAAATGCGAAAGTTTGTCAGGATGCATGGATGTATAGATGTATGGATGTTTGTTACTCTTTCACGCGAAAACTACTGAATGGATTTTAATGAAACTTTACAATAAAAAGCTCATACATCTGAATAATATATAGGCTACTTTTTATCCCGGAAAAATGTACGATTCCCGAGGGTTAGATTTGTTTTTCTAGGGGCGAACCCGCGTAAAGCGAAGGTGAGCCGCTAGTTAACATGTATATAAGGAAAGTTCACTGCGCAGATGAAATTAGAGAGAATTTATGACTAAATATTATAAATCTCATAAAAATCATTCAGTCATTAGTGTTATAAATAAATGTTTTGATTACAGAAATGACCACTGATACTTATTGCAACGTGCTTCAAGGCAAGTAACGCTTCGTTACCCATTGAAAGAGGAAGTTCTATGTCTAAAACATTGAACTATTATAGTCCATATAATGTTTTACATTATGTACGTAATAATAATATGATGTGGTACAATAGCAGCATGTAAATGGAACTGATTACTGGGCTTGTTTCCCCGGGTTTATTTCCCGTATGAGGTAATATTTTATCATGTCAAAAGTTATTAATTACAATCTATTTAGCTGTTAAGTTAAATTAAACGTACTTCACAAAACAGAGTTTGTTAATGTCATATAGAAAAAAGAAAACACGATAGAAAGTCGGTAAAAAAGTAAGTATGCCAAGTCTAATTATACCATTAAATATTTCCATTTGAATAATCTACACTAAATCCTAATATTATAAAGAGGTAAAGTTTGTAAGTTTGTTTGTAGAAAGTAATCTTTGGAACTACTGAACCGATTTAGATGAAATTTACTATGAAGATAGTTTGAGATCCTGGGAATACATATGATAGTTTTTATCCCGGAAATCATTCCTTAAGAAGGAAAAAGGGGGATGAAAGCTTGTATGGGAATCAATCATTTGAGTTATGAAACCGAATCTTACCTTTGTATATATTGGGCTATAATATTATATATATTATCTGTCTATTCCATACTAACCGTTAAAACGTACCTAGGGACGAACCCAAGTAAAGCGACGGTGAGTTGCTAGTTTAAAAATTAGCCTTTAACATTTATACATCAAGAATAATGTTAAGATATAAATTGCTAAGTTCTTTTAATTAGTATAATACTCGTATACTGACAAGCAACTATGGACGAAGAATCAATGTCACGGTCGTATATCTTACGTAGATTAAAACAAAAGCTTCATACTCTTTCGAAGGGGAGTAAGTGGTTTGACCTTTACTGGTTCTTCAATCAAGTTAAAATTATATGAAAAAACTAGTTTTTCAACTCAGCCGGAAAAAATGCATATTATTAAAACTTGAAGTTCTACCCACCACGCCAAAAAAGTACCTATATTATTAAATATTATTTACGCGAACATTTCAAAATTCATAAACTGTACAAATAAAAAATAAGTTTTCTTTTTATATTTAGAATGTTTTCTCTCAATAATATTTGCTTTTAACGTACCTACTTTTAAAACGATGTGCTCTGTTGGGTATACGCTTAATTAACAGTAATTAAGGTGGCTATCCATCGTCATGCTAACTGAAAGCGTTATAATGCTATAATTTCTTATACTATATCAACTTTATACTAGTAACACGTTGGTACTTTATGATTTTTTTAAAGTTTTGTTGAAATGGATAGAAATTGAGGGTATTAAGTGAGTTTAATATGTTGCAGTATGTCTTACGGTGAAGGAAAACATCTTGAGGAAACCAGCATGTCTTAGAGAACCTAGCAAGTTTTCGAAAGACATGTGAAGTCCACCAACCCGCACTTGGCCAGCGTGGTGGACAATGACCTGATCCCCCTCGTATTGAAGGGAGGCCCGTGCCCAGCAGTAGAACATTAAAAAGGGCTGAATACAATATGTTGAAAATATTATTTATAATAACTTGAGCTCAACGAAGGTATATGTATAAGGCTAATATTTATCGAATATTTGTAACCGTCATTTGTAAAAGCATAAAAAAGTAATATTATTTTACCATAATGTATTTGAAAAAAATAGTTTGTAATATTTTTTGCTAAGTAAATAAAGAGGCTTTATTATTATTAATAATAACGGCCAGCACACTAATTACTCTTGATTTTTGAACGAGAATAAAAACTACGATCCCCTAGTAAAAGTTATAAAGGATATCAAATCTCATTGCCACTGCTTAATCTAACACCTAGATAAAGGTATAAGTAACATGTAATTTCCATTTATTATTATATTATCTTTAATATAGCATTGCGTTAGTGGACGAATAGCTTTAACTGGATATACTTTTTCATCTTGCACAGAATAATAATTATAAGAGATAAAAAAATATATTCACTATATTATATGTGCAATACTGAATCATATGAGTAAAGTTAAAAAATAGCAAAATTAAAAAGAACGCTTGTAGCGCAGGTAATAGTTGTTTACAAAGCTAGGGATCGCCGGTTTGATTTCTAGAAAAGAAAACATGATGGTATTCTGAAGAAATAAAATGAAGCGAAAATGCTAGGACCTCAAGTAGGTAACATTGGTTAGGTTTGTACATAAACAGGGCCGGATTCAACCTTACTGCCGCCCCTGGGCATTGTAAAAAATGTCGCCCCATTATCGATTTTTTTTCATAAAGTCGATTAACTTTCGATAAAGTTTAATTTCTTTTAATTATATTTTTTTAAAAATGCGAAAAAAAATGTTTTTTTTTATTCACATTTTTTTGGAAAATACAAAATTATTTTTTTTATTAACCCTCTGAATTTTACCGCCTCTGAAAATTTGCCGCCCTGGGCACTGGCCCCTAGTGTAAATCCAACGCTGTACATAAAATACCACCTAACACTACATAAGTAAGATACAAATAAACTTATGTTATAAGAACTAAGTTTAAAGAAATTGCTAAAATGCAAGAATATGATCGCACCATTATCTTATTCAAACGTCGTTAGGGAATTCGAATCTCGATCAGTGAAACAATATTGCCTTATAAAAATTGTGAATTACTGAATTTTGACATTATTAAACAAAAAACAAAGATAGATTATTAAAAAAAAACAAAAATTACAAAAATAACAGCTATCATAGAAAAAAAAATAGTTTGCTACAAAAGTAAAACAGAACGCGCAGGGCTAAGGTCGTATGCCTAATACAAAGCGACCACTGCGTCAAAGGATCTTTAGAAAAAAAAAAGATAGACGCATTATCTACACAATGATCAACAAGTCAACAATGACATAGGAGTGCCGCATTCTATGCTAATAAACCATCATAACGTCCACCATATCCGATTCGAATACCATACCCATAAATCCTTAACTACTACGTCATTAGATTCATAATCGCTTAAAAACTTTTGTACACCTTACCACATACTTAAATCCTAAATCTTATTTAATTATTCATAAGTGTTATTTTGAATTGTTGTGTAACCCAGTGTACATCACAGTCATTGTATAGCATGAGGGCCTTAAAAATGTAGCCATGTTTGTAAACACGTTCTTATATTAGAAAGTGTTAATGAACAATGGCATATTATAATAAAACTAAAGGCATACAAGCTTCAAGTTGTATAAATTATAAGGAGTGCACAACTTAAATATGGGATATCTTAAGAGTTTTTTAAATATTTTAATCTCATTTAAGCTTCAAGAAAAAATTTCACCCAGAAGGGACGAATAATCAGTGTAGCTTTTGTTGAAATTTGAAAAGGTACTTTCAATAATAATAAAGTGTCTAACAGTCGTTTCAAAAAGCTCTTATAATGTTATTTGTAAGTTGGCGAAACCCAAACTATCGATCATGTGGCAAAAGCCTACGGCAAAACTAATTCCCCAGAATCTTAGAGGCCACTGTTAACTTGCTTGACTATTGGGACGCTCTGAGGTAGAAAGAATAATGCACATAACAAAATAAGCAAAAGCTCATGCACAACGGGCAACTATATTTCTAAGTGTGGAAAAAGCTATACCAAAGAAGATATAGCCTAAGCGAAGTAAGAACAGGATATTAGTAAATATATTATAAGTTTTACCATATATTTGTTTTAAATACGTTCTGTATTTTTAATACTACAATGATTTGGTTAGTTATATGGTAAAGTGACTACAGAAATTATTACAAAGGTGTGACAGAATACACTCTACCACTTCAAGTTTCAAACATTGCCTACTGTATATATAAAAAAAAATTGTCACAATATTTGAGTTGACATATGTATATAAAGAAAAAGTATATTTTATTTGATATTTTAAAATAGATTTTATTTATCTTACCTTTCCTTTGTATAATAACCCTAAGCAAAGGCCTAGCTGTCAATAAGGCCCTAGCGAGATTATCATCATTATTAATTGGCAATAAATCACCATCTCTAGGATCAGTATAGCTTATCAGGAAGGCTACATCGTGTAATCTGTGAAGTTTCTCTATTAAGGCTTTGAAGTCTTCATATTTAAGTTTCTCTGTTCTGCTTAAGGAAAATCTGCGAAATTCTGCATCAAACTGTAAAGAGAATACTTCATTTAGTACTGATTAGATACTATACAATAAAAAAAGGGAATTAGAATGATAAATTCATCTAAAAATCAACATCCGAGTTGTTACTTTTTAATTTTTTAATTTTTATTATCACACTGCCTATAATTAAACTTTGAAATGATGTGTATAATAAATCTTTTTAAAGAGATAAAATATGTTAATTAAAATACACGATTACTTAGTCATTGTGTAATCAAGCCATTCATAATCTGCCCACCTATAATTATATTGTTATGTACACAAACATTTCTACAACTATCTTTTAAATAAGGTCCAAACTTTCTGAAATTCATTTTTTTTTAATTTTTACCACTATTTACATATTTTAATATTATTTTATTTACTATATTATGATAATTTATTTATAATATATAAACTAGCTTACATTATTTAAGTATGTATGTCTCTTAAAAGAAACATGAAAAGTTAATTAAAAAAAATTAAAAATTAGAAAATTTTTAAGAGTTTTACTCAATGTAATGAATGATGAAAGGAAATTTTTGAAATACAGAATACACCTAAACCTACTACAAGTCTACTTCAGTACTCAAAAACAATACCAAGTACATTTAATAAAAATTGTCTTTAGTTATATACACGAAATATTTTTTCAGTTTTCCCATATACGTTTAATGGATAGTTGTTCTACTATTCGTCTTAATTAATCCGTTAGATTCTTAATTAGAGCTCTTCATTACTTCCATATCTAACAAGTTTAACAATACTCTGGATTCGATACAACATTATACTTTAGTAACTGACTTTGAATGATAAACAAATCGAAATTACTAGAAAGATGTAATTTATAATATTTAGAATTGATAAATATAAGCAGTAATGTTCGTTATACGTAAGGGAATTAGAAATTTGCTCCGACATACCTTAGTTTTTACTTCAACATTTTGACTGTCGATTCGAGCTGCGATTTTGTTCTTCGACATCTCGAAAGCATTTAACCCTAAAACACTAGCACGAATGCACACTTGCATAAATATTCAGGCACTTAGTTCGCGAGAAAACATTGTAAAATATTATAAAGTTTCAAATAAATGAGGCTGTTCATTCAACACCATAGAGTATATTGCTACATATATAAATTCAACACTACACTCGCGTCGTAATTTTGGTTGGCTGTGTTTCGTTTACAAAATATTTCAAGCATTAGTAATAATTGACTAATCGTAGCGATATTTTTTCGGAAGACGACAAATTTCATTGGTTGATAAATATAAAAAAGTGGTTTCATAGAGAACAAATAATGCTGTTTCATTTTATGCATTTTTATATTTTATAGTTTTATGGGTGATGCAAGGACAAATAATAAAAAAAAAATTCTAATAAAAACTGAAAACTTATATTAGAAATATTTTTTTATTATATTAGATTTCATTTTGGTACTTTGATGTTGTTTTTTTTTTATTTTTGTATATACAATTTTTGAACTGAAAACGAATGTTTAAATTTTTGACATTGACACATGACAGTACAATAAATGTAAAAAGAAAATCATTTTCCATTTCTATTTTCAACGCTATAGAAAATAGAAATCATAATTTAAAATAATGAAATAGAGAATACTGCTTATTTACATATAAATAAATAAAAATATATATAAAAATGGGTAATTTGAAAAATGTTGATGCAGAACGATTCAATCCATGTCTTAAGGTTTGTGGGCAATACCTAGTATACGAAATTGTTTTTTAAAGTTAAATTATATAACTTTACTTTTTCTATTATTATAGGAACAAGATCAGTCTTATCAATGTTTAAATAAGAATGGATTTGACCAAGAAAAATGTGAAGCCTATTTTGATAATTACAACACCTGTAAGAAGTTTTGGGTTAGTATAACATTTTTTTTAAATTATATAATAAACAATTTCATAATTTTTGCAATAATTGAGTGTGACTTTTAGCTTAAAGAGTGAAAATTTGATATTTCAGGGTAAAGTCACGAAAGACAGAAGGGTGAGAGGTTTAACTCCATATCTTCCTGATGTTGCTGATAGGGAGAAAATCAAAGCTGAATATTTAAAGAAAATGTCGGAAAACACTATTTGAGTTTAACAAATGTAAATAATTAATGATTAATACTTAGTTTTAACTTATATAGATGTAAAGAATATATTTTATAGTTGGAATGACTACATACCCGCTGTACAATTTAACTTATTGGTCAAATGTTTGACACAACAAATCATGAAAACTTTGGTTTATTTTTTTTTAATTTTGATGGCCCACAGCTATTTGATTATCTAACTGTGGTTTCTTCATTACACAATTGTAAATATTTTAATGGGAAAGGACCACCTTCTTTATGCAATTAATGCTTGCATTTCCTATAAAGACTGAAAACCTGAGTTCTAAAAATTAGCCCTCAATTTAAACCTTTTGTTTTAAATATATTTGTAAATACACAACATTTCAGGAATATTTGTTTTATTTCAAAATGTCCATCTTTGCTTATACTGTTTAAAAAATACTTGAATCAACTGTGTACTTGGCAAAATTAATTTAGGCATTCTATACAATAAAATAGTTTATTTTGTATTTTGGTTTAAATATAAATCATATATAAAAATGGGTAAATGGCATTCACATGTTGTATTCGCTATTGAACTTAACAAATTATGTATTACTTTCTAAAGGATAATACATTGCTTATAAAAATGAAATGTATATGTTCTAGTTTTCTTTGAATACCAGAACAGGAAAATATTAAATGGTAAAAATTCTCTTGTAATAAAACAACAATTTGTTTGAAATATTTTATTTTCACGTGATTTACATGTGTTGCGAAGCAATGACAGTGTTTGTCTGTGTAAAAGCGATACTCTAGCTAGCTAACTGCTACACTTCTATCACATTCACGTCAAGGCAGATTGGGAAGAACTTGTTCCAACATCAAACTCGTCAAAAATTAGTACAATATCCGGCTCGAAGGACCAAATTTATTTTAAATTGGAAAAGCAATATATAAGGTTTAGGCGAGATAGCTATCTACAATCGTTATCGCTTATAGAAAACTAAAAATTGAATCGACATATCTAAGCGCTATATCACATAGACTATGTCATTGCAACAATATTTTTTTTAGTTTTCTACTAGTGATATTGATAGTAGAAGTCAACTTGCCTGAAGAAGTAGATTGACACATTTTAATTAATAGTTTATAATCGATCAACGATTTTTCTTAATAGCACAATTTAATATAAAGATTATACCCAGTGTTACTTAATTTCTAAAATACGTTCATATTATATTCACAACTCTCAAGTTACAGATTTAGTTTTTTTTTTCATTAATATGAAGTAAAAACTCCTTGTTACATCTGTATCAAAATCCAATACAAACTTTTCATTAGTAAGTTTAAAAACGTTATTTCAAGCCCATAGTCCTTATTATTAAAAGATAAATTTATATATATTACAATTAAACAGTTATTTTATATTGGACGATGTTACACAGATATTGTATAGAAAATTAAAATTGTACAATGCAATATGATACAACAAGAAAAAAAAAGAATTTCAAAAACAGATAACAAAATTTAAAGCAACACAATAAAATAATATTATATGAAATAATAATCTCTTCATAATACTTTAGTATTGGAACTAAAGGAATACGCATAATTCATTTCAAATTACTGCAAAGTAATAGCTATACACTTACCAACTAATGTAACGTTAGGGTTCAGATATTACTTAAAACTAAAAGATATTTTTATATCAGAATAAATATAAAGACTATCTTTTTGGATTTTTTCGCGAATTTATTTTCATTTTAGATTAGTTGGAAAATAAATTCGTGAAAAAATCCAAAAAGATAGTTTTCTTTAAAATGTCAAATATTCGCGTTAATCTAAGAAGGTATTAAATATAAGAAAAACTGTTAGGATTTTCTACAAAATATTTTTCTGTTATAATATATGAATAAATTAAGAATGTAGCTATAGATATAGAGTATACACCGCATGAAAGTCAAGTTAGTAGGTCAATCTATAATGTTAGGGTTATCAATTTATATACCGATAATATATACTCTGTAATTGTAAAATGCATTTTTATGAATGTCAGTCGACACTTTTCAATAATATTTTATATTTTAAAAAAGTAGCTCAAGTACACTTTTTATTATGATTATAATATATAGTTTAGTTTTACTTCATATTTGGCGGAAAGCAGTACAATATATACATTAATTACGAGAATATCGACGTTTCATTGGCCATCCCGTTAATAACTTTAATCCTCTTTATAAAGTAACGGCTTTAAACTAAACAATAAACAGAAAAATAAATAATATTATATTTCGTCTAAGAATCTAACATAAATATATGTAGATGATATAGAAATCTGGTGCTATTTTCCCTTAGGAATTACAACAGTCAAAATATTAGCTTAAGATGTACGAAGTGTAAGCAATACAGAAGGTACAACATATGGTGTGCTGGAGTGAGAGAAAAACATTATAATAAAACAAGTCTTTGGTTAAAACAATAAAAAATTACCACCAAAAAATTCAATATAACGAATATTATTTACATAATTTTTATGGCGCATTAAAAAAAACAATAACAATATTATTTAATGAAAATATATAAAAATAGAGGGCCCTTAATCTTTTTTAATTTATTTTCATAATAATTAACAGGTAAAGTATGAAAGTTTGTATGTTGGAGTTAAACTCCGTAACCACTGAACAGATACTAAAAATTATATTAAGAATTCTTTCATTTATATATATAGGAAGCAATGTTATATTTGAATGACATAGGCTACATACTACATTATTTATCATGTATATAGGTTAGTGAAACAATATTAGCGACATATGAATATAAAAAAAATGCAACTGAACTGAGAACCTCCTCTTTTTTTGAAGTCGGTTAAAAATATTGGCACGCCTAAAAGCCACATAATAAAGAATTGAATTGAACATATTTAAATGTCGCTAATTAATATTTCACAACCTAAACACTGACAATATTCATTCATATATTTATATAAGTTACTTTAAGATCCGGTGGGTGCAGTTAAGATGTAAAAGAAGCGAAGGATAAATCACTGGAAGTTTAAAATCTAAAATTCTTTAAAAATACCTTAAATAAAACTAACTCTGAGAGTAATTTCAAGCTAAAAATAGTAATTAAATATGGCATCAGTTTAATAAATATAGATAAAATAAAATCATGATTACATAAAGTTATTAAAAAAATAAAAGATTCAATTCAATCTTTTATATAAAAATAAAGATTCAGACTTACCCTATTTCTATTATAAATAAATGACAGCTTGAGGTAATGTTTAAAGTTTTTGCGTATTCCTTTATAAAATTATAAATTAAGAAAACACAAAAATAAACAACTTAAAAACTAAAACATTAATTATTTAAAAAGATATAAAGAAAACCATAGACAATGCGTGTTACGAACAGACAGTAAAAATGTGTACACAAAAAAAGTTCATTAAAAATGAAATATAATGATCGGCAAATATCTTGAAAATTTTTTTACTACATTAAAGTAAAAGAAAAAATCTTTTGTAGGAAGAAAGACGTAAAAACGTTTTTTAATCTATCTATAATAAGTAAATATGTTGGGACATTAACACACAGCACCATCTAGTTCCATGTTAAGCTACGCGGTTTGAGATATGGATACCAGACAGTTGATATCCTACACATAATATATAACTTTAAATACATAGGTACATATTATAAATATAAACACCAATGACTGGAGCACGAACATTCGCGCTCTTCATACATATGAATGCCCCCAGCGGGACTCGAACCCGCGACCGCTGGCATAGCAAGTAGGATCACTACAAACTGAGCCAAATGTGTCGTCAAATATCTATTTCTGTCAAACATATTTGTCGATCATTATTTGAAATATTCCAAAAAAGCTGTTTAGTTCTTACCTTTAAAATGTACACATTTTTTAATATAACATATTATACTGACAACAAATAAAAATAAAAATCTCTGTAAATCAAAATAGACGAGTTATTTTTGTTAATAACAACAATTGCACCATTTTTTCATTTTCCACTTTAGAATATTAATTTTCATTGACAAATCACAATACGATTGGTAGTTCTACTAAATGTTTGTGTGTATGTATTTATGTATGTCAGCACATTTATGTTTATGCCATGAGTTTATTGCTCTATCGACTTTATTTGAAATCTCATTCCTTAACTATATTATGAACTAACTTTTTACCCTGATACAACTCGTGTATTATACGTACGTACCTACGGCTCGGAACCGGTTTAAAAAGTGATTAATTTCGGTAATGTAAATGAAAACGAATGGTTTAGTAAGCCGAAATAATCCCGGTTAATGGTAATTCTTAGAGAAAGATTAAACTTATGTTTTGGTCTCGAAATAAACCAGTTAATTCCAGAAATTCATCATTACTTAGATCCGTAAAATAGATACGCACAAAAACTTGTTCTAACCCGTTAATTTTCGGTCATGGAACCTAAATTTGTCAAGAACCGCTATCTGAGTTTTAGCTGGTTAAAGAACATAATTGAAACCTTAAACCCAAAAACCTAAACCGGGGTCAATGACCAAAACCGGTTTAAAAATTGAACAGGTGTCCGAGCCTCGACTATCTCTCCGCTCCCAGCGATCATAGTGTGTTTTAGATTGCCTATGACATCAATAAATAAAAAAAAATACTAAAATTAATCCAAATCTGAATGGAAGTTTCAGAGATAAACGCGTTCCAACAAATCAAAAAGCGAAAACAACCAAAGAGGCAGTCCATAATATAAAAAAAAATGTCAAACTCAAAAAAATTGCTTAAATTTAGACAAAGAAAATATATACTTATTACTTATAAATATATACAAATAAAGTCGACATACAATAAATAAATGAAGGCATAATAATTAACACGCACTGTCGTCTAAGAGTCAATCTGTACGTTGCTTTATATGGAAACAGCTTATTCTGAAATGATCGCACATTTGACGCACCTGGAAAATAAACAAAGTATTTTTTTATCTAAACATATAATTTAAAGTATTTATATATTTTTATTTATATGTTGAGACATTAACACACAGCGCCACCTAGTTCCATGGTAAGCTACAAGACCTGTGTGTTATGAATATCAGATAGTTGATACACTGCACATACATAACTTTAAATACATACATATTATAAATATAAACCACCATGACTGGAATACAAGCATTCGTGTTCATCACATAAATGAATGCCCCCAGCGGGACTCGTCACTCGAACCCGCAACCCACAGCAAGTAGGGTCACCACAAACAGAGCCAAAATGAATGAATGGAATGAAAATGAATCTCACCACACAAGTGCCGTAGTGCAGGTGCGCGCAGACGCTGGCCGCCGCGGCCGCGTAGAACAGCGGCAGCTCGAGCGCGGGCAGCGCGGCGGCGGCGGCGGCGGCCGCGCACAGCGGCGCCAGCTGCCAGTTCAGCGCTTCGCAGCGCTGGTTGCTCATCTGGCTCACTATTAGACGGCACTAGAAGGCGGTGAATTAGAGATTTTAGTACAGCGCTGGTTTCATATCTGGTTGACTATTAGACGGCTTGTTGACTATTAGATGAATAGGATTTATCATTTGTGTTATATAGGATGAACTTCCATACAGTCTTTCTCAAAATTTAATTAAGATTCTATTTAACGTTTTTATTGGAAGTATTTAGTTTACACTTTTTTGTTAGAAACTATCTTTCGTTGGTACTCGCTTTGGTTACATAGGAAACTCTTATGCGAAGTTACACACACGCACACACAAACACACAGAGACGCACACACACACGCACACCTACATACACTTTGTTTACTTAAAAATGAAATCCTCAACAGCAAAACAAAAATGTCATCCTTCACAATAACAATACTTCAGATAATCCTAAACAAAACCCAATACCAATATCACTCATCATCAATACTCACCGCTACATTACTGAACAGAGTGCCAACCAGGAGGAATAGGACTCGAGGGTCACAGTCCGGAAGCCTCTCCGAGTTATGTACCCAGATACTGCACACTATGAATATAGACAGGAGGGACCAGAGAGGTCTTAGTGCTTCTGTGAATGATCTCATCTTGCCTGTACGGAGTTTGTATGATCTGTGAATGAAAGATTTTTAATTAGGGCTTGATGAAATGATATCAAAGGCATAAGGTTTTAGAAAATAATTTTTTAATATTTATTAGAGAATAATTAATTGACAATATGACAAGTGACACTAATATAAAATAGTTCCTATATTAAAGCGTGAAGGCGTGCATACTGTCATCAGGGCTTTTTATTAATACTTTCTTAGATTTACATATTGCGAATATTTGACATTTTAAATAAAATTATCTTTTCGGATTTATTTTGATTTAACACGTACATAGTACATAATACAAGACCTTGAAGACGTCTAAAACCTTAGTCTCTCCCGTGACCATGATTGCTGTAAAGCATTTGAAACGTCGGGAACCAAAAATCTAAAAAAATAGTTCTTAATACCAGGGCTCGAAAAGCAGTTCAATTTTTAAACCAGTTTTAGTCACTGACCGAAAGGCTTTACAGTTTAAAGATTTCGGTTATATTCTTTAACCGGTTGAAACCCAAAAAACGGTTTTTGACGAATTTAGTTTCCATGTTCGAAAATTAATCGATTAAAATGATTTTTTTGTGCCTTTATATTTGCTTATGGTGAATTGCTTATTAGAAAGATAGATGTATCTTTCAAGAATTTTTAATCAATCTTTCTTTAAGAATAACCGTTAACCATTATTATTTCAGGTTACTAAACAGTTTTTATTAACCGGTTAATGAACGAACGATAAATTAACCATTACATTACCGAAATCAACCGCTTTTTTTAAACCGGTTCCGAACCAATAAAATATAAAATTACTAACAATAAATGTATATTTTTATAATTTAGAATTATTATATATATATATATATATATATATATATATATATATATATATATATATATATGTATAATTTATTATTAATCTATACATATAATAAAATTGTAACTAAGTCGAATCTGTACATTAAATATTTTTTGGAAAATCTAATTGAAATAGACATTACTATCGATACAGCGTCCAAATGTATAGTTTTTAGATTTTTTGTCTGTCTGTCTGTCTGTCACCGCAGATACTCTTTACCGCGGGAAAATATCTCATTTCTGAGAAAAAATACAAAAACTGCATTGTAAGAGTATACTAATATGTAAAACCTAAGAATTTGGTTAAAATGCGCGAGCAACGCTAGTATATAATAAATTTGACTCTCACTTCCGCGACAAATTTTTCCAATATATTGACTTACCCCTCAGTCACGCCTAAAGAAGTTTTACTTCAATATATTAATTTTAGTACAAGCAACTACTTACTGATATATATTATATATAGCAACGGGAAGATTCGTAAAGACACCTGTGCCATATATGAGCCATTCAAAAGCATTGGCCAAAGTATAACTTCCAAACAAATACTTCTTATAAAAACCGGTCCCATTCACACCCGTCCACAGGAAAATGAATGTCGACGTCTGAAAAAGAAATTAACGTTTAACTTACAAAAAAAAACTATTTAACCGAGGAAAAAACCTAGGAGTTTCTCAAGTGGACCCATATATGTTTTATTATGTATTGGTCATACACATATGTAAGGGTACATCAAATGAAAGGGCTTGATGAGCTAAGTACAAAAAGCAAAGTGACGACATCGTAAATCCAATATGACGGACTCCCAAAGATGGCGGATTTTTTTTTATGCATCCCAAATTGATACCAAATTTAGGGTTTGCTGAGAAGAATACAAATAATTAAAAAAATATATAAATACTTTTACACTGTAATAACTCAGCAGATTGAGTGATATTCAAAATGGACATCTTATATTATGAATTAGCAATGAAACTATTTTTTTCAATGTATTATGTGAAGGATAGTGATAAATAAAAATTACATTTCTAAGTCCTTACTTACCCACATACCAAAGTCATATCCCCACGGCAGGAACAACACTCCAGTGTTATATTTTTCCCAATGGCTCAGATAAAAGTTCAACAAGATGTTCCACATCACATAGTACATTCTAAAAAAATACCAACACATTTAAAAATAGAACATAAATTAAAAAAACCAATGAATACATTAAGCAAAAAAACTTTAAAAAACCCTAAAAATTAAAAAATAACTGATTGGTAGTTTTCATTTACTATAGATACCGAATTAAATATATTCGATGTCGGTATGCTTTGATTTGTATCGGCTGGCATCCATTTTGAAGAAGTCTGTTTAAATTTTTTTTAAGTATTTGTGTAATTTTCAATATTTTTCCATTACATGAATTATTTTCTTAATTATATTGTTTAATTAAAATGAACTAAACAGGGAAAGATTTATTTAACGTAATTATATTACTTTAACAAAGAAAAATGTAAAAACTTTAGAAAGTATCTTTTTACAGAACTATTACAAATAAATCACACAACATTACTTTTAAATATATAAGTTGCATATATTTTTGTGATCGCCTCTTAAAAACATTTATTTTGATGCCCAACTCGATTGATTTGAAAGAAATTTTGGCGCCTGAAATCCGCCATTTTAATTTTCACCTAGTTTTATATAGCCTTTAACACTCGCGTTATCAAGACAAATCTAAAGACGTATGAATCATCGAAATCGGTCTTCGCGTTTGGCCTCTAGAACGCCACATAAGAACTAACATACATAGACGACATAAACACATTACCCTCCTTTGCATCGCGCAGTCGGGTAATGATACAATGACATAAAGCTATCTTTTTTTTTCTTTGATGGCTTAGAGTTGCTTTATATAATATGTGTCTAATACAACGTGGTAACGTGCTCGCTTGGGAAACCGAGTGAAGCGGGTTCAAATCCCGGGTCTCGCACCTCTGACATTTTTACGTACGAATCATTTCTAACATGATTACCACTTGGCTTACGGTGAAGGAAAACATCATGAGGAAACTCTTGAGAGAACTTAGCAAGTTTTCGAAAGACATGTGAAGTCCGCCAACCCGCACAGTCAGCCCAGTGTGACGTTAAAAAGGGCTGAATACATACCTAATAGGAGAAATGGAGAAGTCCAATCGTCCAAATATTGAATACAAACAGGCCGGTATAAAGAATACCGAGTAAGAATCCAATCCATGGTCAAATAGTTCACCTAAAGGGCCAGAAGTCTGCGTCCTGCGAGCTTGCTTGCCATCTATACCATCTAAAACAGAAATAAAAAAAATATGTAAAAAAAAATTATGAATAATTTAATTAAAAAGCAGTAATTTTATGAATTTTCAGGTATACATATATGATTTAGTATCTACTAGCAACTTGGTACAAATTTTATGGGTTTTAATTTTTTTGCATGGAATCCTAAACCTTTTTCTAAAATAAAAGTAGCCTAAGTTACTGCTTATAACATCAGCTATCTGCTAGTGAAAGTATTTCGAAGATTAGCCGGAACACACAGACAGGCAGACAGAAATAAAGTATATAAGTACCATATATATACCTTCATATGCAAATACTAAAAAGGTGTTATAATTTTAACATTACAAACAGACACTCCAATTTTATTTATTTGTATAGATTGACCTAAATAAGTTCAAAAGTTTATCTTGTAATTTAAAGTTCTATCCAAAGTAAGATAAATGTGCTGATGTATTCTAAATATGATATGGAGTGCCCTTGTACCCAATTTTAACTTCTTATTTTTTTTGTATTTTGAGAGATTGTGAGTCGAGAATCACAATTTGTTTTTATTAATAAATAGATTGTATATATTTTCCAAAAAATGTGTTATTCAAAGCTAAAAAGCTAAGTGATTTCACTAGCCAATTAATTTATTTTAAATGATATAACACAGGTAAAATGATACTTTATCCTGCTTTAATCTCAGTTATACTATAGCACTAACTATAACTGAGATTTGAGAACCTTTCAAAGACACTAGATTTCAAAGATTAGAAATATTTTAAAATAGTGAGAACATACCATCTTGTTAAGTAGTCGTGATTTTTGTTGCTCACAAAAATTGAAAAATTAATCAAAAGTATGGCTTATACAGTGCAATGGAATAATGAAAAAAAAGTGTAATTTTAATATTAATCCATACCTAAAGTATACGCTAAAAATAGGAAGACAGCTAGGATGTACCACAATGATTGAGGGATAGCTTCTGTGTGTCCGTATAGAGGTTCGGTTGATGTTTCATTGGACACCCTCGAGCTTGCAGCTATATAGTCATAATCATAATATGATAATAACAAGAAATCTAATACTGTTAGCAGGAATCCTACAAAAGTCAGCACATTTGGGGCCACCCAACGAGGTACCCACTGAAACAAAATATTTAATACTAAAGAATGTAACAAAATGCAGTTTTTATTAAAACACTAGTGACTTAGGTACAATTTAAGTTTTTTTCTTTCTTAGGGGTATAAAATTTCAAGGTTGGCAACACTGCACAAGCCTTCCAAAATCCAAATACCTATGCACCCACCAACTAAAACATTAAACAAACATATATTGTTTATCCTGATAACATAAACAAAATACTTATTTTATGAGTGTATAATAATACTAATTATATATAATTGGTGTTCTTTACATTAAATTGTAGACTTATTCTACCGCTCTTAGAATTGTTCTTCTCTGTTTAATAATTGTGTATCACTTAAAACGGCTGCACAAACATCAATATGCCTCTTGTAATTGTATAGGCTACTGGGTATATAATTTCAATTTACAGAGTAATAATGTTGCAAATGGCATTTAAATATGCATGCTTTTATAAAATGTTATATACTCTCTAGGAAGGAATAGAAGACTTAGTACTTATATGACTAAGATTAACAAACAGAAAAAAAATGCATGTAAGTTTCTACAACTCTGAACAAACAACATAATTATGTAATCCCCTGTTTATTATATATTTTTGGATTACAGTTTCAAACATTATGTACTCAATATTAGAAGAAAAATATACCTAGAGGCATGCACCAACTGGTCAGTTAGTCGACTACTTGGGAAAACTCATAGTCAGCCCATCTAAAATAGTTTTACGATAATACTATAAAATGTAAATACTTAATGGTAACAAAGTAGCTACTATGTACAACATTTAAATAATATAATATGTAATGTTATTGCAAAAAAAAAATTTTTAAAATTAATTTCCAAAAATGCAACTTTTAACAGCTTTAGAAATAAATTGTTATGTAACATGTGTAACATGATTTTTTCAGTATTCAATTGTTATAAAAAAACTTATTAACATTAAGTACTCATTCAGTACAAGTTAATTATTTTCACACATCATAAATTATGTTAAATTGTTTTTTTAATGTACTTTTATTAAAATTATTTATAATAATCATTACTAAGATATTTCTGTGTACATTTTTTTAAACATTGTTTATAAATTAATGTATTACTAATTCAAATTGAAATAAATATTTAAATGAGATTGTACTGAAATAATAGTTAACTACAAATAAATTTAAGGAGTGCATGAGTTACAGGAGTTTTTATTCCTAAAGTAAATTTGGGCTCTATATAGAGTTTATAGCGAATTACAACTATAGTTTTTAAAAATATATCTATAAATAAGTAGAAGAAATGTATGCACAGTAAGATTTATTTTGCTTAAACTGATTATCTTACCTCCACTACTTTGTTCCAGAATGGGTGCATAACATACACGCTTATGGGGCTTGTATCCTTCGACATATACTAAAAAAAGACAATAATTCCATAAGACCATGGATTATATTATTTGGTTAAATGATTACTTAAGTATTTAATAAAACTTGTACCAAGAATTTTTATTTATTTAAAAATTGTAATTATAATTTTTCCACACATTTATAATTTACAAATAATGCAACGAAATATAATTTATATAAATTAGGTATTGCTTGTACGACTGCATCAATATTAGATGCAGAAGAATGTTGCGTAAAAGATCGATTTTTATAGGTTATGTGCAATAGTGAAATTTACGTTTTATGTTAAAACAATTATAGTAAACAAGTAATAATATAAAACTATTTTTACGAAAATTACCTTATAATTGTCGAAGCCTTCCAGATGCTCCCGACTGAGGTATTTGTAATTAAACATCTTTAAGATTTAACAACACAGGCAGGATTAAAAATAAATATGCACTTCTAAATACTTTTCACAATATATGTACACATTCTGTTATACATTGTTACACTATTCACAATATTAATAATAAAAAACAGTGAGGCATTTATAAAACTAAAAGTTAAATAACTACTGTGATGTGATTGACGAGTGTTATGCACTGACCAGTGACCGTAATATTCTAAGGCCAATTACACAATTGGATTCCGCCAGCCCATGTCAATACTCTGTCTGTTCTGTCACATAATTGTTTTTTAATCTATATTCCTAATAAATATACAATAATGACCCCATAATTATAGTAAAATAATAATGGAAAAATATAAACCGAGTTCTTTTTAATGTTATTAACTTGTTTACAAAAGACTTTAGTAATTATTCTCTGTTTTGTTTGAATTTATATTTAATTTTGACAATTCTTGGTCCACAGTGGCGTAGGTATAGATACTAACGTCATCCATGTTATCAACTAAGTACGTGATACAGCTGATAAAAATATTTTATTTAATATAGGTACCTATATTATGATATTTATCAGGATTAGGTTTACTTTTATATTACATACTTGATACTTTACTCCTATATATAGAGATAGATATAAAGACATTATTATCTTGGGCATACTTGGCGCGCATATAATATTCTCATAACCGAAAAAATCTATATCTCATAATATTTTTTATGTATGCAGGTTATCCTCCATCTAAAAGCTAAATTTTACCCAAATTCGTCGAACCGTTTCATCGTGAGCTGTAAAGAATTAACACACGCTCGCGGGCACTAATCTATACATATAATAAAACTGTAGAGGTCGAATGTCTGTAAATAGAAAAAAAAATGCTAAGAACCGAGTCAAGGGGATGTAAGAAGACAAATAGAACGAATCATTTTTTGTTTTTCTGTCAGTGTCTGTTTGTACGGGCTAATCTCCGAACAATTCATCTATCTCCGATTTAAACAAAATTTTGCATGGTGGTACCATATATCTCGGTCAACATTTTAGATGGGTACTTTTCATCTCGAAAAATTAAAGAGTTCCTGTGGGATAGTTAAAAAACTATAGTAACTTATACAGCTTAGGACACAAAAGCTACTGATTGGATTTTATAATAACTTAATGTAGTTCCCTTATAAGATTATTAGAAAATATTCAGCGTTATTTGATTATATAAGTATATATAAACATAAAATATATTTCCTTAACTAAAACAGGATTTTTAAAAACGATGACAGCTCAGTTCCTGGCAATTTTCAGAATTTCGGACTCAAAGTTACCAGTCTTATTTTTACAGCCTTCGATCAACAATACGACTAGATATCGGGTCGGTCGGCGTAAGAAATCCGTCTCGGTAAATATAACCTCACTTGCAAAGTGAGCGTATATTTAGATTAGTTCTATTGAAACACTGCCTACGTAAACACGTTCACAATGCCGCAATGTGTATTTAAAAGTTGCAAAAATAATGCACGAAAAAGAAATTTTTCGGCCGGAGTGTCTTATTTTCGGTAAGTTCATGTAGAGTAAGTCAATATTTTAAGATTTAACCTACGAAGTAATATAAAAATGTTGAACAATTTTAAATCCGCTAAGAACGTATACGTGTACAAATACACGCGCTAGTTGAAGAACAGTAAATGCATGGAGTAGAATTGTATTGTAATTTTTTAAAATAACTATTAAATTGGTTATGTATATTTGATGATGATGATGTATCTGGTTCTTAAACTTTCATTGGATATTCACTTTTTAGCTTTCCTAGTAATCCGCATACTTGTGCGGAATGGATCTCGATTGTCGCCAAAGAAAGAAAAGAAGAATTTTATAAGCCGGCTAAAACTTCAGTTATTTGTTCGGATCACTTTGATAAATCGGATATTTTCGGAAATACTAACCGACGTCGAGTGCTTAAAACAGCAGTTCCCAAATTACAGGTACATTCATGTGAGAAGATAAATTATTGTTTTATTGAAATGTAGGTATATTTTCAAAAAAATATTTTAAATTACGTAAAATCATTCAATTTAAAAAATTAAATAATATATAGGCTTCTGCCGATGTATTTGATGTTTGCATGCAAACTGAAAGATTCGAAACTTTATTCGCGTAAGTGGAGGTAAATCTTTACAAAAAAAGTATGATAGCGATTTTATATGTACAATAGTTTTAAAATTATGTATTGACAAGAACGTGTTTTCTGGAAGAGATAAAAAAAATATTGACGTAAGGTTACATTATATATGTAAAAAAGAAACGGGAGATATCAAAAACCAATCAAAACAACAATTTTATAACAAACTAAATTTATTTAAAGGCAATTAATTAAGGTACGCAGAAAGTAACAATCTAATACCGTTAATATACCGAAAAATTAAAATAATGGTAAATAAACTTATACTATTACATATTTTTATAATATATTTATTTTAACGCGACTCCATACTTCCTGCAGCGAAATTCAAAGAAGCGAATAGAAACAAAACGATTTAGCTCACAAAGCAACAACGGGAAAAAGTGCTTTATTTTTTTTATATAAGGTTTATTTTACAACACATATTATAAAACTTACGTCTTTTTATTTCTAAGTGACAGTCTGTTGTAACGTATTTAATTTCTATTTTTCGGTGACAAATGATCGTAAGTATATGATGATAATTTGAAGATTTGTGACTTTATTACAAGGTGATATGGTGTTGATTAGATTGAAAATAAAACTATTATAAGAGTGTCTTGGTTCGTTAGTATACAAATGTAGCTGTATAAGTGCATATTCGCGGACAGAATTTAGCTTTGATTTTGTATGGGACACGTTATCTAGTACCTAGCATTGTTGGTAGAAGTTTATAATGAATGAAGTACTCTTTATTGTACACCCAAAAAGAGAAAAAAAACATACAATATGATATAGAAGAAGGTACAAGAGTCTGCCTTATCGCTAAAAGAGCGATTTCTTCCAGACAACCTTTAGGTGTAGGAAATAGTACTAAGATGGAAGGGGCGCGAATAACAAATAAAAAGACAGCAAGTCGAAAGATTATACTCGTATATTTATACGTATCATACAAATATATAATATATACAAAATAAATACAAGTAAAATATAATTAAACAATATCTAACTACTCTATGGAGGTTTATAGCATTAGTAATTTTACAGAGTTATTCTAAATTGCTTTAAACTACAATAAGGCGTAAATACGTATTTATTATTTGGATTTATAACAACATTGTATACACAAGAATTAAAAAAAACTATAAATGGAAAAAGTCGAACCAACAGACTTTCTTACTGAATTACAATGTCGATTCTTTGTACGGTAAAAACATTAAAAAAATGATCTGATTAGGTAAGTATCTATTTTTAATGAAAACCGCCGTTTAGTTATTTTTTACATTTTAGTGCCTGGAAGTGGTTTTTTTTTTAAGTTTTTATTTCTATATTTTTAGTGTAGACGTAGCAGGTAATTTGTAAGACGAAAACGTTTTTAATAACATATTCGATCAAGCAATTTATTTAAGAGAATAATTTATTGTTGATTTTTTAAAAAAACCGCTCGACCGATTTCGATAAAATTTAAATGGGACCACCTGGCAAGTATATCCTTCGAAAAAAATCCAAAACGGGTCAGGCGTCTTCGAGTAAACGGTGACCATTACATACATAAAAAAAAAGATTCTGACGAATTGAGAACCTCCTCCTTTTTGGAAGTCGGTTAAAAAACGTACCTCGCCTTTTTGAGGCATAGGCAATAAATAACATTACCTCCATGAGTCAAGAGTATACGAAATGTAAAAAATAATAAATTAGCAGTAGGTATGTGGTCTAGGTTGTTATATTCGTGCATAATTCAACCAATATATTGCAAAATTCAAATTTATCTTAAAAAAAACAAAAATTGGATCTTTTTATATCTACATCAAAAACGGATAAGAGCTCTCACAATTTTTTTTTAACTAACAAACATTTGTAGATAGGTAGGTACATATTATGAATCTACTCGAGTAAATTAAATTTTAAATTGTAATAAAACTGCATTGTTATCAGTCTATCCTATCAGTTATAGAAAACAATCGACTTTAAACTTTGCGATTTGTAACATCCATCGTTTTGCGATTATAATAAAAATCCCCTTTTTATCATTGACTAATACACCTAAATGTGAAATGACGAAATATTATTTGACATGCAGGTACCTACTTGTTATTTAATTCAAGGTTATAAAATTTTATCTATTGTTTATATCTTTGTTTAAAAAGGAAGTAGCTCCTTATGAAAATTCACCTCATGTTTTCTATTACTCACCTCCCAAGCGGTCTCCTCAAATGTACATATATATATAAATGTAGAAATGATAAATAAAATGCTGTTTTCTTTACATGCTTCATCACTTTGATAAGATAAACCAGTTCGAGAATCAAATCGATTGAGGTGCTACATGAGGTAACGTGTGAGTAAAATTTATAGAAATAAAATTATGGATTATTTTCATCAGTTACGCAATGAAGAGAATTACTGGGATGGTGACTTGAAGGCTCCACCCATCATATCTGATGAAGATTCAGAGAGCGAAGGTATCAGTATCAAAGAAGAGAAGGCTGACGATTCATCAGAATCTGTTTTAAGTGAGCCTACTGTGTACAACACAAGGGCATTAGATAAGTTTGCTGCTACATACAAACTGGAAACCTTTGAAAAAAACTTTCTCGTTATATTTAACCAAGAAAACATAAATGGCTATTTGCCTAGAGAGGGAACAGAAAAAGATGTGGAAGCGCTTCAGAAAACCTTCTCACAATTTGGATTCGAGGTCTACGAACATAAAGACTTTACAAAAGATGAAATCATGGAGGAACTAAAAATTTGTAAGTAATTATGATTATAATATGATGTATCTGTACATTATTTTTGCATTCTAAATTTGTCTAAAGAGAAAATAAACCCATCCCAATTGGCACATCTTAAACACATAAAGCAAAAAAGTGAATTAAAATAAATTCATAGAAATTAAATATCTGTTTCTTCTGTCAGGGCTCTCCGCCTAATTGTTCCATATCTAAAATATTTTTGTTTATGACATTAAGAAAATTTAGAGGACAAAAATTATTCAACATTATTTTTTGAATCATTTGTCGTTAGCCAAATTTCGAATTTTACGTACATAGCACCTAAAAATATATGTTAGTATGCCTCCTTTACATTCTGGTCGGTCCCTAAGTATTCAAATACCAAAAATTATAATATACTAGCAGAACTCGCGGTTTTGCTCGCGCCTAAAATCCAGAAAAAGCTCTAAAAAGGTACCAAGGTTTCATACAACATTTTATCTCCTATTATACCCCCTTGTGGGATGAATTTAAAAAAATGCTAAAACACGTATTTATTTGTCTTGAAGAGCATTAATACCAAGTTTCCTTAACTATGTTTTTGGGTTGTTGGTTGTTTGGATAATATAACGTGTTCTCCCGTGGGAATGAGATAATCTTCCGCGGAAAAAGTAGCCTATGTTACTCTCAAGCCCTTCAACTATCTTCCACACAAAAAATCACGCAAATCCATCACTCGGTTTCAACACGAAAGAAGGACAGACAAACAAACAAACAAACAAACAATCACACACACTTTCACATTTATAATATTAATATGGATTACATACATACATACGTACATAGATGAAGATATACATATATAATATAGATGAAGATAATAAAAGCAAGATAAAAAATAAAATTGTATAAAGGTGCATATACTCGTATGTATGTACGAGTTAATTGATCTTAGAGAATAAACAAATATGACAATTAGGTACTGTATTCTAGCCCTGAGTCCGAAAATAGTCAGTAACTGGGTTTTTCTGGCACGAAATATTCAGTAGCATGAACTTGGAGAGTTGGTAGTGTTCACCCTCGTGTCTAGAAAATACATAAAGCTACCGGTCCTACGTCTGATCTCTCTCCGGCCGTGTTAAATTGTCGGGTTACCGGAGATTGAGAATTAAAGAAATGGAGTGCACTATTTTGGGGCAATATTATGTGTTCTGCACACACTCTTTCTTGTGCACTATAATATCTTCTGCAGACCAGTCTCAGTGAGATTGGTTATCGTGGCCGGCATCGGTCAGAGGACCTATAGGCTACTCTTAATTCTCTAGACCAATTAATGGCGATCCCATTCACTTGAATCGACTTTATCTCGGAGATACAGATGCTATTGAGGATTTTGTACATATTACTGCTGAGAAAATTCAGATCAATAATATCTAATCTAAATTTATATAAAATAAGCATGCCTTATTATATTATTATTATGTGATATTATAAATCTACAGACTTTTACTTGAATCTTAGAATTCTCGCATATAAATGAAATATCCGCTTAAAAGATATTAAGAGTGAGAATAAGGTAGGATATTTGGAAATACCAAGTCTTAAAAATTCTGATAACACCAAGCCTTAAAGATGCTAAAAATGATTGAATCATCTAGTTATACTATCTATGGACGAAAAATACCATCTTGACATTCCTGACTAATACGCACAAGATAAATTTTAAAAACATACATACATATTATTTGAGTCTGTTATGTTAAATTTAGAATCGATCAGTTGACAGTTAAGTTGATTGTTCATCTATACTAATATTATAGAGGTAAAGTTTGTCAGTTTGTGAGTTTGTGACGTTGTAGGGGGTAATCTCTGGATCTACTGATCCGATTTAGATGAAATTTGGTAAGAAGGTAGTTTGAGACCCTGGAAAGGACATAGGACTTTTTATCTCGGAATTCATCTCTTAAGGGGGTGAATATGGGGGTGAATATGAAAGTTTATATTGGGAAGCAAGCTAGGGACGAACCCGAGCGAAGCGAGGGTAAGTCGCTAGTAGATAGTAAAGTTAAAATACTAGTATTTTTATTAAGATACTCTATACACTCAATATTGATTCTAGTTTTATTGATAAGTGACTCAACACTTATCGGACACAATAGACACGTCATGTTATATACGTTTAAGTGCCTGCTACTCATTTTTTAACAAGACCCCGTTTGTTTTTACCAGACATTAATGAACACCAATTAATGCTACAATCTAGCGTTGTGAAGTCTAGACCTGATCAAACTATAAAAGTCGACTTAAGACTATTTACACAACAACGGCGAACCTAAAAGGAATGTTAGGATTTCAGCATGCTATATATTTGTAATTCATGTAATGTCTATATGTTCATCTTTGTTCCCATATCTTTAAAAACTATTTCTCATAATTTGATACATGGCTACTGCCAAGTCAAGTCTTAGAACCCTTAAAAACAAAGTTAACACAAATAAATAAATGTAGATCAGTCCAGGAAAAATACGATACCTTAGAAAAAATATTAAATGAAACTAATAAAAATATAGAAAAGTATAACAAATCGGAACCAAAGGATAGATTAGGACCTGAAGCACGAAAATTAATAAACCAAAGAGCACTCTTATTTAAAAACAGGAGAAACAATAAACAAAAAATAACTAAACTAAGCAAAGAAATAAATTTAAAAATCAAAAAGTACAGACATACACTGAGAACAGAATCGACAAAATTGCACATTACAAAATCAGGCGGAATCAAGAGTGCGATAAAGGAACTTCAAGAATACACAAAATGGATAATTAACGTAACACACCACAAAACTAAAAACCATAAATCTAAAAGAAATGAAATACTAGATGCAGCGACCGATTTCTATCGTAATCTCTATTGCTATGACCAAATCACACCAATCACTAGTGACAAGACAGCTATAACTCCAGAAGAAGAAGCAGTACCAAACATACTCAAAGACGAAATTGTCAAAGCTATAAAATCACAGAAGAGAGGGAAAGCATCAGGAGAAGACAACATTTCCAATGAACTTTTAATTGGTGTATCTGAAATTATTGCTTACACATTGACTGACCTCTTTAACCAAATTATAACAACTGAACTTATACCTCACCAATGGACTACTTCCACTATAATTTTACTTCACAAGAAAGGAAGGAAAGATGATATTTCGAATTACAGACCTATCTCACTAATGTCTAATATATACAAAAAAAATTCCAAGATAATACTAGAACGTGTAACAAAGACCTTAGACGAAAATCAACCAAAAGAACAGGCAGGGTTTCGAAGTGGCTTCTCAACCATCGACCACATTCATACCATCAAACAAATTATCCAGAAATGCAATGAATATGGAATAAAATATTACTTAGCATTCATTGACTACAATAAAGCGTTCGACTCGCTTAAACATGAGAAAATTTGGGATGCCCTTACATCACAAGGGGTTCATAACAAATATATTCGCATAATAAAAACTGTATATGGAAATATGAAAGCTAAAATACGCACAGAAAAGATAGGCACATATTTCCCTATCAGACGAGGAGTTCGACAAGGAGACCCTTTGTCACCCAAACTTTTCTTGGCAACTCTAGAACATGTATTTCGACAACTTGAATGGAATGAATATGGCTTAAATGTGAATGGAGTTTTACTAAACCATCTAAGATTCGCCGATGACCTGATCCTAATTTGTGGAGATCCAAAGACCCTACAGGTTATGATTGAACAATTAGTACTCGAAAGCGAAAAAGTGGGATTATCGATGAACAGTAGTAAAACCAAAGTAATGACAAATTCTGATGAAATACCAATCAAATGCAACAACATTACAGAACTGGAATATGTCAAAGAGTATACATACTTGGGCCAAATAATATCTCCTATAGACCTCACAACAAAAGAAATCAACAATAGAATAAACATAGGATGGAAAAGATATTGGGCTCTTAAAGATGTCATAAAAAACCCAGATATACCAATGGAAGGAAAAAAGAAAATATTTAATACATGCATTCTACCAAGCATGACCTACGGATGCCAGACATGGAGTTGTACAAAGAAAAACATCAAATCATTAGAAACGTGTCAACATAGAATGGAAAGAAGCATACTCAACATAAAATTAAAAGATAAAATACGGTTAAAAACTATAAGGAAACAAACTAAGGTTATGGATATAAAATACCAAATAAAACACCTGAAATGGAAATGGTCAGGGCATCTAATAAGAAATAAAACAGAAAAGTGGGCTAAAGAAGTAACAGAGTGGTGTCCTAGATATAAAAAGAGAAGTAGAGGTAGACAATTTCGAAGATGGGAAGACGATATCAAGGAGGTGGCAGGAACATTTTGGATGAGGAAAACAAGGGATAGATCGTTGTGGAGAAAACTTGGGGAGGCCTATGCTGGAAAGCAAGACAATCAAGAAACCGGTGTCTAAGAAAAAGAAAAAAAAATTACTCTTTATATTTACTTTTACAAATAAAAATTTCTGTTTAATATTAAGTAGTAATAAGATGAAATGTACCTTATAAGATTGTTAATAAAGGCTATTATTATTATTATTATTATTATTATGGGGTATAGTTAGAAGCGTCTTGAGTGTCTGCTTGTTATATAAACCAACTGCTCAGGAGATATGCACCAATACGCTCTTTATTCCTTTCATTCTCAAATTTCGATGGGATACAACCGGTGAGATAGCAGGCGCAGAACCGACGGCTTTACGTGCTCTCCGAGGCACGGAGATGAAACACCGCCAACTTCTCAACTCCGGGCTGTTACTGAGGCTTACAAAGCGCTAAGCAGAAAAACTCAATAACTAAACTAGGTCCGACCCGGGTCTCGAACTCATAGCCAGGAACGATACGGCGTAATGGCTAAAATGTTTGGGTTGGCTACTAATTATTTCGTGATAGAAAAACCCAGAAACTATTTTGGTACTCGGTACTCGTTTACAGAACCTAATGGTCATATTTGTTTGATATCTTCGATTCATTAACTTGTACATAGATACATATATTTATAACTATATTTAACGTGCCTTTTTATCTTCACTTATAACTTATATATTTATTACTTTGTACATGACTAATCAAGTTTTATAAGCTGTTTATATCGTACTGCAAATCGATGTATCGATTTAAAACTTTGTATAAATTCTATAATTCGATACCATTCAGCTGACTTGATGATAAAAACAGGGCATAAATTATTTTCAAGTTTAATTTTATTTAATTTGTTTTGACCAGTACCACGGTAATCTTTATATATATAATTCTTCTGTGAGTGTGTATGTCACTGAACTTCTCTCAAACGACTGGACCGATTTTGATGAAATTTTTTGTGTGTGTTCAAGGGGATCTGGGAATGGTTTAGATTCACAATTTGAATAATAATTTTCATAAAAAAAAATATTAAAAAAAGTTTGACATTTTCAAATTAAAGACGTGTAGACAGGACAACGTCTGTCGGGTCCGCTAGTGTTATATATAAGCATTGCCCGCGGCTGCGCCCGCGTTCAGATGACCAAAAACCAAATTCTTAAGTTTCACATATTACTATACTCTTACATTGCAGTTTTTGTATTTTTTCTCAGAAATGAGATATTTTACCGCGGTAAAAAGTATCCTTTATGTTGACCCGGATAACCAGCTATCACCGTACCAAATTTGATCAAAACACCTCCAGTGGTTTTTCCGTGATGCGGTAACAGACAGACAGACAAAAATTCTAAAAACTATAGATTCGGCCTCTGTATCGATAGTAATGTATATTTCAATAAGATTTTCCAAAAAATATTTAATGTATAGATTCGGCTTAGTTACAATTTTATTATATGTACCTAACTATAGATTACCGTACTAGTATCCTACATAACAGTGGATTAAAAGCGTGTTTTAGGGTTCTTAAGCCAAAAGGGGCCAAACGAACCCTTTTTAATTATATTATAACCGTCAGTTCAATAATTCTGTAGTAAAATTACAACAAATAAAAAAATATAGTTTATCCATACGTGTAACTGAGGGATGAAACATTTCTTTTAGACTATAAAAGCGTGTGGGATGTCTCTGGATAGGTCTAAAATTCAAATAAATAGATGTTTCTTATGTCCGATTTCACCAACATCTCTAGCTTAAAAGTTCCCCTAAAATAGCCCCTAAATTAAATTTCGTTTTACCATTTAGGTGACCCCTAACTGTCGGTGAAACAGAAACTGTCCCCTAACAGCCCCTTAACCATGCTTAGGGGATCCCTTAAACTTGAACGCTGATGAAATCGCTGGCGAAATCGGCCAAAAGTGTCGTTTTTGTTCAAGCTAACAGTTTGCAGTTATGTATACCTATGGTTCTACAGAGATGCACTATATATTTAGGTAAAAATTAATAAAATTAAATACTGTAAACAAAGATAAACACTTGTACAATCTATATGTCATCATATATTAACTTATCATAATATTTGATAAGTTAAATAATGGAAATCGATACTACATGTTGTGAAACATTACGATTTATAATTTACAAACATTTATTTATATCGATATTAACGATACATATCGGTTAAGGTTTTCATTTTTTTTAATCGAGTTTATAGTTAGGTAGTGTGAAAGTGACCTACAAAGTGAATTTTTCGAGTTCTTGGAAAATGTACTAATTTGAAGCTATCAGGTATAGCCAAGCTCATGTATGTATCTATGTGTCTGTTTTATAGATATTGTTATAAGTTATTGCGTTGGAGGTTTTTAAAATTTTAATTTTAAGAAAAAAAATAGTGATTATGATATAATTAGACGTTTGGACAATTTTTCAAGCAAGTGACTGAATTTGTTGTTCTCAAAAGATCATACACTATATTATTACCACCCTATATTACAGTGTGACCTGCCTCGGTGGTGTAGCTAACATGTACGATCGCAGATCCCGAGGTTCTGGGTTCGAGTCCCGGGGTGGGCCAAGATCAGACAGTTATTGAGTATTTTTGTCAAGGAATTCTTCGTAACAGCCCGGAGTTAGAAAGTTAGCGGTGTTTCGCCGCCGTGCCTCGGAAATCGGTCCTGCGCTGTCCCACCGTACTATGAGAGTGCATTTATAATTGCGCGTATATTTGTGCACTATAATATGTATCTCCTGCGCAGATAGTTAGTCTCAATGAGATTGGCGCTGTGGCCGAAATCGGTTAGGCCGAAATTATTATTATTATACTAGCGGCGCACCCTCGCTTCACTCAAGTTCGCCCCTAGACAAACAAAAACACATCTATCCCACGGGAACAGTACATTTTTCCGGGATAGACAATTGCCTATTTGTTATTCTGATGTATGAACTGTATTATTGTAAAGTTTTATTAAAATCCAATTAGTAGTTTTTGTGTACTAAGCTGTATAAGTTACTATAGGTTTTTAACTATCCCACGGGAACTCTTTAATTTTCCAGGATAGTTTCCAGGAAGTATATAAAATGTTGACCGGAGATATAAGGCACCACCATGCAAAATTTCATTTAAATCCGTCCAATAGTTTCGGAGATTAGCCGGTACAAACAGACAAACTGACAAACAGACAGAGAAACAAAAAATTGAAAATTACTGAATTTGTTTTATTTCTTTTCTTACATCCCCCTGTATTTATTCCTTTTCTTCCCTGTATTTGTTTTATTTCTTTTCTTACATTCCCCTTTTATTATATGTATAGATTACAGTGTCGGGTACTTGCTGTTACAGTTAATGAAAAAGATTTCACCGACTATGGCTGTGTAGCAGTAGCGGTGCTAACTCACGGGTCTGACGGCGGTTTGCTCCGCGCAAAAGACATGCAATACAGTGAAACAGAAATTATAAAACATTTCAAAACCGTCAAAAATATAACACTCATAACAAAGCCGAAAATATTAATTATACAGGTCTGTATTTAGTAATATTTTGAAGCATTTGTTATTCAGTCTCTCTCATAATTAAAATTTTAAACCAATCTGTTTATTATGTTGGGTCATCATCATTTATCTTCTTATTTGATTATAGCGACCTAAATTTTACATGTATTAATACTATTAAGCGTAGAACTAAGGAAGACTTACTGTGTATGAAAAAGTGTCCATCAAACGCGTCCAATAAGGGTGGCGTTGCGGTAGCGTAGGATAAATTTTAAAGGAAGCGCCAAAAGTAATTAGAGTGAGATAGAGAAATAAACAAGGATTTTATTAAAGGAGGTTATATTTATTAAATTATTTTAGACTACGTAAATAGTTGAGGTTTTATATGCTGGTATTTCATTAAATACTTTAGTTATAAAAAAAATTTTGAACTCAGCACACTTTACTCCGTTTGCAACAACTAAATTCATATGATTTTAAGCATACAGGTGGACACTTTTTCAACGTCTCCCATATAAGAGACTCCTTCTTACCTTTATCCTCCATAAGCATTTGACGACACGTTTGGCTCAGTTTGGAGCGACCCTAATTGTGCTGTGCCAGTGGTCGCGGGTTCGAGTCCCGCTGGGGGCATTCATTTGGTGATGAGCACGAATGTTTGGGTGTCTAGTCATGGGTGTTTACATTTATAATATGTATGTATTTAAAGTTATATATGTGTAGTGTATCAACTATCTGGTATGCATAACACAGGCCTCGTAGCTTACCATGTAACTAGATGATGCTGTGTGTTAATGTCCCAACATATTTATTTATTTATAAGCGATATTTAAATTTCTCTACTGTGTTGTTTACATGACTACTTACTTGAAAGTATCTAGTTCTAATTATTTATTTTTTATATTTATTATTGAAATATTTTAAATGGACACTTATAAATGTAATACCATTTAAGGCTTCATATTTAATACCCTCTTTCTATCTGAGAGAATTTCATTTTCCTATCTTATTCTTTTAATCTAAGAGAATTCCATGTTCCTATTTTATCGTCTCTCATATTAACTTTTATAAATTTGCTTTAATTTTATTCTTCACAAAATTTCAGGCTTGTCGAGGTACAGGACAAATTAAAGGAGTAGTTGCAAGACAAGCGATGATAGTACACAAAGATTTGGATCAACAAGACGAAGCGTACACTTTGCCGCTAGAATCGGACATCTTGGTCCTTCATAGCTCGTACCCCGGTAATCCTTCACATAGGTTAGTATGAATGAAAATATCTTTTTGAAGTGAAATTCCTTTAGAATAGTTGTGATTTGAAACTCGATGAAACGAAAATGCGACAAAAAACGAGGAAATAAATATATAGGATTAAGCCGGCGAGACAGCGAGATAGAATACATTACACATGAAGTGAAAAATAATAAAAATAATACTGAATAATATTATGTAATGTAATATATTATGTTAAATAATATGTAAAATAACTTTTTAACTTGGTATAAAAAGAACTTAATTACTACTTATAATTTTTTTTATTTATTACTGTGGGATGAATGTGCATAAATTAAATAAGAGCTATTATGACTAATTGTTACCATGGTAACCGTCTGACAAATATATAATATTATATTCTTTCCGTATATGATCTATACATATAATAAAATTATAACTAAGCCGAATCTGCACATTAAATATTTTTTTGAAAATCTTATTGAAATAAACATTATTATCGATACAGAGGCCGAATCTATAGTTTTTAGAATTTTCGTCTGTCTGTCTGTTACCGCATCACAGAAAAACCACTGGAGGGATTTTGATGATATAGTGATAGCTGGTTAACCGGGTCAACATATAGAGGATACTTTTTACCGCTGGAAAATATTTCATTTCTGAGAATAAATACATAAACTGTATGTAAATACATAAAGTCTATGTAAGAGTATACTAATATGTAAAACCTAAGAATTTGGTTTTTGGTCACCTGAACGCGGGCGGAGTCACAGGCAATGCTAGTATTCTAAAAATATATGTTTGTAATTTGCCCATTTTCCAATATGCCTTATTTAATTATTGATTTGTTTGAATGTTATTGCGATATTTGCCAAATAATTTTTACTTCAACCGCGGGTAAATGTTTCTTAGAGTTGCTTAGAGTTGCTTTAACATGAAATATCTTAAACGTACGTTATGACTGATCTTAAGTTACTGTCAATTTTGTTGACACTTGCCATATCGTCATCGCCCATATTAATATAGTCCACAACAAACACAAAATGAGTTTCTATTTCATAACAGTCTTATTTGAAAAGAATTACACGACATAAGAATCTATAGAAGAGAATATACGTGGGGACTAGAAAAACTATCAAATCAGAGGGTAGATTTGATGACTTTATGCAATCTTTATCGCTAATAGAAAACTTAGAAGCATGAAAATGACGTATCATTATGCTAGAACATACTTGGAATCTATATATATATATAAAAATGAATCCCTATTTCCCCTGGTCACGTCATCACGCGTGAACGGCTGCACCGATTTAACTATGTTTTTTGTCGTGTTTGTTATTGTTAGGAGAAGGTTCTTATGAAAGAAAAAATTGAAAAAGTAACGAAAAAAAATTTAAAATGTATATGGCTAACGCTGGCTAACAACTGTTTATATTTATTTAAAACGTACCTAGTGACGAACCCGAGCGAAGTGAGGCTGAGCCGCTAGTGTCTTATAAAAGCTTAGAAATGACAAAAAGTAGAGTAATGCTCATGTCTCTCTCGTGACTTTTTATTTCCTGGTAGAGATTATTTGAATAATAATCATGCATATAACATCAACCTGCCCATTTAGTTGTAAGTTGTTTTAATTACAATGTTTTAATTTAATTATAATATAATCAGACAATTAAGTAACAAAATACACTTATTTATTGCTCTCTTTATATAGTTTTTGCTGTAAAACATTCGAAAGGTCGGGAACCAAATATCAAAATAAATCCACGAATAAATCCGAAAAGATGGTTCTACATATTTAAAATGTCAAATATTCGCGTAAATCTAAGAAAGTAAATAAAATAATTGTTAAAATTAATTTCAGGGTGAATTTATTTGGATCGTGGTATATTCAGACGTTGTGTGCAGAAATAAATAAAAATGCTCGGAAAATGGACCTTGAAGCAATAATAACTGATGTGAAGAGAAAGGTTGCTATCGACATGGGTCATGAGGTTTACAACAGACAGACGGAAGAATGGGATATAAATAAACAGATGCCCGTACTAATGTCCACTTTAATTAGAAAATTGTATCTTAGAAAATTTGGGCAAAACCCCACGTTTGCTGATGACAACACAGAAGACACTGAAGTGGAACCTCCATCACCAATGTTAGTCACATTTGAATCTTGCTCATGCTATTTAGACCATTTCGTATATTTGCAGAAGTGTTTGAGGTACAGTATCTACTACTTTTTTTTGTACACTTTTTTATTTCTCAAACTCATTGTTTTTTTTAAATTTTCCATACAGACCTTTTTATTGTCTGATATATTGAAACGATTATGAAAAAGTTTTAAATTTATTATAATTTGTTGCTTAAAAAATATTAACTAATTATTTAGATATAGATATATTATATAATTATGTAAGATATATTTATTACTTATTTTTCGCGTTATTAAATAATAATGATGATGGCATAATTGTACGCTTCGTTATTTTTGCAAAAAAATTTATAAAACTTAAAATTTTCTGTTCAAATTGCTCTAGTTATGGACAAAATTAACGAATTAGAAAACTGTAATGACCTACATAATCAAGGCTGTTAAATAAAACTGGTGATTGATTAAGACGTATTAAGATTATTAGCAAAAGTGCATCTTTATCAGTTTGATAAAAAAAAGCTTTAGCTAACATTTTTCAGCATAAAGAAAGAGAGAACGAGTTATTGCATTTTTTTTTTAATTTGTTCAAAAGATACTTCTTTCAAACTTAATATATCATTCTCATTATCTAAATTATCTAACATGTAATATGTATAATTTTCTTTATAGGTATATAGTAGAGGAAAATCCAGATGATAAAGTAGCAAAATCATATCTAGACATATGCGACACGTTTGGCGAAGGTTCTCAATTTAATATTGCTAAGGAAAAAATGACTCAACTTATCTCTGACCACCTTTCAAGTACGGCGCAACATTCCGAATACTTCAAATATTTATATATTAATACAGCAAAACCTATAGAGGAAAGATTAGTACAACTGTAGGTCAAATTAGGACGATTCTTTTATATTTTTTCCCTCGTGCTTTGAAGAGCACGTAAAACCATCGATCTTGTATCTGATCTCTTGCTGTCTTGTCAAACTTTCAAGGTAAAAATAATCATTTGTGAGTTTGCACATAGAATCATTTGTGAGTATGCGCATAGCATGGTGGCTGACGTGACCATGGCCAAAATAGGTCAGGTAGAAAATTTGTATGTGATGATAGAAATCGATGATTCCTTTCTCTCTCTGCCTCTAAATTAATGAATCAATCAAGGTACATTTTCATGTAAGATCTCATTTTAAATTTTGGTCGTTTAAAACGGGATTGACGTTTAGTACGCTTTTTTCTATTTCCGCACAGGGAATATCCAGAGACTACTACATATATATGTATATATATACACATATATATATATATATATATATATATATATATATATATATATATATATATATATATATGTAATAAAATAACTTTTTCTTCCTTTGATTAGACTTCAGGTTCATTGGCGAATTGTGATACTCATACTATTTTTCTTACTTAAGACAATTGGAGTTAATTAAGTAAAAAGCACATTGTGATGTTTATTTATTCTGGTTTCTTTATTTTAGTACTTCGAATGTGATATAAATGTTATTAATTATTATTATTTATTGTAAATAAAATATTTTGTCATTATTATATATTTTTTTATTTTTTTCATAACAACATACATAGGTGAATATGCTATCGATTGCCGCGCATTTTTTTATGTATAAGTATCTTCTAAGGGTAAAACGTGATATTAGGCGATAGTCACTCAATAAATAAAATATAAAAAGCAAAAAAATAAGGGTTTTACCAAGAAATTCGAGTATTTAAACAAAAAAAAATCCCTTGCTCTCAATTAGTGATACACCGGATATCTGTATATATCGGCATCCGCTACTTTTTGGCGGATCTTGATAGGATCTCTTTGCAAAGAAACACATTTGAATACTATTTAAATTATTATTTATTTCTTAAAATCACATATTTGGCACATTTGTATTGCAAGATGAATATAATAACTAATGTCTGTATTTGTATCAGTATCCACGGACATTTTCAACGATCCGGGACATCACCGTGCTCAATATATCACTGTCATCCGATTCCTCTACCTTTCTGAAAAAAAAAGTTTTATCAAATCGATCAAGCTGTAATCTATATTTTCCTATTCTTTATTTCGCGGAAATAGGTAATACTACTTATTCGGATTAAAAGTATTCCTCCTTGAGACATGTCTTTTGTTCAGAAATTTTTAAGGCACATTTACTTACCTACCATAAAGCCAATGGCCTTTGAAAAGCTTATAGTAAATAAAAATAAATAGTTTTTCTCTGAATAAAATTGTGCAATGATTAATATTTAACATCAAAGAATTGGCATCGGCGTCCCTTTTAGTAACACTATAACTTAGCGAAGGGCAGACGTCAATTACACGTTAGTTATTGGGTTGGTTTGACAAGAGTTCTATTTAAATGAAAAAATATATATCTTGGGAACTTATTTAAACCAATTTTTGCCCGCGCTCTATTTATGTTCTTCCCCATGACGCAATATGTGTCCTTGTCCGAATTTCATCAAAATTCGTTTAGCTTTTTAAGCGTGAAAAGATTTGACTTAGAACATTTGAAAAGAGTAATATTAGGCAACCCAGATGAAACCAACAACCATATATATAGTTGTTTTCATAGAACAAAGAAGATTGAATGTTTATATATTATCTCTGATGGGAGAAGAACGATTACTTCGGGTCTTAAACTATATGAATACTAGTATAATTTATAAAAATTAAGTTTAAACTTTGAATCACTGAAAATATTATAATAATTAATAAATCTCACGAAGTCGCCAATCATAGATACATACTATTTCGCCTTTTTTCTGAAACGCCGTATTTTTGTGGTACATTTTAGGACATTTATAGAGCTGTATTGAGATCATTAAAGTTTTAACAGAACAGATCCCGAAGTAATTAGGACCGAAATGAAGAAGACTGAGGAAGATTGCCATCGAAATTTGTTATGCGGATTGTAATAGTGGACGGATGAATCAGACTAGGTTTTTAGACTTATTTCGGTTTTAAACAATATTAATATTTTTTTTTCTTTTTATTAAAATGGGCAGTCATCACATTTAAAAAAAAACAGATTTTGAATACTGTCAAAAGCTCAATTGATGCAAACTCGTGCTAACTTTAAACATTATGTCAGAGAAAAATGCAATGGCCTACATTCTTCAAGGGTAAATAAACATTGTGATTAATTAACATGGGTTAAGTCTTTAGAGGAACGTTATTTTTTTTGCTAAAAGTACTTCTACAAATAATCATAATTTTATAACTGCATATAATATATAGAAAATTAATTTTTGGTTTGGCACTTGTTAAAAAAGTTGTGCTCCTGCTATAAATTAATGATAAACTATATTTTATATGATAAATAGCCGACCAAAAATTAATTAATTAATCAATAAATGACCTATCTAACGCAAAAAGAACACATTTTGGTAGTGTCTTAAAGGAGTAAAAAACGTACACACGTATGCAAAGTTTTGAATTTAGAATAATCGTCATTGTATGTTTCTCAAAGATGTGAATAGCAAAAACAAAATCAAAAGCCCAATAAAATAAGTAAGGCTGACATGCAAGCCACTACACCAACAATGCGAATAAAAAAAGTTAATTTAGGTATATAAGTAATATGGTAATAATAACAGATTAATATAATTATATAGACGGAGTCCGCCAAAATAAATGTCAAAGTCAAAAACAGTAGCGTTTCTATCTCGATTTTGCCATAACTTAAAACTATAAGTACATATAATAAAATTGTAACTAAGTCAAATCTGTACATGAAATATTTTTTGGAAAATTTAATTAAAATAGACATTATTATCGATACAGAGGCCAAATCTATAGTTTTTAGAATTTTTGTCTGTCTGTCTGTTACCGCATCACGGAAAAACCACTGGAGGTATTTTGACGAAATTTAGTATGGTGATAGCTGGTTATCCGGGTCAACATATAGGATACTTTTTACCGCGGGAAACATCTCATTTCTGAGAAAAATACAAAAACTGTAATGTAAGAGTTATACTAATAGGTAAAACCTAAGTATTTGGTTTTTTGTCATCAGAACGCGGGCGGAGCCGCGGGCTATGCTAGTATGTAATAAGTCTAACCTATTTCCAACGAAGACTTTTGCCCTCGACGCAGTTAATTGATCCTTGCAACAATGATACATAATGCAAAGTGCAATTAGCGACTTCAAACAAACATTTTTTAGGAATTTAACACATCCGTAATCATAAAATAGATGATCGATGCATCATATCTAGTAAATTGTTCGCAAGAGGTAGACGCATACCTGATTATCGGGAGTATGTTTTTTTAATTTTATTATGTACTAGACTTACCCTCGCTTAGGTCGAGTGCGTCCCTAGGGGCCTAGGTACGCGATTTTTTTTCCACGAACTCTGATTCTTTTTCTAAAATAAAAGCAACTCCTTATAACATCAGCTATCTGCCATTGAAAGCCCCGTCGAAATCGGTCCAGCCGTTTTGTAGATTAGCCGGAAAAACAGATAGACAGACATAAATTTTAAAAAAGGTTTTTTTTATAAGTACCGTGTATAGTATACATATGTGATCTATGACCGTATATACTTTCATATGTATTTAGTAAAAAGCTGTTATTTTTGACATTATAAACATACACTTTAATTTGATTTATCTTTACAGATTATGGCACACAATTTTGGGCCTTGGATATTTTTATTATACTCTTAGATAATTTTGTTCATGAAGAACACTATAAGTAAAGATTTCATTTTTCGGTCTCATATTTCCTTTCGATTTATCATGCGTGTTGGGTTGAGGTCCTCAAATATATCACTGTTTGACTACCAAACAAAAGGCAATGTCTGCGTGAAGCGTTTTCTTTCAACGTTTATAAGTTTAGAATGGACAGAACGTAATAGAAGGATAAAATTTTCACATATTTTTCCTAAACATGGCCTATCTCATGTCTGTATAACAAATCTTTACCAAAATTCATTTAATGCTTGTGATTGAATAACAAAAATCTCTACAATTTTCCCATTTGGCATTTGGCAATATTATAATATTAATAGTTTTTAAGTTTGTATCTGTAATGCATGTTGCACCTGTTAATAACAGAGTCAAGGTGACACGTAGAGGTTTTCGTCATGACATCAGCCGTAGGCGTGGCCCTGATACGTGAACTTGAAGGTGAATCGGGAATAGAGGTATACGTAATGTGTTACGTGTTCCACTATTTTGTTAATTTGTGTTGAAAATGACGGATAGTGAACGATTTGGCAGAAACACAATTTAGTAAGAAATATTTTTCTTGCAAATATTATTGGAAGCTCGTTAGATGCATGTAATTTACTTCCACTAACACCTTCCATCTAAAATTACAATTGCGGTTTTAAATACCGAAGGCACGTGGTATTATATAATTACAAAGTAAAAGAGGGTGGAGGCAGATTGTTTTTGAATTTTGTCTTAGAAATGACCATGAGATTTGTGAAAGTATTTTGACAATTATGTAACATTATTAAATAAAACTATCTTTTCGGATTATTTCGCGGATTTATTTTGATTTTTGGTTCCCGACGTTTCGAATGCTTTACAGCATCCATGGTCACGGGAGAGACTGAGGTGTTACATGTCTTAAAGATATAGTTGTTACAGACAGCCTACCCACAATTAACAAAATGAAAATTGCACCAATTACATTACAATATTTTAACTTTAAACATTTTTATAATTTTAATTATAATTGAATATGGAAAATTATTTATTTAATTTTTGCTATTATTTTTATAATTATTACAATTTTAAAATATTAATGAGTAATCTATATTTAGTGTTGCCATTATTATATTTATAACCATAAAGAAAAATATAAAATATAGTATTAATTATTTAAGCCATATAATTGTT